CAGCTCATCCGCGCGATCGGCTTTTCCACGTTTGCCCTGTCGATCTACATGATTCCGGCGTTCGGTGTGTTGCTGGGGGTGCTGATTCTCGATGAAGAGCCGCAGCCGAAAATGCTGATCGCTCTCGGGCTGATCATGGCCGGCCTGTTCTTCGCCCGCGCCGGCAGCGGCGCGGCGATTGCGCACCCTGCCCGGAAGCGCCCGTCATGACGGACGTTTCGACGACCGAGACGGTGCCCCGCAAGCGCATCGACGCGCTCGATGTGGCCCGCGGCGTCGCGCTCGTCGCCATGGCGACCTATCATTTCTCGTGGGATCTCGAATTCTTCGGCTATCTGGAGCCCGGCACATCGACGACGGGCGCCCTGAAATACTATGCCCGGTCGATTGCCGCTTCGTTCCTGTTCCTGGTCGGCCTCGGCATCACGCTTGCCCATGCGAACGGCATTCGCTGGCCTGCGTTCGCAAGGCGCTGGCTGAAGATCGCCGCGGCCGCGGCGCTGATCACCATCGCCACATGGTTCGCAACGCGCGAGACCTTCGTCTTCTTCGGCATCCTGCATCACATAGCGTTCGCAAGCCTTGCAGGCCTGTTCTTCCTGGGCCTGCCCTGGTGGGCGCTGGCTGCGATCGCGGCGGCAATCTTCATCGGAACCCCGTTTCTGCAATCGCCGATCTTCACGCCGCTTGGCATGGTTTGGACAGGCCTTTCCTCGACGCCGCCGCGTTCGAACGATTTCGTGCCGGTCCTGCCCTGGTTCTCGGCGGTGCTGGCTGGCATGGCGGCGGCAAAGCTTGTCTTCATCGCGCGCACGCCGCCACGCGTCCTGACGCCGGAAGGCTGGTCGGCGAACAGTCCCCTGTCCCGGCTTCTGGCCCTGTTCGGCCGATGGAGCCTGACCTTCTACCTGCTGCACCAGCCGATCCTGATCGGGCTTGTGTTTCTGGTCTCGCTTGCGTTCCCCGCACAGCCGCCAAGCTTTTCAGCGAGCTGCAACGCCGCCTGCACCGCGCAGTTCGAGGCGGAGCCATGCGCCGTCTATTGCGCCTGCGCCGAAGCGGAACTGGAAGCCGCCGGAAAGCTTGAAAGCCTGCTGAGCGAGCCGGCAAGCGCGCAGAGCGACCTTGAGACATCGGCGATCATCGCCCAATGTGCGTTCGAGGCCGGCATTACCGGCGATGGACGCAACCGATGACCGACCGGCAACATCCCGAAGACCGCCCAAGCACGTTCCCGTGGCCGCCGGTTCTGCTGATCGGCTTTGTTGCGCTCGGCGTGGCGCTCGGCGCGTTCGTCCCGCTTGGATGGCCCGCCGGCATGTGGGGCGATCTGCTGACCGGGCTTGGCCTGTTCCTGATCATCGTCGCGCTGATCGTCGATGTCAGCGCCATGCGCACCATGTCGGCGGCCAAGACGACCGTTCTGCCGCACCGGAAATCCGACCATCTGGTGACGAAAGGCGTCTTCCGGTTCAGCCGGAATCCGATCTATGTCGCCAATGTGATGCTGATCGCCGGCATCGGCCTGTTCTTCGGAAACTGGTGGCTGGTGCTGTTGGCGCCCGTCGACGGGTTCGCGACGCAAAAGCTCGCCATCGAGCGCGAGGAAGCGCATCTGGAGGCACGCTTCGGCAAAACCTACCGCGATTACAAGAAAAGCGTGAACCGCTGGATTTAAGGCGTCCCGGGCCGCCCCGTCAGGAGGCCACGCGCAGTTCGGCCAGCCGGTTGAGGCAATTTTCCTCGACCTGATCGAGTTCAGCCAGCGTTTCCTCGATGTCCTTGCGCTTCTGGCGCAGTTCGGCGCGCTTTTCCTCGACGCGATCGACGATCGCCCGCATCTGGCCCGCCTCGCCCGGCGGTTCCTTGTACATCTGAACGATTTCGCGAATCTCGGCGATCGAAAAGCCCAGGCGCTTGCCGCGCATGATCTGCTTGATCAGGTGCCGGTCTCCGGGCCGGAACAGGCGGGTGCGGCCGCGACGGACCGGTGCGATGAGCCCCTCGTCCTCGTAGAAGCGCAAGGTTCGGGTCGAAACGCCGAATTCGCGTGTCAGTTCGGTTATGGTGTAGAATTCGCGCATTCGTTCCCCAAGGGCGCCATGCGCCTGTGCAACCTGTTTCAATCGATACAGCTTAAAAATTCTTACGTAAAAGTCAATTGCGCAACGGGACCGATCCCAACCTTCAGATGCCGAACCACAAAGCGGCCAGGCCGAGAAAGGCAAAGAAGCCAACGACATCGGTCACGGTGGTGACGAAAACGCTGGACGCGATGGCCGGGTCGACGCCGAGCCGGTCGAGAATCAGCGGGACGAAAATGCCCGCGAGCGCGGCGGACACCATGTTAATGATCATCGCGATGGCGATCACGAAGCCAAGGCCGATGGTCGAAAACCAGACGGTCGCCACGACGCCGATGAGAAGCGCGAACAGCGCACCGTTCAGAACGCCGACCATCAGTTCGCGGCGGATGATGCGGCCGGCATTGTAGATGTCGAGGTCCTTGGTCGCGAGCGCTCGCACGGTCACCGTCATGGTCTGCGTGCCCGCATTGCCGCCCATGGAGGCGACGATCGGCATCAGCACGGCCAGCGCCACCATCTGCTGAATGGTCGCATCGAACAGGCCAATGACGACGGATGCGAGCACCGCCGTCCCCAGATTGACCAGCAGCCAGGTGAAGCGCGACTTGGTCGTTTCGACCACGGAGTCCGACAATTCCTCGTCGCCGACGCCACCCAGGCGCAAAATGTCCTCCTGCGCCTCCTCGTTGATCACGTCGACGACGTCATCGATCGTCAGAACGCCGACCAGACGCTCGTTCTCGTCGACGACGGCGGCCGACAGAAGGTCGTAGCGCTCGAAGATCTGCGCCGCCTCTTCCTGGTCCATCTCGGCGGGCACGGCATGGCGCGTTTCGCGCATGATCTCCTCGATCCGGCCATCGCGCTGTTCGCGAAGGATACGGTCGAGATCGACGGCGCCCACGAGCCGGAACGTCGGGTCGATGACAAAGATCTGGCTGAACCGTTCGGGCAGATCGGCATTGTCGCGCAGATAGTCGATCGTCTGGCCGACATTCCAATAGGGCGGGACAGCGACGAAATCGGCCTGCATGCGCCGGCCCGCGCTTTCCTCGGGATAGTCGAGCGAGCGGCGCAGCCGGATGCGTTCGGTGAACGGAATGCGGGCCAGGATGTCGGCCTGCTCGCTCTCGTCCATGTCTTCGAGAATGTAGACCGCATCATCGCTTTCCAGTTCCTGGAGAGCGAGCGCGATCTGCTCGTTGGGCAGAACCGTGATGATTTCCAGGCGAATGGCCTCGTCGACTTCGGTCAGGGCGGAATAGTCGAAGCTCTCGCCCAGAAGCGCGACAAGTTCCTGGCGTTCGGCCGGTTCGAGCGTCGCCAGAAGGTCGCCCATCTCCGATTCGTGCAGCGGCGCGGTGACCTCGCCGAGCGTTTCGGCATTGCCCGCCGCGATGGCCGCGGTCACCTGATCGAGATAGTCGGCACGGATGGAGCCGTCCTCGGCGTAGATCGCCGGGCCGCCGGTCTCGGAATAGTTTGGCTGGTCCGCGCCGGCCATGCCGCTCCGCTCCCGTGTCTGGATTTGCGCCTCTAAACAAGACAGTTAGAGCGGTTCATCTTTAGATGGAAGCGGAATGATGGACAGGATTTTTCGCGGCAGCAAGGAGAACACCGCAGCGCGATCTGACGATCGCGTGAGGATTTCGACGCTGCTGCCCGCGGAAAAGACGGCCAAGCCGTCACGCCTCAAGCCATTGACGGATAACGATATCCGCCAATCGCCCGAGCTTGGTCTTTTGCGTTCTGGACGGCGTTGCGCAAGGCTAACGGTGCCTGCACCGCGTCGCCTTGCGCGCCTTGCCAGACCACAAAATCCCGGCGCTCAAACGATTCCAGCTAACGATGAACCGCTCCAGCGGGACGGATGCGAAACAGAAACGGCACAACCGCACCTTGCGAAGATTTTTCGCCTCAGCGGGTGGCGCGGTGGCGCAGCGCCGCAAGCGGCCCTGCGATCGTCTCGGGCACATTGTCGATGCCCGATGTTCCGAACGGGCCGCAGCGGCCGACACGGCGGGCAGCGAGGATCGCGCCGGTCAACAGGCCGTGCCGGGCAATCGCTTCATAGCCATATTCGGAACAGGTGGGCATGTGGCGGCAGGAATTGCCGACAAAGCCCGAAAGCGTCAGCTGGTAAAGCCGCACGAGCGAGGTGCCGAGCACCCTGCCCGGCGTTTTCGGCCATGGCCCCTGCCAGTTGCGCGAGCGCGTCCGGCCGCTGCGCGGATGATCGGCGCACACGATCAGGCCGCGCTTGCGCGCGCCTCGATCTGGTCGAGCGCATCGACCACCGCGTCGAACACCAGAAGCGTCGATGCGTGACGCGCCGGATAGTCGCGCACCGGCTCGAGCCACGCCAGATCGGCGAATCGGCCGTCGGGCGCGGGGCCGCCCTTTTTCAGCATCGCCGTCATGGTTTCACGCAAGGCCCGCAATTCGGCGAGCGGCGTGCCGACGATTTCGCGCGCCATCACCGCTGAGGAGGCCTGGCCCAGCGCACAAGCCTTGACGTCCTGGCCATAGGCCGTCACCCGGCCGTCCTCGACTGCCAGATCGACCGTCACCGTCGATCCGCAGAGTTTCGAGTGGGCCTTGGCGGTCGCATCGGGCGCCTCGAGGCGTCCGGCGGGCGGCGGGTTTCCGGCGAGTTCCAGGATGCGGGAGTTGTAGATGTCGTCGATCATCGGCTGCCATGGCCCTGGCGGTCCGGTTCCGCCGGACGGCGCTATGGTTTTCAAACGCTCCCGACATATATAGGAAGGGCGATGCCGCGCAGGCAAGGGCACGGCGAAGGGGCCGACGCGCAAGGGTTGCCTGCGCCGGTGCCGATCCGGGAAACATGAGCAGATTCGGTCCGGCTGGATTTTCGTGCGTAACAAGACCGGTGCTCAAACAAGGAAGCAGGATATGGACGCCATCGCGCCGACCTCTACCCACCCTTCTGACGAAAAACCGAGCCGCGCGGAGGCCGAAGCGGCCGTCCTGACGCTTCTGAAGTGGATCGGCGACGATCCGGCGCGCGAAGGGCTGACCGATACGCCCGCGCGCGTGGTCAAGGCCTATGAGGAGATGTTCGGCGGCTATGACAGCGATCCGGCCGACATTCTGGGCCGCACATTCGAGGAAGTGGCCGGCTATGACGATATCGTCCTGGTCAAGGATATCGCGTTCCACTCGCACTGCGAACATCACATGGTGCCGATCATCGGAAAGGCGCATGTAGCCTATCTGCCGCGCGAACGCGTGCTGGGCCTTTCCAAGATCGTGCGGGTGGTCGACATTTTTGCCCGGCGCCTTCAGACCCAGGAGACGATGACGGCGCAGATCGCGACATCCATCGACGATGCGCTGGCGCCGCGCGGCGTTGCCGTGATGGTCGAGGCCGAACATATGTGCATGGCGATGCGCGGCATCCGCAAGCACGGCTCGACGACGATCACCACGCGGTTCACCGGCGCGTTCGACGATCCCGCATGGCAAAACCGCTTCACCGATCTGATCCGCACCCGCTGATATCGGCCGCCTGTGCGTCGGGCTTGATTGCCGACGCCCGGCGGCCTGGAGCGTCGACATGACCAGCCCCAACACACCCTTCGCACCGCCCGTGGCGGACGCAAACGAAACCGAGGACGGGTCGGTCTTCCGGCCGCGCTTTTCGTCCGACGGGCTTGTGACCGCCGTCGTTACCGACGCCGATGACGGCACGGTGCTGATGGTCGCCCACATGAATGCCGAAGCGCTGGCGCTGACGCTCGAGACAGGCATCGCGCATTACTGGTCCCGCTCGCGCGGGCAACTCTGGAAGAAGGGCGAGACCTCGGGCAATCTCCAGCGCGTCGCCGAAATGCGGACCGATTGCGACCAGGATGTGGTGCTTGTTGCCGTGCGCACGGACGGGCACGGCTCGGCCTGCCACACGGGCCGCAAGAGCTGCTTTTACCGCCATATCGTCAGCGATGGCGAAAATGGTGCGCGGCTGACCTTCGATGAGGGCGACCGGCCGCGCTTCGATCCGGCCACGGTCTATGGCAACGGATGAACGGCCTAGGCCGACGAGGTGATGTAGTGGCGGATTTCGGCCGCCTCCTGCTCGATCTCGGCGATCCGCCGCTTGACGACGTCGCCGATCGACACGATCCCCGCCAGCTTGCCGTCGCGTTCGACGGGCAAATGCCGGAAGCGGCCGGTGGTCATCAGTTCCATCAGCGTGTTGATCGCCATGTCCTCGGTGCAGGTGATCACATTGCGCGTCATCAGCGCCGACACCGGCTCAGACAGCGCGCCGACGCCCCGCTTCGCGATCGCGCCGACCACGTCGCGTTCCGACAGGATGCCCTTGATCGTGCGATCCGTATCGGCGACGACCATGGCGCCCACCTTGTGATCGCCCAGTTCACGCACCGCGTCGAGAATGCTGGCGTCCTCGGACAGGGTGAACACGTCCGAGCCCTTTTCTTCCAATATCCGGGCAACCGACATTTGCGCGACCTCCTCCTGCCGTTCAAAGAAGCAAAGCATCGGCGAAAGTTCCGCGCTTGACAAGCCAGCCAATGGGTTAGGCCGGACGGCGCGCGGTCGGATGCCGGTCGAGCCAACCGATGGCGAAAAAGCCCGTCAAGAGCCCGCCAATATGGGCTTCCCAGGCGATCGACGCGCCGCCGGCGAGGCCGAACAGATCGGCGCCGGTGGCATAGTTGATCACCATCCAGACGATGATGAAGGCCAGAACGCCGCGCTGGCGCAGCGATGCCAGCGGCGGCAGGAGCGGGCCGGCAAAGCCGCGGCGCGGATTGCGGCGGTCGGCGCGGAACCCGAAGCGGGCAGCGGCGCCCAGAAAGCCCGAGACAGCGCCGGATGCGCCAAGCAGCGGCACCCAGTCGCCGAAATAGAGCGCGGTGTGCAGGACGACCGCGCCGAATGCCGTGATCGCCCACAGCGCGATCGTACGGGCCCAGCCAAGCCGGTAGGCCACCGGCGCGCCGAAGGCGACGAGCCAGATCATGTTGAAGCCCAGGTGCACCCAGTCGCCATGCAGCAGCGTGTGGGTGAAGGGCGAGACGAGCGTCGGCCAGTCGAGCTGGAAATAGCCGGGCGCATAGCGGATGGGGAAGAAGGCGAAATTGACGATCAGCCAGCGGTCGATCTGGCCGTCGAAGACCAGCGTGCGCATCAGGTGAACGCCGATGCAAAGGCCGGCCATCAGGACGATCGCGCCGTGCAGGTTGAAAGCCGGCGACGGCCGGCGATCACCGGAGGGGACGTGATCGGACGGATTTTCGCCGGACGGGTCGTGACCGGACAAGGGCGGCGTGCCGGGAATACGGTCTGGATCAGACATGCTTGCCAGATAGGCCAGCCGCCACGGCAAAAAAAGAGGCCATCCAGGTCGCCCTGGATGGCCCGGCGAGTCCCCTGCCCACCCCGTAACCGGTCAATTTGTGCTGCGGCAAGCCGCTCCCGTTTCGAATTGGGTTAATGCCAGATTAACGCAGCCTCCACAAGCCGAGATCCCCTTTAGGGTTAATGGCGACCGGGCCCTCCGCCGCGAGCTGGCCCGTCGCTTGCATCGTTCTGCGCAGGGGCAATGCGAGGTGAAACACCGTGTCATCCTGACACGGGTTCGATGCTTCGCAAGGCGGCGGGATGAAGCAGATGCACCAGAACGGAACACAAAGGGTCTACGAGTACTGGAACGAACTGCGCGGCCAGCACGCCGCGCCGGCGCGTTCGGACATCGCTCCGGCCGCGCTCGGTCGCTCGCTCGCCCATCTCTTCATTCTCGACGCCGGCGATATCCCTGGCCGGTTTCGTCTCGCCGGCACGTGGCTCGGCTCCGCGTTCGGACACGAACTGACCGGCCATGCCTTCGGCGCGCTGTTCGGCCGTGACGACCGGATGCTGGCGCAGCGGGTGGTGGATGCCGTTCGCAGCGAAAGCGCCGTCGCGATCTTGGATCTGACCGCGAAGGCCGACCCGGAACGCCTGCTGGACATGGAAATGGTGCTGTTGCCGCTGGCCGGCGAACCCTCGCGGGTCCTGGGCGCCATCCATCCATGCGGCCAACCGTTCTGGCTGGGCGCGTTTCCGCTCGGGCCGGCCCGCGTGACCGGCGTGCGGCTGATCGATCCGGACCGGCCGCTGTTCAACCTTGCCAACCGGCCGGCGATACCGCTCGCGCGGCGGCGCGGCGACGGCCGGCCGAGCGCCCCACGCAGGCTGCTGCGTGTGATCGACGGCAACCGCGCGGCCGCAATTGTTCAGCGTGAACGCCCGGCCCTGCACCTGATCGATGGCGGCCGCACCGGAGATGACCGCCGGTGAACCGCTTCATCGTCCGGAAACCATGGCTCGACCGGGTGCCCCCCAAAAATTCGCGAAGGCGGATTCTTACCGCTTGTTAACCAGCGCTCGCCTAAGGTCGGAACAGATCCACTTGCCTTACGGAAGCCCGTTCATGCTCAGCGCCGTCGCTGCCGAACCACGCGATACCGGACCGAATCGCCGTGCCTTTCAGCGGGTGAAGGTCAATCTGCACGGCCGGTTCATGCTGCAGGACCGTTCCGAGCATCCGTGCCAGATTCTCGACATGTCTCCGGCCACGGCAACGCTCTACACCGAGGCGCATGCGCGCGACGGCGAGCGCGTGGTCGCTTACATCGACCATATCGGCCGCGTCGAAGGCCATGTGGTGCGTTCGTTCGATGGCGGTTTTGCGGTGGATCTGACCACATCGCCGCGCAAGCGCGAAAAGCTGGCGGCCCAGCTCATCTGGCTGGCCAACAAGCACGAGCTCGACCTGCCCGAAGACCGGCGCCACGAGCGCGTCATGCCGAAGAACCCCGCCTCCATCCTGACGCTTGCCGACGGGCGCCAATATCGCTGCCGCATCATCGATCTGTCCCTGTCCGGCGCCGCCGTCTCCATCGCGGTCCGTCCGGCCATCGGAACACTGGTCAGCCTTGGCGGCATGCGCGGCTCGGTCGTGCGCCACTTCGACGAGGGCATCGCGGTCGAGTTCGCCTTCGTCCAGCGGCCCGAATCGCTCTCCCAATATCTGGGCTGACCAAGCGGTCCCGCCGCTTCCAGAAAGCTGACAGACCGGACCCGCCGCAAGGCGGGTTTTTTGTTGACCGGTCGGCCGCCGGCTGGCGGGCCGGTTTCATGCGTCTCATTCATCGGCAATGGTGTGGTTAAGCGTTTGTCCCCGTCGCTGAACCATTTTTAGGCGAATACGCCTCTCATTTAATATTTATTCTATTCTTGCTTTAATGAAATACTGCATAGTTTTCGCATATTTTTGATTTGAATACACATACCGATGTTGGTCTCGTGTAGATTTGTTTTTGTCATGTTGTCCGTACAAGGGAGACGGACACATGACTTATACAAAGACTGCGCCCAAGCAGATAATAGACTCGACAGACAATTGCCGAAGCGATGGACAGGCAGCATTGCCGCGCCAGATTCGGCGCCGGATGGCGGCAACCGCATCGCTGGCCGGCTCGCTTCTGTTCACGGCAACCATGGGCGCCCATGCGGTGACCATGCCGACCGCGGGCCGGACGACGCAGCCGATCGGCCATTACGAGTTCTGTCAGCGCGATCCGGCCGAATGCCGACCGATTTCGGAAGCAGCGCCGCACACGCTCGACCGCAAGGGCTGGGCGCAGATGATCGAGGTGAACAATCATTTCAACACCACGGTACAGCCGCGCACAGACATGCAGATCTGGGGCCGCGAAGAGCTTTGGTCCTATCCGAGCGAAGTCGGTGACTGCGAGGATTTCGTTCTGGCCAAGCGCAACGCGCTGATGCAGCGCGGGTTTCACCCCTCAAACCTTTTGATCACCGTGGTGCGCCAACCCAATGGCGAGGGGCATGCCGTTCTGACGGTGCGCACCGACCGGGGCGACTTCATCCTCGACAATCTGGTCGGTGAAATCGCCGACTGGCGCGACACGCCCTACACCTATCTCAAACGGCAGAGCACACGTCATGCGGGCCGTTGGGAAACCATCCGTGACAGCCGCACGAGGCTCTCACAGGCACAGTAAACCTAGACTGCCCGGTCAAGTCCCCACCCACCCGTCCCCCAGACCGGGCCGGAGCCGGCTCTCGCAAGAGAGCCGGCTCTTTTTCGTTTCTGAGGACCGCAGGCGAGTTGTGATCAAGTGGATTCGGACAAGCCGGTCGCGAAGCGGCGCGCATTGTCGACATAATGCTCGGCCGAAGCCGTGAGCATCGCAACCGCCGCATCGTCCAGCGTCCGCGCGACGCGCGCCGGCGATCCGATGATCAGCGAATTGTCGGGAAACTCTTTTCCTTCGGTGACCAGCGCGCCGGCGCCGACCAGGCAATTGTTGCCGATCACCGCACCGTTGAGGACAATCGCGCCGATGCCGATCAGACTGTTGTTGCCGATGGTGCAGCCATGCAGCATGGCGCGATGGCCGATCGTGCACCCCTCGCCGACCACAAGCGGAAAGCCCATGTCGGTGTGCATGACCGTGTGCTCCTGCACATTGGTGCGGGCGCCGATGGTCACCGGCTCATTGTCGCCACGCAGCACGCAGCCGAACCAGACGCTGCAATCCTCGTGCAGATTGATCTGACCGATCACATGAGCATCGTCGGCGACGAATGCCGGCCCCGCACCGAAGTACCGCGGCGAAACTCCGTCCAACGCGTAAATGGCCATGTCCGTCCCCTGCTCAAGCGATGTTGCAGCATGCTTTGACAGAGAAACCGGCCCGCTTCAATCAGGCGACGGCGATCAGCCGGCCCGTTTCCACCGCGACGATTCCGACAAGGCCGGCCCATGCGCCCGCCGCGACGAGGGCCGTCAGCGGCCAGCGCGACCGCCGACCCCTTCGATTGGGCGAAAGCCCGGCCCGGACAATCATCACCGGTCCGCACAGGGCGAAAAACAAGACCGATGGCGCGATCCCGAGACGCAAGACCGTCGCCTCATCGAAAGCGGGCTGGCCATCAAGCGCCGCCTCGAGAAGAAAAAACGTGCTCAGCGCCACCGCGAAGCCCACCACAACGATCCACAACACCATCGCCCTCACCCACTCTTAACCGGGAATTAACCCTGTCCCGCTCCAGTGAGTGCAATTCCGATGCCAAGATCCGCGCGCCATATACGGACACCGACCCGCCATGACACCGGCCTATGACACAGCCGCCGCCTCACCGTCGCCCCATCCGGCCGCAAACGGCCTGCCCGCCGCCGCATGGACCGCTTTCCGGGTTCTGGCCGTCATTGCGGGCTTGTCCGCCATTATGGTCGTTGCCGGCCATTTTTATGGCTCGCGTCTGCTGCAATCGAGCATGAGCACATCGCCCGAACCGATTCAGCTGGTCATCGGCAACGATGTCCTGGACGTGCCCGAAAACATGATCCGGCACGAGGCCCAGCGCGTTCCGGGCGTGACCGGCCGTGTCGATCTGCGGCTCTATTGGCCGGAACGCGCGGGCTATCGCCTCAGCCATGCCGACGCATTTTCGGACACCGATCCCGAAACGACACAGACCGTCCTGATTTCGGTCGCCAAGCGGCAATGGCTGCTCGACATGGCCGGACGGCTCGAATTGGTCTACGGAAAGGCCGCCGATGCATCCGCCGCGCCGCGCCCGGTCCACGGACTGACCGCCTTACGCCTCGACCCGGCGCACGGCTATGTCGACGAAACGCTCTATTTCGCGCCGTCCGCCAATGGCGGGGCGCTGCCGGCCTTCATCGCCCGCTGCAACGAACCGGCGGCGGGGGCAGCACCGCTGCTTCTGGCGTGCGAGACCGACCTGTTCTTCGGCGAGACGCTTGAGGCGCGCATCCGTTTTCCGGCCCATTTCCTTGCGGACTGGGCGCGTTTCCGCTCCGAGCTGGATGCGTTTCTCCACGGACTTCAGGTCCGCGCCGAATAGGCCGGAACGCTATTCTTCCAGATCGATGTCCAGGATCGACATGGACAAATCGTAGGAGACCTCGCCCTCATCCTCGATGCGCGAGATGATGCCGAGAAACTCCTCACCCAGATAGAGTTCCGCCGAATCGCTCAGCTTGGGGCGCGCCTTCACCGCCAGCGAGGCATTGCCGAAGGTGCGCCGGAAATAGGCGGTGAGCTGTTCGAGTTCGCTGGCTTTCAAGGAGGCCTCCGGATCGATTCGAGTGTCCGGCTTTTGCCGCCGGCTGGCCCTGACATACACGCCGTACGGCGCCGTTCAAGGGGCGGTGGCAATTCTCAGCCCAGCATCTGGTCCATGGCGCGGGAGGGTTCGGCGCAGCCGCTTTCGCCGACGACCTTGGCCGGCACGCCCGCGACCGTCTTGCACGGCGGAATGTCCGACAAGACGACCGACCCGGCCGCCACCTTGGAGCAATGGCCGACCTTGATGTTGCCGAGGATCTTGGCGCCCGCGCCGATCAACACGCCATGGCCGATCTTGGGGTGGCGGTCCGAGCCTTCCTTGCCGGTGCCGCCCAGGGTGACCGAGTGCAGGATCGACACATCGTCGCCGATGGTCGCCGTCTCGCCGACCACCAGGCCGGTGGCATGATCGAGGAAGATGCCCTTGCCGATGCGCGCGGCCGGATTGATGTCGGTCTGGAACACGGAGGACGAACGGCTCTGCAGATAGAGCGCAAAATCGCGGCGGCCGCCGTTCCACAGCCAATTGGCCAGGCGATGGGTCTGGATGGCGTGAAAGCCCTTGAAATAGAGCATGGGCTCGATCAGCCGCGTGCAGGCCGGGTCGCGGTCATGCACCGCCTGCAGATCGATCCGCACCGCTTCGGCGAAATCGGTGTTCGCCGACAGCATGGCATCGAAAGCCTGCCGGATAAGGTCGGCCGGCAGATCGGGATGATCCAGCCGCTCGGCGATGCGGTGCGTGACCGCCTGTTCGAGACCGGGCTGGTTGAGCACGTTGGTGAAGAAGAAGGTCGCGATCGCCGGATCGCTGTCCGCCGCCGCCGCAGCTTCCTGCCGGATGCGGTGCCAGATCGGATCGACGGGGTTGACCGCCGGCGCCTGATTGCGCGGTGCTTCGCGGGACATGGATGCTCTCCCAAGCCGATTGTCGGTGCCAAACCTAGCCCAGAACCCTCACATTTGGAACCGCCGGCGCCGGGTTCAAGACGCGCCGGCCTCGCCCAGGAACGCGTGAACCGCTCGCTTGAACGCCGGATCGCCGACGGCGAGCATGTGATCCCGGCGTTCGATGTCGAGAGCACGGGCGTCCGGCATCATGTCGGCCAGCGGCTGCGGCGCGCCGGCAATGTCGTCCTTCGTGCCGACGCCGATCAGCGTCGGCGCGGCGATCGCGCCCATCTCGTCGGGCGTCAGAAGCGTGCGCGACGAGCGGATGCAGGCGGCCAGCGCCAGCCGGTCGCTGCCGGTCTCATCGGCAAAGGCGCGGAACATGCGGCCGCGTTCGTGCGTGACATCGTCAAGCGACGGCGCGAGCAGCGCATCGGCGATAGGGTCCCAGTCTCCGACGCCCTCGACCATGCCGATGCCCAAACCGCCGAAGATGAGGCGCCGCACGCGGCCCGGATGATCGAGCGCGGCGAACGCGCAGATGCGCGCGCCCATCGAATAGCCGAACAGATGCGCCGCACCGATGCCCAGATGATCGAGCAGCGCGATTGCGTCGCCCGCCATTTTCTGCGGCGTATAGGCCTCGGTGTCGTGCGGCTTGTCGCTGTCGCCATGGCCGCGATTATCGAGCGCGACCGCGCGATAGCCGGCGCCGGTCAATGTCTCGACCCAGCCCGGCCCGATCCAGTTGACGGCTCTATTCGACGCAAAGCCGTGCACCAGCAGCACCGGCGTGCCGTCGCGCGGGCCTTCGTCGAAGAAGGCGAGGTCAAGACCGTCATTGTGAAAACGGGGCATAGGGCTTCCTTGCGCAACCGATCGACAATTGAGCGAAAGACGGGTGGAAATTCGCCGCGCGACTGGCTACCAAGTTCTGCAGTGCAGCGAAAGGGCTGCGCCCTGCCGCAATCCCGAGGCACAAGACCGGAGACCCGCAATGGCCGGTGGCAAAACGCCCCATTTCCACAATGATGCCGGGCACACCCGCATCGCGATCGGCGTCAAGGAATTCATGTGCGTGGGCGCAACGCCGCCTTACGATCACCCGCACGTTTTCCTCGACATGGGCGACGACAATGACATTGTCTGCCCCTATTGCTCGACGCTGTATGTGCACGATGCCAGCCTTTCTGCGGGGCAGACAGAGCCGGCGGGCTGCGCGTTCGACATTGCCGCCGACGCAGCCTGACGCGCGGAACCGGCGATGGCGAACATGGGCGACGCGCTCGATGGCATTCTCGTGGCGGGTGCCGGCATTGGCGGGCTGACCGCGGCCCTCGGCCTTGCGCAGCGCGGTCGCGCGGTGACGATCGTTGAAGCGTTCGAAGCGCCCTCGGAGATCGGCGCCGGCCTGCAGGTTCCGCCCAATGCCTGCCATGTGCTCGATTCGCTTGGCGTTCTGGACGAACTGAAGAAGAAGGCATCGGTGCCCGACCGTATCTGCCTCGGCGATGCGGTCAGCGGGCGGATCGTGCTCAGCCTCGATGTGAACCGCGACGGCGCCGACGATGGCACCTATCTGACCGCCCACCGGGCGCTGCTCCATGGCGTTCTTTACAATGCCGCAATGGCACACCCCTCGATCACGCTGCTGGCCGGCCACCGGATCGTCGACGTGGCCGAAGGCGACGATGCGGTGACGGTAACGGCGGCCCATGGCGGCGACCGTGCCGAACTCAACGCGCCGGCGGTGATCGGCGCCGACGGCATCTGGTCGATCCTGCGGCATGCCGTGGCCGGCGCAGGCACGCCGCAGCCGACGGGCCGCATCGCCATGCGCGCCGTGGTGCCCGCCCCGGCCGGAGCGCAGGCCAATGCGGTGGTTGCCTGGATGGCGCCGCATGCCCATCTGGTCACCTATCCGGTGCGCAACGCCGAAACGCGCAATCTCGTCGCCGTCATTCGCGGAACGACCGGCAAGACGAGCTGGTCGGAAAGCATCGATCTCGACACGCTCGAACACCTATTCGAGAAGCTCGACCACACACCTTATGGCGATCTGAACGATCATGCCGAGTGGACCGCATGGCCGCTTTATTCGGTCGATCCGCACGGCCAGTGGCACTCGGACCGCATTTGCCTGTTGGGCGATGCGGCACACGGAATGGAACCGTTCGCGGCGCAGGGCGCGGCGATGGCGATCGAGGACGGGCAGGTTCTCGCCAAGGCGATCGCCGACGCAGGCACCGATTTCACCAACGCCTTCAAGGCCTTTCACGCCGCACGGGCCGAACGGGTCCGCCGCGTCGCCCAGCGCACCGCCTTCAACCGCTTCACCTATCATCAGGCCGGCATCGGGCGCCTCGCCCGCAATCTCGGTTTCAGGCTGCGGCCGGCGAGCGCCTTTCGCGCCGATCTCGACTGGCTCTACGGCTATCGCGCCTGACCGACGGCCACGCGCGCCAGCCCGAACTCCAGCGTCTGCGCCAACGGTGTCCAGTGTCCGACGCCGATCCCCGCGTCGCGCAGGCGCCGTCCGGCCCAGGCATTGCAACTGTGCCACGGCGAAAAACGGCCATGACCGGCAAAGAACCGGTCGCCGAACCCCTGGCTGATGCCTGCAAAGGGTTCATGGGCCGCAAACCACGGGGCGATCGAACCGGTCAGCATGGCAAGCTGGTCTTCGGTCACCTCGATTGCATAAAGTCCCGGACGCGGCGTGCCGAGATCGCCGAGGGGCTGGACATGCATCACCGCTTCGTCGAATGCGAGTGCCCGAGCGGCGATGCCGACTGTCAGGTCGCGCACCTCGCGCAGGCTGGTGTAGGCGGTGCGCGACCCCCAGCCGAACAGCCAGTACCGCACGGCATCCGGATCGACCGGGTGATGGGCTTCATCGAGCCCGATCGCGGCCATGATCCCGCGCTCGCCATCAACATCGGCCAGCATCGCATCGGCTGGCAGCGCGATGCCGGCATGAAAGCCGTTCGACAGGACGTAGATGCGGTGGCGCTGCTCCGCCGTCACGGGGCCGCCGGCAGGCACGGATGCGGGGAACGGTACGGCGCCCGCCATGAGCGCGAGTGCCGGCAGCGCGAGGACGATCGCAAGGACGGCGGCAAGGCGGCGCATCGGCCCGGCGGCCTTGCGCGCGGATCAGTGCAGGATCTGGCTGAGGAATTCCTTTGTCCGCTCGTGCTGCGGATTGTCGAAGAATGGATCGGGCTCGTTCTGCTCGACGATCTGGCCCTGGTCCATGAAGATGACGCGGTTGGCCACCTGGCGGGCGAAGCCCATCTCGTGGGTGACGCACAGCATGGTCATGCCTTCCTCTGCAAGGCCGACCATCGTGTCCAGCACCTCCTTGATCATCTCCGGATCGAGCGCCGATGTCGGCTCGTCGAACAGCATGATGCGCGGGTTCATGCACAGAGAGCGCGCGATCGCCACGCGCTGTTGCTGGCCGCCCGAGAGCTGGCCGGGGTATTTCTGGGCCTGCTCGGGGATCTTGACCCGCGTCAGGAAATGCATTGCCCGCTCCTCGGCTTCCTTCTTGGGCATCTTGCGCACCCAGATCGGCGCCAGCGTGCAGTTCTCGAGAATCGTCAGATGCGGGAACAGGTTGAAGTGCTGGAACACCATGCCGACCTCGCGGCGCACCTCGTCGATCTTCTTCAGATCGTTGGTCAGTTCGATCCCGTCGACGACGATCTGGCCCTTCTGGTGTTCTTCCAGGCGATTGATGCAGCGGATGAGCGTCGACTTGCCCGAGCCGGACGGGCCGCAAATGACGATCCGCTCACCGCGCATCACCTTCAGATTGATGTCGCGCAGGACATGGAATTCGCCATACCATTTGTGCATGTCGTTGATCTCGACGGCGACATCGGTCTCCGACACCTGCATCCTGGACCGGTCGACATGGATTTCATCGGGTTTGACGGCGTTTGCGCTCATGAAGGCGGCTCCTAGCTGCGGTGTGACGTGTCGAGACGCTGCTCCATGTACATGGAGTAGCGGGACATGCCGAAACAGAAGATGAAATAGATGATCGAGGCGAAGATCAGACCGGTAATGCTCTGTACCGGCGTCGCCCACGTCGCATCGCTCGTCGAAGACCGGATGATGCCAAGGAAGTCGAACAGTCCGATGATCAGCACCAGCGTGGTGTCCTTGAACAGGCCGATGAAGGTATTGACGATGCCGGGAATGACCAGCTTGAGCGCCTGCGGCAGGATGATCATGCGCATCATCTGGCCCCAGTTGAGACCGAGCGCCATCGCGCCCTCATACTGGCCCTTGGGCAGCGCCTGAAGCCCGCCGCGCACCACCTCGGCCATGTAGGCCGACGAGAACAGCGCCACGCCGATCAGCGCCCTGAGCAACTTGTCGAAGGTCACGCCCTCGGGCAGGAACAGCGGCAGCATGACCGAGGACATGAACAGGACGGTGATCAGCGGCACGCCGCGCCAGAACTCGATGAAGACGATGCAGATGAAGCGGACGATCGGCATGTCGGACCGGCGCCCTAGCGCCAGCGCGATGCCGATCGGCAGCGATGCGGCGATGCCGGTGACGGCAATCACCATCGTCACGAGCAGTCCGCCCCAGACGTCGGTCCGCACCCGTTCGAGGCCGAAGTCGATGCCGAGCACCGCGACGATCACGAACAGGCTGGCGAATATGACCGCCGTGGCCTTCAGCCCCGGCATCGGGTCGGATTGCGATCCCCTGGCAAAGCCGTAGGCCACTGCCAGCGCCAGCACGGTGAGGATGGCAAGCGGCAGATAGGTGCCAATTACATCGAAATTGCCGCCGGTCAGCAGGATCAGCGTGATCACCGGGAAGGCCAGCACCATGAAGGCGATGTTCTCGCGCTTGAACGGAAGCGACGGCATCAGGAGCGGGATCAGCCCACCGAAGAACATCAGCCAGACGATGTTCACACGCCACTGCTCCTCGTCCGGATAGCGGCCATAGATGAACTGGTTCATGTAGGCGCCGACATAGGCCCAGCACGCGCCGAACCATCCATTGGGCTGAACGCCGCCCTGCGCCTCGGTCGCGCATGCGGTCCGGTCGGTACCCGACCAGACGGCATCGAAGACCATGAAATTGGCGATCGGCGGAACGATCAGATAGAGCACATAGATACAGACCAGCGTGAGGATTGTCTGTGGGACGCTCGGAAACAGGTGCTCGCGCATCCAGCCGACGGGGCCGCGACTGACGGAAGGGGCGGCCTGCTCGGCCAGCATCTTGCCGCGGACGAACGCCGTTGCGGGACCGACGTTCTCGGGCGGAGCGGTGACATTGGTTCGATCGATCATATCAGCGCTCCACCAGCGCCACGCGCGCATTGTACCAGTTCATGAATGCCGAGGTCAGCAGCGAGAAGGTCAGATAGGTCAGCATGGTGATCGAGATGATCTCGACCGCCTGACCGGTCTGGTTCAGTGCCGTTCCGGCAAACACGGACGTCAGCTCGGGATAGGCGATCGCGACCGCGAGCGACGAATTCTTGGTCAGGTTGAGATATTGGCTGGTGAGCGGCGGAATGATGATCCGCAGCGCCTGCGGGATGACGACAAGCCGCAGGTTCTGCCCCTGCCGCAGTCCCAGTGCGTGGGCAGCCTCGGACTGTCCCTTGCTGACGCCGAGAATGCCCGCGCGCACGATCTCGGCGATAAAGGCGGCCGTGTAGGTCGACAGCGCGACGAGCAGCGCGATGAATTCGGGGATGACCGTCATGCCGCCCGATGGCCGGAACCCGCCCAGGACAGGCATGTCCCAGGTGAGCGGCGCGCCAAGCGCAAGAAACACGACAAGCGGAAGACCGACAGCGGCGCCAAGACCGACCCAGAGCGACGGAAAGCGCTGACCGGTCGCCATCTGGCGCCGGTACGACCAGCGCGATACGCCGATCGCGATGACGATGCCGGCGATGAGCGCGTAAAGGACGAACGCCGAGCCATCGCCCCAGACGGGCTTGGGCGCGAAATAGCCGCGAATGTTCAGAAGGCCGAGCGGGCCGAAATCGAGGCTGTCGCGCGGCTGTGGCAGAAGCCGCAAGACGCCGAAATACCAGATGAAGATCTGCAGCAGCAGCGGGACGTTGCGGGCAAATTCGACATAGGAGGTGGCAAGGCGGCTGACGATCCAGTTGTTGGAGAGCCGGGCGATGCCGAGCAGGAAGCCCATGACGGTCGCGAAAACGATCCCGACGACGGCGACGATGAGCGTGTTCAGGACGCCAACGACATAGACCCGTCCATAGGATGATGTGCCCTGGTCATAGTCGATCAGCGACTGCGCAACGGAGAAGCCGGCATTTTCGCCAAGGAACCCGAAGCCCGAGGCGACGCCGGCCGCCTGCAGGTTGGCGTTCATGTTCACCCAGCCCGAGTAGACGAGATAGGCGACCGCCACGCCCAAAAGGATCTGGAACAGCCAGCTGCGAAACTTGGGATTGTTGAGCAGCGCCACCTTGGGCGGTGCATCGGCGACCCCGCGCCCCATATCCGTGACAGCCATTCGACCTCCTGCCTTGCTCTTGTCGTCGGTACCGGTCGGGACCTGAACGGGCGCCATCGACCACGCGGCCCAGGGATCACACTGTCACGATCGTGACGTATCCCGCTGGTGCGTGCCGTCTGGACGTGCCCGGGCGGAATGCCGCCCGGGCCCTTTTCAGCCGGTCTTCAGCGGATCGGCGGTGCGTATTGCAGGCCGCCCTGCGACCACAGTGCGTTCACGCCGCGTCCGATCGCCAGCTCGGTGTCCGGGCCGACGTTGCGGTCGAAGATCTCGCCGTAATTGCCGACGGCGGCGATGGCCTTGGCGGCCCAGTCGTTTTCGAGACCGATATCGCTGCCGAACTCGCCCTCGGTGCCGAGAAGGCGGCGGATCGACGGATTGTCGCTTTCCTTCATCTCCTCGACATTGGCCATCGTCACACCGAGTTCCTCGGCGTTCAGCGTTGCGAAATGTACCCACTTGACGATGTTGAACCACTGGTCGTCGCCCTGACGGACAACCGGACCGAGCGGCTCCTTGGAGATGATTTCCGGCAGAACCTTGTGGGCGCCGGGATCGGTCAGCTTGAGGCGCTGCGCATAAAGGCCCGACTGGTCGGTCGTGTAGACGTCGCAGCGTCCGGCGTCATAGGCGGCGACGACCTCATCGGCCTTTTCGAAGGCGACCAGCTCGTACTCCATGTTGTTGGCACGGAAATAGTCGGCCACGTTCAGCTCGGTCGTCGTGCCCGTGTTGGTGCAGATCGAGGCACCGGACAGTTCGAGCGCCGAATTGATGTTCATGTCCGTGCGGATCATGAAGCCCTGGCCGTCATAATAGTTGACGCCGGCGAAGTTCAGGCCGAGCTGCGTGTCGCGGCTCATCGTCCAGGTCGTGTTGCGCGACAGAACATCGACTTCGCCCGACTGCAGCGCGGTGAAACGCTCCTTGGCCGACAGCGGCGTGAACTTCACAGCGGTGGCGTCGCCGAAGATCGCCGCGGCGATGCCCCGGCACAGATCGACATCCATGCCGCTCCATTCGCCATCGGCGTCAGGGTTGGAAAACCCCGGCAGACCCTGGCTCACGCCGCACTGCACGAAGCCCTTGGCCTTGACATCATCGAGCGTTGCCGCCGATGCGGTCGACGCGCCGAGCGCAAGCACGGCGGCTCCCAGGACACCTGTGAGTACAGTTTTTGTCATCGTTTTTCCTCATGGTTGCTCAAGTTGCTTTGGGCTTGAGCGCCGACTTACCGCGTGCTCCGGCCACAGCCAGAACGCGAACGGCACCTCCCTTCCCGCATGTGAGACAAGGCCAAAAAACGAGACCGGTCAAGGACTATCTGCCGGTTTGGTCGCCGGTTAACTTAACGTCAAAGCGTTTTGAGAGCCGGTTTGGGTGCCTCCGGCGGCTTTCGTGCGAGGCCACCGCAAGACCTGGCGAAGTGCCGGCATCCATGCGACGCGTCGCCTGCCGGCCGGTTGAGGTTGACGCCGGCGGGACGACCGCCTAGGCGCTGGGCGCTGAACGAGACAAGGAGATCACCGGACCATGGCAGGCGGCGGCAAGGGCGGCAAACGCGGCATCAACACGCAATTGGCGCATTCGGGGAACGACCCGCACGCCTATTTCGGCTGGGTGAACCCGCCGGTCGTGCATGGCTCGACGGTGCTGTTCCCCGACGCGGCGACCATGAAGGCGACACAGGTCCGCAATGCCGACGCGACAAGCCGAAGCCGCGTCCAGCCCTATACTTACGCGACCTATGGCAGCCCGACGACGGATGCGCTGTGCGAGGCCGTCAATGCGCTGGAAGGCAGCGCGGGCACCATTCTCGTCCCCTCCGGTCTTGCAGCCGTCACCGTGCCGCTGCTCGCCTTTCTGTCGGCGGGCGATCACGTTCTCATCGTCGATACGGTCTATTATCCGACGCGGCGCTTTGCGGACACGATGCTCGCGCGTATGGGCGTCGAGGTCGAATATTATCTGCCCGAAATCGGCGCCGACATTGCGACCCTGTTCCGCGACAACACCAAGGTCGTTTTCATGGAGGCGCCGGGCTCGAACACATTCGAGATCCAGGACGTGCCGGCCATGACGGCCGCGGCCAAGGAGCGCGGCATCGTCACCATGATCGACAACACGTGGGCGACGCCGCTCTTCTTCAAGCCGCTGGACCATGGCGTCGATATCTCGATCCATGCCGCGACAAAATATCCCGGCGGCCATTCGGACGTGATCATGGGTATGGTCAGCGCCAACGCGGCGACGTGGGGCCAGCTCTACAACACGCAGGTCGCGCTCGGCACGTGCGGCGCACCGGACGACGCCTATCTCGTTCTGCGTGGCCTCAGGACCATGGGCATCCGGCTGGAGCGGCACCAGAAAACGACGCTGGCTCTCGCCCGTTGGCTGGAAGACATGGCCAAGGAGCCCGGCTCGATCGTCGGCGACGTGCTCTACCCCGCGCTCGAGAGCTTTCCCGGTCACGACCTCTGGAAGCGTGATTTCTGCGGCGCGTGCGGCATCTTTTCGTTCGTCATCAAGGATGGAACCGAAGCGCAGGCGCATGCCTTCCTCGACGCGCTCGAACTCTTCGGACTGGGCTATTCCTGGGGCGGCTATGAGAGCCTCGTCACCCACGTCTATCTGAAGGATCGCACCGTCTCGGCGCGCGACCATGGCGGCGAAGTCATCCGTTTGCAGATCGGTCTGGAAGACGAGATTGACCTGCGGGCGGACATTGAGCGCGGACTCGCCGCCGCCAAGGCCGCAGGCTGACGCTCAGCTTTCGGGCGCCCAGGGCGGCGGCTTGCGCGCAAAGAAGGCGGCGATGCCTTTGGCCGCCTCTTCCGTCTCCCAGCGATCCGCCAAAAGCGCTGCCGTCTCCTCGGTGAGCGTTGCCGGATCGAGCCGCTCGAACGTCAGGCAGAATTGCTTGGCGTCGGCAATCGCGCCCGGTGCACCGATCAGCGCAGCGGTCGCGGCCCGGTCCACGGCCTCATCAAGCGTCTCGGCCGGGCAGATTTCGGCGATCAGGCCGGCGCGCAGCGCGAATTCGGCGTCGAAGGCCCTGCCGGCCAGCAGCATCTGGCGGGCAAACCCCTCTCCCAGACGGCGCACGACGAACGGTCCGATGGTCGCCGGCGCCAGGCCCAGCTTGGACTCGGTGAGTGCGACGCGCATTTCGGGCACGGCGATGGCGATGTCGCACACCGAGAGCATGCCGACGCCGCCGCCGAAGGCATTGCCCTGGACACGGGCGATGAGCGGCTTCGGAAGCCCGTTCAGCGTCGCCAGCATATCGGCCAGCGCGCGGCTGCCTTCCATCTTGCCGGCGCGGTCCTTTTCCATCTGCTGGCGCATCCAGTTCAGATCGCCGCCTGCGCAGAATGTCGGACCTTCCGACCGGAGCACGACCACGCGGGCCGCCGGATCGGCGGCAAGTGCATTGCCGGCCTCGGTCAGTTCGGCGATCATCTGCGCACTGAGCGCATTATGCTTGTCGGACCGGTCGAGCGTCAGCGTGGCAACGCCGCGCGCGTCGGTTTCAATCCTGATCGTTTCGTAGCGCGCCATGGCCCCTCATCCTTCCCGTGCGGCCCTGTCGCGCAGGACACGCCGCATGATCTTGCCCGTGGTCGTCACCGGCAGCTCGTCGACGGCCTCGATCTCGCGCGGATATTCGTGCGCAGCCAGCCGGTACCTGACGTGCGATTTCAACCCGGCCTCCAGCGCCGCATCGAGCGCGTATCCTTCGGCCAGCACCACATAGGCCTTGACGATTTCAGTGCGCTCCGGATCAGGCTTGCCGATGGCGGCTGCCATGCGCACGGCTCGATGGCGGATCAGGCAATCCTCGATGCTCCCCGGCCCGATTCGGTAGCCGGCCGATGTGATCACATCGTCGTCGCGGCCGACAAAGCGGATCCAGCCGCCCGTCTCGCGCACCCCGACATCGCCCATGATCAGCCAGTCGCCGATGAACTTTTCAGCCGTCGCATCAGGATTGTTCCAGTATTCCAGGAACATGACCGGATCGGGCCGGCGCACGGCGATCAGCCCCTGCTCGCCTTCGGCGCATTCGGTGCCATCCTCGCGCAGGATGGCGACCGAATGCCCGGGCACCGGCCGGCCAATCACGCCGGGGCGCGGCGGCATCAGCGCCGCGCACGAGGAAATCACGAGATTGCATTCGGTCTGGCCGTAGAACTCGTTGATCGTCACGCCGAGCACCCTCCGGCCCCAGTCGACAAGCTCGGCACCAAGCGACTCACCACCCGAGCCGACCGTGCGCAGATGCAGCCGTCGCGGCGGCGCCTCGGGATACGCCGCGCGCATCATCTTCAGCGCCGTCGGCGGCAGGAAGGCGTTGGTGACCTTGCGCCGCGCCATCAGCGCAAAGGCGTCCTCGGCAGTGAACTTGTCGAAGCGCCGCGCAACCACCGGCACGCCGTGAAACAGCGCCGGCAGAAGCACATCGAGCAGGCCGCCGATCCATGCCCAGTCCGCCGGCGTCCAGATGACATCGCCGGGCTGCGGGAAGAACTCATGGTGCATCTCGACACCCGGCAGATGGCCGAGCAACACCCGGTGGGCGTGCAGCGCGCCCTTGGGCGCCCCCGTCGTGCCAGACGTGTAGATGATCAAAGCCGGATCGCCGGCGGCGGTGTCGATCACATCGAAATCGGCTGGCTGGCCCGCCAGCAGCGCGTGCAGGTCGACGGTTTCGAGAGCGTCATGGGCGCCGTCAATCGTCGCGATCGTCAGCCCCTCCTGCGCGCCCTTGGACATGGCGCGCAGCTTGGCGGCCCCGTCCCGGTTCGTGATCACGTGCCCGATGCCGGCATCGACGATGCGATGCTCCAGCGCATCGGGGCCGAACAGCACGAACAGCGGCACGGCGATCGCGCCCATCTTGTAGATGGCGATATGGCCGGCGGCGGTCTCGACCGCCTGCGGCAACAGGACGCCAACACGGTCGCCATGCAAAACGCCTTGGGCCGCGAGCAGATTGGCGATGCGGTTCGACATGTCGCGCAGTTCGCCGAAGCTAACCGTGCGGTCTTCATCGTCGAGGATCAGGGCCGGCCGGTCGGGATCGGCCTCCGCCCAGCGGTCGCAGCAGGCCGCACCCATGTTGAAGCGCTCCGGCACATCCCAGCGGAACCGGTCGGCCAACTCCTCGTATGTTGCCGCTTCGGGCAGCATCAGTCTTCGTCCGGCTCAAGCGCGATCAGCACGGCACCGCCCTCCACAGCGCTGCCCGGTTCGCCATGGATCGCGGCAATGGTGCCGTCGCGCGGCGCGGTCAGCGGATGTTCCATCTTCATCGCTTCGACCACCGCCAGCCGGTCGCCGGCCGAAACCGCCTGCCCGACGTCGATGTCGATCAATCGCACGATGCCGGTCATCGGCGCGGTCACCGCGTCACCGCTGCCCGCCATATCGGCGCCTGCGGTGAGCGGGTCGGGCACCGTGAAATCATGCGACGCGCCACCGAGCAGAACCGAGACATGGGTCGCGCCGGCGGATTGGTAGCGCACGAGACCGGCGGCGAAGCCACGGCTGCCCGAATTGCCGCCGATGGTCGTCGCGTCGCGAACCAGATTGTCGAGCCGGAGCGGCGTCTCGCCCTCCAGCGTCACGCTGCCGGGCCCGTGCAGGATCAGCCGGCGCCCGATCATGGTATCGCCCTGCAGAAGCCGCACCTGATGGCTGGCCTCGCCCCAGAGCCGCCAGCCCAGGCGCGGATCGGCCGGATCGAGATCAAGCGCGGCGATGGCGGCCAAAGCCACCGCCATGTCTGATGTCTCCGGTTTCGCGGTCAGCGCATCCACATCGCGGTCGATCAGGCCGGTATCCACCTCGCCTGCGGCAAATCCGTCATGGCTTGCCAGCGCCAGAAGAAAGGCGCGGTTGGTCATGGTTCCGGCGACATGGGTCTCGGCGAGAGCCCGTCGCAGCCGGCCAAGCGCCTGTTCGCGCGAACCCGAATGGGTGATCAGCTTGGCGATCATCGGATCGTAGAAGGGCGAGATGGCATCGCCCGACCGGACGCCGGTGTCGATGCGTGCATCGCCGAACGCCAGATGCGCGAGCGTTCCGGTCTGCGGCAGGAAACCGTTGGCCGGGTCTTCGGCGTAAAGCCGCGCCTCGAAGGCATGGCCGCATATGGCGATCTCGTCCTGATCTCTGGGCAGCGGCTCGCCGGACGCCACACGCAACTGCCACTCGACCAGATCGAGGCCTGTGATCGCCTCGGTCACCGGATGCTCGACCTGCAGCCGCGTGTTCATCTCCATGAACCAGAACCCGTCGGGCCGGAGCGGACCCGAACCGTCGGCGATGAATTCGACCGTGCCGGCGCCCTGATATCCGATCGCCCTGGCGGCGCGCACCGCCGCGCCCGTCATCGCCGCGCGCACCTCCTCGGTCATGCCCGGCGCAGGCGCCTCCTCGATCACCTTCTGGTGGCGCCGCTGCAGCGAGCAATCGCGCTCGAACAGGTGCACGACATTGCCATGCGCGTCACCGAACACCTGCACCTCGATATGCCGCGGCGCGGTCACATATTTTTCGATCAGCACCGCATCGTCGCCGAAGGCGCCCTGCGCCTCGCGCCGGCAGCTTTCGAGCGCGCTCTTGAAGTCGCCGGCGCGCTCGACCTTGCGCATGCCCTTGCCTCCACCACCCGCGCGCGCCTTGATCAGCACCGGGTAGCCGATCTGGTCGGCTTCGCCGGCGAGGAAATCGGCGTTCTGACTGTCGCCGTGATAGCCCGGCACCACCGGCACGCCGGCCTTTTCCATCAGCGCCTTTGCTGCATCCTTGAGGCCCATGGCGCGGATCGCATCCGCCGACGGGCCGACAAAGACCAGCCCGGCCGCCTCGACCGCTTCGACGAAGGCCGGGTTTTCGGACAGGAACCCGTAGCCGGGATGGATCGCGTCCGCGCAGGTCGCCTTGGCGGCCTTTAGGATCGCATCGATGTCCAGATAGCTTTCAGCAGCCGGCGCCGGTCCGATCCGCACGGCTTCGTCGGCCATTTCGACATGCAGCGCGCCTGCATCCGCGTCCGAATGGACCGCCACCGTCGCGATGCCCATGTGCTTGGCAGTCCGGATCACGCGGCAGGCGATCTCGCCGCGATTGGCGATGAGGAGCTTGGCGATCATGGCGTCACATCCGGAACACGCCGAAGCGCGTCTCTTCGACCGGCGCGTTGAGCGCGGCGCGTAGGCTCAGCGCCACCACGTCGCGTGTCGTGCGCGGATCGATGATGCCGTCGTCCCAAAGCCGCGCCGAGGCGTAGAACGGATGCGACTGTTCCTCGAACAGATCGAGCGTCGGCTGCTTGAACGCGGCCTCCTCCTCGGCGCTCCATGTACCGCCCTTGGCTTCGATGCCGGCGCGCTTGACCGTGGCGAGCACGCCCGCCGCCTGCGCGCCGCCCATCACGGCGATGCGCGCGTTCGGCCACATCCACAAAAAGCGCGGGCCGTAGGCGCGGCCGCACATGCCGTAATTGCCCGCGCCATAGGAGCCGCCGATGATCACCGTCACCTTGGGCACGGCGGCGGTGGAGACCGCCTGCACCAGCTTGGCGCCGTCCTTGGCGATGCCGCCGGCCTCATATTTCGAGCCGACCATGAAGCCTGTGATGTTTTGCAGGAACAGGAGCGGGATTTTCCGCTGGCAGCACAGTTCGATGAAATGCGCGCCCTTGAGCGACGATTCCGAAAACAAAACGCCATTGTTGGCGATGATCCCCACCGGCACGCCGTCAATATGGGCGAAGCCGGTAACGAGCGTCGTGCCGTAACGCGGCTTGAACTCGGCGAAATCGGAACCGTCGACGATCCGGGCGATGACGTCGCGCACGTCGTAGGGCGTCTTGGTGTCGTGCGGGATCAGATCGAACAGCGTTTCGGGATCATGGGCGGGCGCTTTCGCTTGCCTGATCGCAACACTCGGTTCCGGCGCCGGGCCGAGGCCGGCGACGATCTGGCGGGCCAGCGCCAGCGCATGGGCATCATCGTCGGCCAGATAGTCGGCAACGCCGGAAAGCCGCGTGTGCGTGTCGCCGCCGCCGAGCGTTTCGGCATCGACCACCTCGCCCGTGGCTTCCTTGACCAGCGGCGGGCCGGCCAGGAAGATCGTGCCCTGTTCGCGCACGATGATCGTCTGGTCGCTCATCGCGGGCACATAGGCGCCACCCGCCGTGCACGAGCCCATCACGACGGCGATCTGGGGTATGGCCGCCGCGCTCATCCGCGCCTGATTGTAGAAGATGCGGCCGAAATGGTCGCGATCCGGGAACACCTCGTCCTGATTGGGCAGGTTGGCGCCGCCGGAATCGACCAGATAGAGGCACGGCAGCCGGTTCTCGGCGGCGATCTCCTGGGCACGCAGATGCTTCTTGACGGTCAGCGGAAAATACGTGCCGCCCTTCACCGTCGCGTCGTTGCAGACGATCATGCAGTCGCGACCCGACACCTTGCCGACACCCGCGATCACGCCGGCGGCGGGAATGTCGTCCTCGTAGACGCCGCGCGCGGCAAAGAGCCCGATTTCGAGAAACGGTGCACCGGGGTCCAAAAGCCCCTGCACGCGGTCGCGCGGCAGCAGCTTGCCGCGCTTGAGATGCCGCTCGCGCGACGCCTCGGACCCGCCGGCCATGATGCGAGCGGCTTCGGCGGCGGTCTGTTCGGTCTGGGTGCGGAGACTGCTCACCGGATCACCTCAATTGCGATGTCGGTGTCCAGATCGGCCCATGCGCGGTCAGCGGTCACCGCCGTCGCGTCCATTGCCTTGGCCAGTGCCAGACAGGCGCGGTCGGCGAGCGACAGGCCCCTTGAGCGTGTCGGCGCGCGCAGCGCGACCGCGATCCGGCTTTGCCTCTGGTCGAAGGCGATAACCGACAGGCGCAATGCATTCATGATCACCTCAAGATCATCGTCCGGCACGCCCTTGTCCGCCAGCTTAGTGCCCACTTCGCAGAGATTGATTGTCGAAACCAGCGCTCCGTCCAGCATTTGGCCGACCTGGGCGCCGCCGGGCTCGTCGTTCAGATGCGCAATGATCGCAGACGCATCAAGCACAATGGCCATCAGGCGCCTTCCCGCGCCGCGTCCGCATGCCGATCCGCGATCAGCTCATCGACCAGGCTTACGCCTTCGGGCACATATTGGCGCACGATCGCGCGTGCCCGGGCCAGTTCGCCCGCCCGGGTCCGCATCACCAGCGCGCCGTCCTCGATGGAAAGGCTCACCTCCTCGCCCTCGCTTATCGCCAGCCGCTCGCGCAGTTCGGCGGGGATTACGAAACGACCGGACGCGCCAATGGTCGCCGTGACGGGCGCGGGGGCAGCATCACCCGCGCCCGATTGGGCCCTGTCGGCGGACAGCACGTTATAGGCATGCTGGTAACGGATGCCCAGGCTGCGCGCGATATCGGCCGTCGCATAGCCGGCCGCGGCCAACAGCCTGATCTTGTCCGACTTGGTGGAAGGCAGCGGCACGTCCATCTGCTCCAGTGTTCGCTTTAGCTGCCCGCCCGGCAAGTCGTCGAGTGCCTTGCGCAGCCGCTCCGACGGCAGGTCCTCGAACGCCTTGCGCAATTGTTCGGAGGGCAGCGCGTCCAAATGGCGCTTCAGGATGTCAACCGGCCGCTCGGGACCGGCAGCCGCGATGCGCAAGTCATGGCTCATGACATATCTCCATCAAACAAGGCAAATCATGTCATTCTACTATTCAATTTGTCAATAGTAACAATACTATCAACTACCGCGTCTCCGCGAACAGTTCCCGGCCGATCAGCATGCGGCGGATTTCGCTCGTGCCCGCGCCGATCTCGTAGAGCTTGGCGTCGCGCAGCAGGCGTCCTGTCGGGTATTCGTTGATATAGCCGTTTCCGCCCAGGCACTGAATCGCCTCCAGCGCGATTTGCGTCGCCTTTTCAGCGCTATAGAGAATGCAGCCGGCGGCGTCCTTGCGCGTCGTCTCGCCCCGGTCGGCGGCCTGCGCGACGGCGTAGACATAGGCGCGGCAGGCGTTCATCACCGTATACATGTCGGCCAGCTTGCCCTGCATCAGCTGGAACTCGCCGATCGGCTGGCCGAACTGCTCGCGCTCGTGCACATAGGGCATGACGACGTCCATCGCCGCCGCCATGATGCCAAGCGGGCCGCCGGCGAGAACGATGCGCTCATAATCGAGGCCGCTCATCAGCACGTTGACGCCGCGGCCCTCCTCGCCCAGCACATTGTCGAACGGCACTTCGCAATCCTCGAACACCAGTTCGCAGGTGTCCGAGCCGCGCATGCCAAGCTTGTCGAGCTTCTGGGCGGTCGAAAAGCCGGTCATCTGCTTTTCGATCAGAAAGGCCGTGATGCCGCGCGGGCCGGCTTCGGGATCGGTCTTGGCGTAAACGACCAGCGTGTCGGCGACGGGACCGTTGGTGATCCACATCTTGTTGCCGTTCAGAACGTAGCGGTCGTTTCTCTTGTCGGCGCGCAGCTTCATGGAGACGACATCGGACCCCGAACCCGGCTCGCTCATCGCCAGCGCGCCGACCTGTTCGCCGGAGATCAGGCCCGGCAGATAGCGCGCTTTCTGCGCGTCAGTGCCGTTGCGGGCGATCTGGTTGATGCAGAGGTTGGAATGGGCGCCGTAGGACAGGGCCAGGGACGCCGAAGCACGGCTGACCTCTTCCATCGCGATCACATGGGCCAGATAGCCCATGCCCGCGCCGCCATCGGCCTCGGGCACGGTGATGCCATGCAGGCCCAATTCGCCCAGTTTCGGCATCAGGTCGGCAGGAAACCGGTTGGTCGCATCGATCTCGGCAGCGCGCGGGGCGATCTGCTCCTGCGCAAACCGATGCACCATGTCGCGCAGCGCCTCGATCTCCTCGCCGAGCGCGAAATTCATCGTCGCCGTAAACATATCCCCTCCCCGTCCTGCTCGTTGGCGCTACTCGGCCGCTTCGGCCAGTCGCGCCTGTTCGGGCGGCCTGTCAAGCTCGGCGTGCAGGCGCCGGCGTTCGTTTGCGGCCTTTTCCATCGCCTCCTCCTTGACCGGGCCGAAGCCGCGGATCATCTCCGGCACCGACAGAAGATCGCGCAACGTCTCGAACCGCGCCTCATCCAGCCTTGCGAGCGCCAACTCCACATCGGCCTCATATTGTTCGATCAGCGCCCGCTCGGCACGGCGCTCGGCGGTGTATCCGAACGGATCGAGCCGGGTGCCGCGCAGGCCCTTGAACCGCGCCAGCACCCGCATCGCCCGCAGCATCCACGGGCCGAACTCGCGCTTTTTGGGCCGGCCGTCCGCATCCTCGCCGGTCAGCAGCGGCGGCGCCAGATTGAAGGACAGTTTGAAATTGCCGGCAAAACGGCCATTGAGATACTGATCGAAGGCCGGGTCCGCGAACAGCCGCGCCACCTCATATTCGTCCTTGTAGGCGAGCAGCTTCGCATAGTTATGGGCAACGGCGCGCACCAGCGCGTCGCGGTCGGTGGGTCGCGACAGGCGGTCCTCGGCAACCGATGCCACCTGCGCGATGCGATCGCGATAGCGTTTGGCGAGCGCATCGTTCTGATAGGCGGTCAGATGGGCGGCGCGATGGCGAACCAGTTCGTCCGTCGTCATCTCCGCCATCGGCTTGAAGCCGTTGGCACGGGTTTCCATCGCCTCGATCGCGGCGGGATCGTGCGCCATGACGCGGCCCCAGCGGAACGCGTCGATGTTGGCATCGACGGCGACGCCGTTGATCGCGATCGCCTGCTCGATCGCATCGGCCGACAGCGGGATCAGCCCCTTCTGCCAGGCAAAGCCGACCATCAGGATGTTGGTGGCGATCTCGTCGCCGGCGACCGCCATCGCCGCCTTGCCGAAATCGTGGAAGTGGGCATCGGGCCGCACGACGGAGCGCACCGTGTCCTCGACCGTCTGTTTGCGGAAATCGAAATCGCGCTGGCGCACGAATTCGGCGACCGGCGTCAGCTTGGCATTGACCACCGCATGGGTGCGCTCGGGATCGCAGCGCACGGTGCCGTCGCGCGAGGCGGCGACCACACTGTCGGCGGCGATCAGGACGTTGGCCCCGCCCGGCGCGATGCGCGGGCTCTTGCGCGGATTGTCGCCGGCCGACAGCCGGATATGGCTCATCACCGCGCCGCCCTTTTGCGCAAGACCCGCCATGTCGAGCACCAGCGGCGCGACGTTTTCGAGCCGGGCCGCCATGGCGATGATGCCGCCAATGGTCAGAACGCCGGTGCCGCCGACGCCGGTCACAGCGATGTTCCAGCTTGGCGCCATTTCGGGCAGGTCGGGCACGGGCAGGGCCGAAACATCAGGTGCCGTGGTGCGCGCGCTCTTGCGCAGTTCGCCGCCGCGCACCGTCACGAAGGACGGGCAGAAGCCCTTGACGCAGGAGAAATCCTTGTTGCAGGCCGACTGGTTGATCGTCCGCTTGCGGCCCATTTCCGTTTCAAGCGGATCGATGGCGATGCAGTTGGACTGCACCGAGCAATCGCCGCAACCTTCGCAGACGGCCGGGTTGATCAGCACGCGCATGTCCGGGTCTTCCATCAGCCCGCGCTTGCGGCGGCGGCGCTTTTCGGCCGCGCAGGTCTGCACATAGACGATCGCCGTCACGCCCGGCTGCTCGCGCAGCTCCTTCATCACCGCGTCGATCTCGTCGCGATGGCGAATGTCGGTGCCCGGCGGCAAGTCCGGCGCGCTGTAGGCGTCGATATTGTCGCTCATCAGGACAATCGAGCCGACGCCTTCATGGTGGAGCTGGTGGGCCAGTTGCTGCGGCGTCAGGCTGCCGTCGAGCGGCTGGCCGCCGGTCATGGCGACGGCATCGTTGTAGAGCAGCTTGTAGGTGATGTTGGCGCCCGCCGACACCGACTGCCGGATCGCCAGAATGCCGGAGTGGAAATAGGTGCCGTCGCCCAGATTGACGAAGACGTGCTTTTCATCGGTGTAGCGGCCGATGGCCGTCCACGGCACGCCCTCGCCGCCCATCTGGGTGAAGGTCTCGGTGTTCCGGTCCATCCACTGGACCATGTAGTGGCAGCCGATCCCGGCCAGCGCGCGAGAGCCCTCGGGCACCTTGGTCGAGGTGTTGTGCGGGCAGCCGGCGCAATAATGCGGCTGGCGCGTGACGGCCGGCACATGGCTTTCGGCGAAACGCTCGCGCTCTTCGAGATAGGCGAGCCGGTCTCCGATCCGGTCGCGCAGGCCGTCATCGATGCCGTCGAGCCTGAGCACCCGGTCGGCGATACCGCGCGCCACCGCACCCACCGACAGCGCCTTGGACAGCGACAGGAAAGGCTGGTCGTGCTCGTCGAACTTGCCGACGATGCGCGGGCGCACATCGGCGCGCCAGTTGAACAGGTGCATCTTGATCTGGTTCTCGATGATCTCGCGGCGCTCTTCGACAACCAAGACCTCTTCGAGACCTTCGGAGAATTCGCGCACGCCCTCGGGTTCGAGCGGCCAGGTCATCCGCACCTTGTAGAGCCTCAGACCGATTTGGGCGGCCTCTTCGTCTCCAATGCCCAGTTCGAACAGCGCCTGGCGGACATCCTCATAAGCCTTGCCGGAGCCGGCGATTCCGAACCGGGCCTTTGGCGAATCCATGGTGATCTGGTCGACCCCGTTGGCACGCGCAAAGGCGAGCGCCGCATAGGGCTTGATCTCCTGCAGGCGCTGATCCTGGACGAGCGGCGGGTCGGGCCATCTGAGGTTCACACCGCCGGGCGGCAGCCCAAAGTCCGGAATGACGAACTGGCGGCTTTCTGCGGACAAATCGACCACCGATGTGGTCTCCACCGTGTCGGAAATGAATTTCATGCCGACCCAGAGGCCCGAATAGCGCGACATGGCGATGCCGAGCAGGCCGATCTCCAGAAATTCGTGGATGGATGACGGGTACAGACACGGGATGATGGCCGATGCGAAGGCATGATCGGACTGGTGCGGCACGGTCGACGACTTGCAGGTGTGGTCGTCGCCGGCAAGGCACAGCACGCCACCATGGGGCGCCGTGCCGGCGGCATTGCCGTGCTTGAAGACATCGCCCGACCGGTCGACGCCCGGCCCCTTGCCGTACCAGATGCCCAGTACGCCGTCCTTTCGGGCGCCCGGCGACAGACCGACCTGCTGCGTACCCCAGACCGCGGTTGCGGCGAGTTCCTCGTTGACGCCGGGCTGGAAGGTGATGTCGAGCGGATCGAGGTGCTTCCTGGCGCGGACCAGTTGCTGGTCGTAGCCGCCAAGCGGCGAGCCACGGTAGCCGGTCACGAAGGCGGCGGTGTTCAGGCCGGCGGCGCGGTCCCGGCGCATCTGCACCATCGGCAGGCGGACGAGCGCCTGCATGCCGCTCATATACACCGCGCCCCCGGACGCGGTGTAGGTGTCGTCCAGACGGACGGCTGCGATGTTCATCGGTCAATCCTCCCCCACGCGCCGATCATGGCGGTGGAGCGGCACGGCATCGCGGGCTCCCGACGGATCAATGGCAGGCGCAGCCCCTCCCTGCGCACCCGACCGGTCATCTGCACACGGACCGCGCGACGGTTCGTGTTTCCAATTGCGATCAGTCTAGATCGGCGATTCCCAAGACCGCAAGCAAAACCGCTCGCCGGCATAACGATGCCATTAGGTCATCCGCTGGCTACCGCCCGTCATAATGCGAAAGTCATCAAAGCCGTTGTCGAGTTCGTCCATAGGGATAGGAACAGGCCCCTCGGTTGGAACGGCTGGCTCCCGCGCGCCAGCAAACATACTCACCGTCTCGTAAATAATGCTTCTGGTTGTGTCGAAGTAAGTCGCAGAAGCGGTTACGACAACAAAAACCGCGCTGGCGTTCGAGTTGAGCCCAAGCGGTACGATTCGAGTGAACCTATAGTCGAACTTGTCATTCGGCGCGATTGTCACGCCGCGATTTTCCGATGTGCGTTTGCGCTGCGCTTCCAAATCATCGTGCATTGTCGGCGGATCATCGTCAGCGTCGTATATCGCTATATGGACGTTAGGGGTGACGGAAATAGCAGGTGTATGCCCACTGTTGACAAAGGCAACATGTCCGACGACCCGGACAGCGGGCACTCCAGGGGGCAATTCTTGGCTGGTTGTTGTGAACCGTGTTGCGTTCTCGATTTCCACATCGGTGATGCCGGTCCATGGCCGGAGTTGAACAGCGAGCAGTTCATTGCTTCGCGCCGCAGCCAAAACAGCGCGTTCGGTCGACCGCAACGTCAGATAAAGCAGCGCGACAGCAAAGACGCTAACGAGCACTGTTGCCACAGCCGCGAGGCTGGAGACCCAATCAGTCAGCGACGCTGCAGTGTGGCTGATCAACTGCCGACAACAACCCGGCTTCAGATACCTCACGAACACCGTCGAGGGCATGAGGACGAAGAAGAAGATGCCCGCAAAAGCGAAGACGCTGGGCAGCGCCAAGCCCACCTTCCGCGACGCGGCGTTTCGTCGGCAATCATCAGCTTGCCCGTTCATGCCAGGGCATTCTTACCATCGAAACGTCTCGGTCAAGTGCACCGGGCCACTGCATCTTTGACAACGGGCCGTGTTTTGGCTGACTCTGCCAAAAGGATTGGACATGAGGACAATGGGCAAGGCCACAATCGAAATCCCGCTCGTCACCTGGCGAGACGGTCTCACGTTCATCTCATGTTCCAGCAAATAGCAATCAACTGACTTCCTGTAAGGCGCTGAAAACCAGAACTAAATCATTGGCGAACCCGGCAGGATTCGAACCTGCGACCTGATGATTAGAAGTCACCTGCTCTATCCAGCTGAGCTACGGGTCCGTCGGTGCAGATATAGACGCTGGGCACGGCACGGCGCAATCGCATGCCGGGACGGATTCGGCGATGCCGGCGCCTGCCGGTCGGAACCCTTCAGTGGGTCCAGGGGATACGGCGGTCGAACTTGAAGTTATCAGAATAGGCCTGGCGCCGCCGTTCGGCCTTTTGCGGCTTTTCGATGCGATAGGTCAGACCGTGCTTTTCGGCATAGGCAACCGCGGCTTCCATGGTGTCGAAGCGCAGATGCACCTGCGTGCGGGTGTCCGACGAAGAGGTGTATCCCATCAGCGGCTCGATGCGACGCGGCTGCTCGCGGTCGAATTCCAGAACCCAGTGGCCGGTCTTGGCCTTGCCGGACTGCATGGCGGTCTTGGCGGGACTGAAAATTCGCGCGCTCATGGCATTGGTCTCCTCTGCCAAACATCTGCCGCCGGCGTACGGTCGGCGTATCGTGGTCGGAGCGGCAGGATTCGAACCTGCGACCCTCTGGTCCCAAACCAGATGCGCTACCAGGCTGCGCTACGCTCCGGATGCCGGACACCGGCGATGGGCCGACGCTCTAAACCGGAAACCCGGGTTCGGCAAGGGAGCAAATCGCGCGCATTGGGGCTACGAACCGTGCCGGGCAGCGGGGTCCACTTGACGCCGCTGTTCAGGCGCGGCAGCCTCATTCGTAACGGCGGCCCGGCAGGATCGTCCGGCCGCTGTCGTGCAGTGTGAGCGTTGCTGCATCGGTCAAGAGGAGGATGATATGGCACGAGGATTTGTTCCCCACATCCCAAATGCTCCGCGCGGGATGCCCGGCGCGCCGAAAGACGAGCATTCGCCGCCTCGGGTCGCCCCCCGCAATCCGGCTGGGCTGCCGCTCGAAATTCTGCCAGTCTATGACAAGGCCGAAGACGAACTTCCCAAGATCGACGGTGAAGAGGCAGAGCCGGACCACGAGCCCAATCAGGATCAGTAGCAGAGCTGTGCCGCCTTGGGCGCGGTTGCGCCCCTAGCCCCCACCGATCGCCGGATGAACCAGCCGGTCGCCGGCTTCGATGCCCAGTGTCTCGGCCGTGCCGGCATGAACCTCGAGCACGTAGAGCGCCGGCGCGCCCGACCGGATCGGCACGGTCGAAAAGGGCACCGTGTCGCGGGCGACGCGGACAATCGTGCCGTCGGCGGCGGCGAAAACGATGTCGAGCGGCAGCGGCGTGTCCTTCATCCAGAAGGCGCGCGGGCCGGACACCTCGAAGACGAACAGCATGGCGCGGTTCTCGGGCAGATCGGTGCGGTGCATCAGCCCGCGCATGTGCTGCTCGCCGGTGCGCGCGATTTCGAGGTCAAAGCGGGCCCTGACTTCGCCTTCAGCCGACAGGACCGACAATTGGGCGGGATCGACCGGCAGCCGCATCGGCTCGTTCGCCAGAACGGCAAACGACGCGCCCAGAACCATGAGCGCAGCCAACACCATCGCGGAAACGGGGGATCGGAGCGGAGCGTTTCGGTGCATGCGCTCAGATATGAGCGCGCGCGGCGGCGATCAATGGGACGATGGCGGCTGAACCCCGATATCGGGGTAGATTTCAGCCGCCATCAGTCCCTTCTCGCCCTCGCCGAAACGGGCAATGACCACCTGGCCGGGCCTGAGTTCGGTCAGGCCGAAGCGGCGCAGCGTCTCCATGTGCACGAAGATGTCGGGCGTGCCCTCCCCGCGCGTCAGGAAGCCGAAGCCCTTGGTGCGGTTGAACCATTTGACGATCACCCGCTCCAAGCCGCTGGTCGGCGTGACATTGGCGTGGGTGCGCGGCTCGCTGGAGGCCGGATGAACAGCGGTCGATGCGTCCATGGACATGATGCGGAAGGCCTGAAAGCCGCGTTCGCCGCGCTGTGCCTCGCAGACGATGCGCGCGCCCTCCAACGCGGTCTGGTATCCGTCGCGGCGCAGGCAGGTGACATGCAGCATCACGTCGCCGAAAGCGGCATCGTCGGGCACGATGAAGCCATAGCCCTTTGCGATGTCGAACCATTTGATCTTGCCGGCGATCTCGACAAGGGCGCCAACACCGGCCTCGTGCGCGAGCGGCGCGCGTTGGCCGACGGTCTTGTCCTTGCCTGATTGCGACTCGTCACTCATACGATCGACTTCCCCCGCACGCTTGGCGCAGTCGGACCAGGAGCGCGCAAGCCGTGATTCGAGGCAAGGATAGCATCACGACGCCCGATTCCGGCAAGAGCGAAATCCCGATTTGCCCCGGAATACCGGGCTAGCCAGCCGAATTGCGGCCCGATACTGTGAATAAGTCACGCGCCGTCGCCATGCGCGTCGGAAATGCGACAGCCACGGCGCGGCGCACAGCGAAGGTGACGCCGGGTCAGCATCGCCGCAACCGAAATTCAGGATCCGGAACCCGACAATGCGCTATCTACACACCATGGTCCGCGTTCGCGACATCGACGAATCGCTGGCATTTTACTGCGACAAGCTGGGGCTGGAGGAAGTCCGGCGTCACGAGAGCGAAAAGGGGCGCTATACGCTCATCTTCCTGTGCGCGCCCGAGGACAAGGAGGCCGCGCTGGCCAACAAGGCGCCGCTGATCGAACTGACCTACAATTGGGACCCCGAGGACTATCAGGGCGGACGCAACTTCGGTCACCTGGCCTATCTGGTCGACGACATCTATGCGACGTGCCAGCGGCTGGCCGACAATGGCGTGACCATCAACCGCCCGCCGCGCGACGGCCATATGGCCTTCGTGCGGTCGCCCGACGGCATTTCGATCGAGTTGCTGCAAAAAGGCGACGCGCTGGCGCCGAAAGAGCCTTGGGCCAGCATGGAAAACACCGGAAGCTGGTAGGCCGGGCCGCCCTGCGGCCCGGGGCCGCATCGCGGTTTGCCCCGCTGCCTTGATTGCTTCACGATTTGGCCGTAATCGCTCCTTATCGGTTCGCGCCAGCATTAAGCCATTGCGCATATTTTGCGGCGATGATGGCGGGACAGCCCGCGGCAAGCCAGAGATGCGATCATGAGATCGCCGGATAGCCGACGGGATTGTTCGATCGGGGGCCCGAGGGGAAACGTACTTTTGAAGTCATCGCTCCGCTTTGCTGTTCAAGGCCGCGCGCCGGGGGGTCTCGCCATCGTCACGGCCGCGCTGCTGGTGTCGGCGTGCACGACTTCCTCCCTGGACACGGTCGCGACCGGGCTCGGCCCCGCACCCGGCGTCGATACGGGCACCATGATGGCGCTGAGCGACGGTGAAGCCCTGCCCGCTCCCGACGTGCGGCCCGCCGCGCCGATCGGCGAGACCGCGCCGGTCGCCGACAGCGCCTCGGTGGCCTTTGCCGGACCGACGCCGACGGAGCCTGCACCGCTTCAGGCCGCGGCGGCAGAACCGACCTCCATCGCCGAGGCGCCGGCGCAGTCCGTCATCGCAGCCGAAGCCGCCGAGGCGGCAACACCGGGTTCCGCACCCGCTCCTTCGGCCGAATCCCCGGCTCCCGCCGCGCCCGCCACCGACGATGTCGCCACCCAGCGCATTCTCGCGGCCAGCAACGCGCCGACCGCCAACGGCACCGAACCGGTCGAACCGGAACCCCAGGTGGCCACCGCGCCGCCACCGGCCATCGCCGCGCCTGCCGCGGCCACCGGGAACCGTCCGGGTTTTCTCAATGCCCTGTTCGGCAGCCGCCGCGATACACAGGGCCGCCCGCGGCCTTTGGTCGCCACAGCATCAAGTCAAAGCGCGCCTTCGCCGGTGATCGAGCAGCCCGCCGCACCGCAGCCGGTGATCGCCCGCGCGTCGGCCAGTGGCAGCACCGCCGCCCTGCCGGGTTTCAGCCGGGAACGGGCGCTTGGCATCAATCAGGGTGCGGTGACGCCCGATGCGCCTGTTCAGCTTGCGTCGGCCGCCGGCCTGGCGCGTCTGGCGCCAAACGGCCTGCGCACACAGCATTCGGGTGTCGATGTCGCCTGCCTCAAGCCGGCGCTTGTGCGCCTTCTCAAGCGCGTCGAGCAGCGTTACGGCAGGCCCGTGGTCGTCACGTCCGGCTATCGCAGCCCGCAACGCAACCGCCGGGCGCGCGGCGCCAAGAATTCGCTGCACATGTATTGCGCGGCCGCCGATATCCAGGTCGAGGGCGTCAGCAAATGGGATCTGGCCGCCTATCTGCGCTCGGTGCCCGGCCGTGGCGGCGTCGGCACCTATTGTCACACCAAGTCGGTGCATATCGACATCGGTCCCCAGCGCGACTGGAACTGGCGCTGCCGCCGGCGGAGCTGACCGCCGATCGCTTGCCGTGGGCCGGGCGGAAACCTATGTAACTGCCCGGTCGCAAAAAATCGGTTTTCCGGTTTGCGATCAGGGTTGCGGCGGCGTTTGAATGTGCCTATACACCGCTCACCTTGATGCGCGCCCATCGTCTAGCGGTCTAGGACGCCGCCCTTTCACGGCGGAAACACGGGTTCGAGTCCCGTTGGGCGTGCCACTTTCTCTCTCATTGCAGCATCGAGCGCATCGCGCCGTCAGGCGCGTGCCAGATCGTCGATAATCGGGCAGTCGGGCCGGTCGTTTCCCTGGCACGTCTCGACGAGCCGCGACAGCGTCGCGCGCAGCGACTGCAATTCGTCGAGCTTGCGGTCGATCTCGCCGATCTTCTCCAGCGCCAGCGCCTTGACGTCGGCGCTGGCCCGGTGCTCGTCGTCATAAAGAGACAGCAGCAGCCGGCACTCCTCGATCGAAAAACCCAGGCTGCGGGCACGTTGCACGAATTTCAGCCTGTGCACGTCCGTGTCGGAATAGTCGCGATAGCCATTGTGCGCCCGCGCCGGATGGACCAGACCGATCTCTTCATAGTAGCGGATGGTCTTTCTGGGCAGCTCAGTCGCGCGCGCCGCCGAGCCGATGTTCATTGCCCGTCCCCAGTTTCGATGCGCCGTAGGTGGCGCGCAGCCGGTCGATCTCCGCATCGGTGAAGCCCAGCATCCGCGCGCGCCGCAAAAACTGGGCAAAGCTGGCCGGTTCGCACGCGGCCGGTTCGCGCTGGCCCAGTTCCGGTTCGGTTTTCATCTGTCGCTCGGTCATGGTCGCAATGTGGTGCCCTGTCCACGTCTTTACACCCGATGGCCGGTGACGGCCTTTTGACAATAATGTGTCCGCAACGTGCGCGAACGGCCATGGTTAACCCTTCCCGCCACGGGAAGGTCAAGACCGGCCGCTAAACCGGCGCGGAGCGTGACTTGCGGCGTTCGCCGATGATTTCGGCCAGAATGGAGACGCCGATCTCGGCCGGTGTCGATGCGCCGATCGGCAAGCCGATCGGTCCCCTTATGCGCGAAACAGCATCGGGATCGGCGCCGGCGGCGATCAGCCGCTCGATGCGGCGCCCATGCGTCTTCCGGCTGCCCAGCGCGCCGACATAGAAGCACTCCGCCTCGAGCGCGGCGCGGATCGGATGATCGTCGATCTTCGGATCATGGGTCAGGGCGACCAGGGCGCACCAGCGGTCGAGCGGGCGTTGGGCCAGCACCACCTCCGGCCAATCCGCCGACAGTTCGATGCCGGCGAAACGCTCGGGCGTTGCGAAGGCAGTGCGCGGATCGATGATCTCCGGGTGGAAGCCGGCGGCGGAAGCCATCGGCGCCAGCGCCTGGCTGATATGCACCGCGCCGACGATCACCATGCGCACCGGCGGCAGATGGACATTGATGAAGAAGTCGCGGCCGGAAACCGACACCGGTGCCGCTTTGCCCGACCGGAACGCCTCGGCGATTGCCGCGCCGAGTTCGCCGGGGATCGCGTCGTCCTCGCTCACCACCCGGTCGCGGCCATCGCCCAGATCGGTGACCACGGCAACCGCCCGCCGTTCGTCCCGTGCCGCGTTTAGCGCTTTCAGAACGGCGGGATCCACGGTCAGCCGACCCTTTCGACATAGACGCGGATGCGGCCGCCGCAGGACAGGCCCGCGCGCCAGGCGGTTTCATCGGCGACGCCGTATTCGAGCATGCGCGGTTCACCGGTTGCGATCACGTCCATCGCCGCGACGATCACCTCGCCCTCGACACAGCCGCCAGAGACCGATCCCTCGAAAAGACCGTCCGCATCGACCGCCAGATGGCTGCCTGGCGGCCTGGGCGCCGAGCCCCAGGTCTCGACCACCGTCGCAAGCGCAACATCGCGGCCCGCGCGCATCGCCGATTCGGCAAAGCGCAACGGATCGTGGTCGGCGGCATGGTCGGTCTGTGTGGGCGTTGTCTCGTTCACGGCAGCCACCATAGGCCATGGACGGAGGTTGGAAAAGCGCGGCAGCCTTGCCCTTTGCAGGGGTCCGGTGCATCACAACTGCCATGTTCCGGCTCGTTTCGACATGTGCCGCATTCGCCCTGCTGCTGGCCGCCACGGCCGGCCAGCCGGCGCACGCCGCCGACGGCGCGGCGGTCGTCGCCCCGCTCAGCGGGCCCTATGCGCCGGTCGGCCGGGCGCTCGACGAGAGCGTCCGGGCCGTGCTCGGCGACGATGTGCCCGCGCTGGACGATGGCTGCGATGCGCAGATGGCCGAAAGTGCGGCCCGAGACGTGATCGAGGCCGGCGACGCGCTGGTGATCGGCCTGCCCTGCATCGATGCGTTCGATGCCGCCATGCCGGCGCTTGCCGACGCCGGCGTGCCGGTGATCGCGGTGGACGTTCGCGCCGCGGACATCACGACCGCGCCGCGCGGTGCAACGCGATGGCCGGTGTTTCGCTCCGGACCGGCGGCGCACACCGAATTCGCCGTGCTGGCCGGCCATCTCGCCCGTGCCTGGCGCGAGGCCAGTTTCGCGATCATCGATGACGGCACGCTCTATGGCCGGCAATTGGCCGAAAATGTCCGCCTGCTGCTGGCCGATGCAGCACTGGAGCCGGTCTTCGTCGACACATATCGGCCGCTGCTCGAAAGTCAGGCCGCGCTGGTGCGGCGGCTGCAACGGTCGGGCGCAAGCCATGTGCTGATCGGTGGAGAGGCGCGCGATGCGGCGATCATCGCGGCCGACGCGGCGCGGATCGGCTATCGGCTTGCGATTGCCGGCGGCAGCATTCTGGTCGCGCCGCCCGCCGACGGGCGCCTTCCGGACGGCACGATCACCGTCGCCGTGCCCGCCGACATCGATCCGGCGCGGATCGCCGCGCAGGTCGCGCAGGCGGCACTTGCGGCGGACATGCCCGTGATCGATGCGCTGCGCACGCTGACATTCCAGACCGATATCGGCCCCCTCGCCTTCGGCGACGATGGCGAGCCCGATGCCCGGTTCTTCCGCATCCACACATTCCGGAACGGCCGCCCCGAACCGCTCACCCCCGACATGGATGGATAGCCCCTTGCCTCCCGGCCCGCGCAACCTGATCACCGATATTGCAGGCCTCAAGGTCGGCCAGGCGACCCATGCCCGCATCAAGAGCGGCGTCACCGCCATCATTTGCGACGCGCCGGCGGCGGCGGGCGTGCAGGTTCTCGGCGGCGCGCCCGGCACGCGGGAGACCGATCTTCTTGCGCCGCACAACACGGTCGAGGCGGTCGATGCCATCGTTCTTTCGGGCGGATCGGCCTTCGGGCTGGACGCCGCTTCCGGCGTTCAGGACTGGCTGGCCGAACAGGGACGCGGCTTTGCCGTCGGCCCGCACCGGGTGCCGATCGTGCCGTCGGCGATCCTGTTCGACCTGATCAATGGCGGCGACAAGGACTGGGGCGACAAATCGCCCTATCGGGCGCTGGGCACGCTTGCCGCGCAGACGGCGGCGACCGAGTTCACCATCGGCAGCCATGGCGCGGGCGCCGGCGCACTGACAGCCGACCTCAAGGGCGGCCTCGGCTCGGCCTCGGCAGAGCTCGAACGCACCGGCATCACCGTCGGATCGCTGGTTGCGGTCAACAGCCTGGGCACGCCGATGGTCGGCGGCACCCGCCATTTCTGGGCCGCCCCTTTCGAACAGGACGGGGAGTTCGGCGATGAGGGCCTGCCCGAACCGATGCCCGCCAATGCGACCGATCTGCGCATCAAGTTCCGCGATCTGGTCTCCGACGGCGCGCCGGTGAACACGACGATCGGCGTTGTCGCCACCGACGCCAAGCTGACCAAGGCGCAATGCAAGCGGCTGGCGATCGCCGCCCATGACGGGCTGGCGCGCGCCATCTGGCCGGCGCACACGCCGTTCGACGGCGACTGCATCTTTGCGCTGGCGACCGGCCGGACCGAGATCGGTCCCGATCTCGATGTGTTTGTCGATCTGTGCGCGGCGGCGTCCGCGACCATGGCGCGCGCGGTGGCACGGGGCGTCTATGCCGCTCACGAAGAGCCGGGGGATATCATGCCGGTCTGGTCGTCGCGCCGTTGACAGGCCGGCGGCACGCGCGCCACTGACAGCCCAGCCGCATCATCGAGGAGAGACCAGCCATGCGCGACATCAAGATCGCTCCGTCCATTCTCGCATCGGACTTCTCGAAGCTCGGCGAAGAGGTGCGCGCGGTCACCGAGGCGGGCGCAGACTGGATCCATCTCGATGTGATGGACGGCCATTTCGTGCCCAACATCTCCTATGGACCCGATGTTATCGCCGCGCTGCGCGCGCACACCGACATCCCTTTCGACTGCCATCTGATGATCGCGCCCGCCGATCCCTATCTCGAGGCGTTCGCCAAGGCCGGCTGCGACACGATCACGGTCCATGCCGAGGCGGGGCCGCACCTGCACCGCTCGCTGCAGGCCATCCGATCGCTGGGCAAGAAAGCCGGGGTGACGCTGAACCCGGCAACGCCGGCCTCCGCCATTGAGCATGTGATCGACATGGTCGATCTGGTTCTCGTCATGAGCGTCAATCCGGGTTTTGGCGGCCAGAAATTCATCGACGCGGTGGTGCCGAAGATCGCCGCCATCGATGCGCTGATCGGCGACCGCCCGATCGACCTTGAAGTCGATGGCGGGGTGACGGCCGACACCGCGCCCGCCTGCGCGAAGGCCGGCGCCAATGCGTTCGTTGCAGGCTCGGCGGTCTTCAAGGGCGGGACAGTGGACGCCTACCGTGCTAACATCGAAGCCATTCGGGCGGCGGCGACGGACAACCGGCCATAGGAGGTCGACATGGTTGGATGGTTTTTCTGCAGGCTGCGCGCCTGCCTGGCCCTGACGCTGCTCGCAGCTTTCATCGTTTTCGGCGCTTTTGCACCGGCGAAAGCCGGCGATGCGGCAACCCTGAACATTCTCGGCTTTTCGTCGGACGGCGCCATCTTCGCCTTTGAGGAGTTCGGCATCCAGGACGGGTCCGGCTTTCCCTATGCGAACCGGTACTACATCGATACGGCGACCGACATGTTCTTGCCCGGCTCGCCGATCCGCAAGCGAATCGATGACGAGACGGCGAGCGTCGCCGAAGCGCGCGCCCAGGCCAAGGCGGTGGGCGAAACAACGATTTCCGACGCGTTGCTGGCCGCCAACCAGGGCGTGCTGGCCGGTTTCAACCCGATCACCGAGATCGGCGCCGATCCGTTCCGCATGGTCGTCAATCCGCGTCCGGTCAATCCGCCGATCGATGCGCCGCTCGAAGTGCGATTGACCGAATTGAGCTTCCTCGCCGAGCCGCCCTGCGACGGCGTGACGGACGCCAGCATCGGCTTCCGGCTCGTCAAGATCGATCCGACGCCGGGCGGGTCCACTGAGCTTCTCAACGAGGACGAAAGCGTTCCTTCAAGCCGTGGCTGCCCGCTCGGCTATGCCATCGGCGGCATCCAGACCTTCTACCCCGACAAGGCCGACCCGGTCTTTGCCGTCCTGATCGCCATCCGCTCGTTCGGCTTCGAGGGACCGGATTTCCGCTGGATGGCCGTGACAGCGCCGATGATGCCTTAGGCGAGGCGCATGAGACTTTGGGGGCGACTGGCCGCATCGCGGCTGACATTGCGGCGCGCGGCGACAGCCAGCCTGGCATGCGCGGTTGTGGCGGGGCTTCTGACGGTGCTGACGCTGCGCTGGCAATATGGCTGGTCGGACGCCGGACATATCGGCATCGTCAGCGCGATCTATGCAGCGGGGGCCGGTACCGGTTTTGCGGCATCGCTTTTTGCAACCAGCCTTGCCATGCCGCATGCCAGCAGGCGCCGGCGCACAATGGTGACGGTCCTGCTTGCCGTTCTCGCCGTCCTGGGTGCCACCTACTTCATCTTCTTTCTCGAACACCGAAGCTATTACAGCCAGTGGCACGATGCGGCCCTGACGCGGCTTTGGTTCTGGCAGCAGGCTTTCACGGCTTTGGGTGGGGCCGCCCAATTCGCGGTGATGGGCATTCGCTATTTCGGTGTCGGTGCGCTGGCGCTGATCGTCGCCGCAAGCTGGTGGGTGCACCGCACGGCGCATTGAGTGTTGCGCTGAGGCCTGTTAGGCGGACCGCGCACACCTCTCCTACCCGCAGGTTCATCACATGATTCCCCGCTATTCGCGCCCCGACATGGTCGCCATCTGGTCGCCCGAAACCAAGTTCCGCATCTGGTTCGAGATCGAGGCCCATGCCTGCGACGCGCTCGCCAAGGCCGGCGTGATCCCCGAGCGCGCGGCGCAGGTGATCTGGGAAAAGGCCGGCTCGGCGACGTTCGATGTCGAACGCATCGACGCGATCGAACGCGAGACCAAGCATGATGTGATCGCCTTCCTGACCCATCTGGCCGAGATCGTCGGGCCCGAAGCGCGGTTCGTCCATCAGGGCATGACCTCGTCGGACGTGCTGGACACATGTCTGGCCGTACAGCTCTCGCGCGCGGCGGACATTCTTCTCGCCGATCTCGACGCGCTGCTCGCCGCGCTGAAAACGCGGGCCTTCGAGCACAAGGACACGGTCACCATCGGCCGCAGCCACGGCATCCATGCCGAGCCGACGACGTTCGGTCTCAAGCTCGCCCAGGCTTATGCCGAGTTCGAACGGTGCAAGTGCCGCCTTGAAGCGGCACGCGCCGACATCGCCACTTGCGCGATTTCCGGCGCGGTCGGCACATTCGCCAACATCGACCCGGCCATCGAGGCCCATGTGGCCGAAGCGATGGGCCTGACCGCCGAACCGGTTTCGACGCAGGTGATCCCGCGCGACCGGCACGCCATGTTCTTTGCGACGCTCGGCGTGATCGCCTCGTCGGTGGAACGGCTGGCCGTCGAAATTCGCCATTTGCAGCGCACCGAAGTGCTTGAGGCGGAGGAATATTTCGCGCCCGGCCAGAAGGGCTCGTCGGCGATGCCGCACAAGCGCAACCCGGTGCTGACCGAAAACCTGACCGGGCTTGCGCGCATGGTGCGCGGCTATGTGACGCCGGCGCTCGAAAATGTCGCGCTTTGGCACGAGCGGGACATCTCGCACTCTTCGGTCGAACGGATGATCGGCCCCGATGCGACGATCACGCTCGATTTCGCTCTGGCCCGCCTGACCGGTGTCATCGAAAAGCTCGTCGTCTATCCCGACGCCATGACTGCGAACATGAACCGCTTCCGCGGCCTGATTCATTCGCAACGCGTGCTTCTGGCGCTGACCCAGGCCGGTGTGAGCCGCGAGGACGCCTACCGGCTGGTCCAGCGCAACGCCATGAAGGTCTGGGAACAGGGCAAGGACTTCCTGACCGAACTGCTCGCCGACGACGATGTCCGCGCCCATCTGGGCGAAGACGAGATCCGCGACAAGTTCGATCTCGGATATCACACCAAGCATGTCGACACGATCTTCGAGCGGGTGTTCGGCGAGAGCTGAAGTCAGCTGTCAGGACAGAGCGACGGGCTGCCCTGCGCCAGCCATTGCTCGAGCGTCAGCCGCTGCGGGGACAGTGAAACGGCGGTTTCCGTGGTCTCCTCGCGGACGATACCCTTGCCGGTCAGCACGTTGATGTCGCAGCCGCCATTGGCGTCGGGATCGAGCGTGTCGTAGAAGCTGTGGGTAAACCCGGCGATGAGCAGTGTTTCGTCGCGCCATGCCAGCGTGACCGTCTGGTTCCAGCGGTTGCGCCCGATCGCCTCGTTGCCCGATTTCAAAAGGAGCGAACCGGAAGCGGCAAAATCGACCGAGGGACGGTTGCCCACCATCATGCCCGCGCCGCCCCAGGCCGCATCGGGAAAGGACAGCCAAGGCTCCATGGCGCCTTCGTCAAAGCCGGTGCCGCGCAGGATGATCAGCGCGTGGTCGTCGGTGCCGTCGGGGTCGGGCGCGACCAGAAGCGCCGCGTCCCGGGCGCCGTCCCCGTCCAGATCGCCGGTCGCAACCGAGACGATCCTGTCTACGGGCCAATCGCCGGCGGCCGCGGGAAATGGCGCCAGACCGATGCCAGCGACAAGCGTCAGATGACAGGTTGTCACCGGAATTGAAGCGGCATTTCTCATCGCAAACTCCTGATTTTGCGGTGGCTTTCCCCACGATCACGACTGTGGCGGCTTTCGTGACGCGATGCAACGCCGCTTGTCCGGCGATGACGCGGTTCGGGCATGATGGGCGCGCATCGTGGCGATGTTCAAGCCAATCATGGAGGACATCATGACCGACGAACGCGACTATTATTCCAATCATCGCACGCGAGCCGAGCTGGGTGCGTCCTCGGGCGGCAGCCTGTGGGCCGGGCTGGCGATTCTCGCGCTCTTCGTGCTGATCGTCACGTTCTATCTGTTTTCGGGCGGCGGGGCAGAGAACGGCACCGGTGCGCCGGACATGGCGCCCGCACCGGTCGAAACGCCGGTGCCCAACACCGCACCGGCTCCGGTGCAATAGCCGAACCGGATGATGGCCGGCGCCGGACGCCGGCCGCCTTGTCCGGAGTTGACATCGCCGGTTCGCGGGGCCACCTCGCGGACCATGAAGATCCGTGACGCCGACATCGTGCTCGTCCCCGGCTACCGCAATTCGGGGCCGGAGCACTGGCAGAGCCGCTGGCAGGCCAGGATGAAGACGGCGCGCCGCGTCGAACAGGCCGAGTGGACCAAGCCGGTGCGCGAGGATTGGGTGCGTGAAGTGCGCAATGCGATAGCGGAAGCCTCTGCTCCCGTTGTGCTGGTCGCCCATTCGCTGGGTGTTGCCTGCGCCGTTCATGCGATCCAGGACGACAAGGACGCCGCGCTCTCCGGCAAGGTGCGAGGCGGGTTTTTCGTCGCGCCGCCGGACGTGACCAACCCGGCGATCCGGCCCCGGCACCTGATGACGTTCGGCCCTTATCCGCGCGACCCTCTGCCGTTTCCGGCCTTTGTCGTTGCGAGCCGCAACGACCATTATTCGAGCTATGAAAAAGCCGAGGAGATCGCCGCCGACTGGGGCGCGTTTCTGGTCGATGCGGGCCAATCGGGCCATATCAACGCCGAATCGGGCCACGGCCCCTGGCCGGAAGGGCTGATGGTGTTCGCCGAATTCATGAAGCGGCTTTAGTCAGCGATCGCCGCGCGCCGCCGACAACACGGCGTCGGCGCCCTTCCTGACGATGGCCGCATCGAAGCCCGCGGCGATCAGCCCGTACCCCATCTGCGCATAGCGCGGCACCATGGCCGGATCGGCGGCGAAGATGCCGGCCAGCTTGCCGGCCTTTTTGGCGCGCGTGGCGATGCCGGCGACCGCGTCCATCATGTCGTCGAGCGTCGGCTCCAGCCGCTCGCCGCCGGTCCATGCGATGGAAAAGTCCGCCGGGCCGACGAACACCGCGTCGATGCCCTCGACGGCGAGGATCGCATCGAGCGAATCGAGCGCAGCACGCGTTTCGATCATCGCAAAGGCGAGCGTTTCGGCGTTGGCGCGCCCCAGATAGGCATTGCCGCCCTCGATGCCGCGCACGCCGATGGCACGGGTCGGGCCCCATGACCGTTCGCCGAGCGGCGGGTATTTCATGAAGGCGGCAAAGGCGCGCGCATCGTCGACCGAATTGATCATCGGCGCGATCACCGCATCGGCGCCGAAGTCGAGCGCCCGCGAGGCCATCTCGAACCGGCCGACCGGCACACGAACGATTGCGGGCACGCGTTGCGCGGTGATCGCTTCGATGCCATGCCATACGGACTGCTCGGTGTGACCGCCATGCTGCATGTCGAGGGTGACGGCATCGAAGCCCGCGCCGGCCAGAAGGCCGACAAAACCGGTCTCCGGCAGGGCCGACCAGGCGGTCAGCACAGTTTGGCCGGCGCGCAATGCACCGGCCAGTTCATAGCCATAGGCGGTCATCTGCCCTCCCCGCGCGCGGCGCCGGTCAGCTCTTTTCGATTTCCTCGGCGGCGCGGACCATCAGTTCGTCCATGGTGCGGCGGATCTGGTGATCGGACTGTTCGACGCCGGCCGCATCGAAATCGCCGCGCACCTTGCGGAACACGTCCTCGTCGCCCGGCTCCTCGAAGTCGGCGGCAATCACTTCCTTGGCATAGGCTTCCGCATCGTCACCCGTCTTGCCCAGAAGTTCCGCCGCCCAAAGGCCCAGAAGCTTGTTGCGGCGCGCCTCGGCCTTGAAGCGCAGCTCGGCGTCATGGGCAAACTTGTTTTCAAATGCGTCCTTGCGGTCCTTGATGCTCATTGTCGCTCCTCCGGGGCCGTCAGGGCCGGGCTTGATGGTGGTGGCTCACATGTAAGCCTAGCGCCGGTCTAAACCAAATGGTTTGTCAAAGATCAACCAGCCGATCGCCGCATATCCGGGCCCGTGCGATTTCCGGTTGAAGCCGCCAATGGCCATTTGTTTTGGCGCATCGTTTCGGATAAACCGGGCGAACGTTTCGTCCGACCCGCAAGGCGCCCGCGCGCCCGCTTGCGGAGCAGCAAAAGGCCAATGCATGAAACAGCGCCGCCGCATCTATGAGGGCAAGGCAAAAATCCTCTATGAAGGCCCCGAACCGGGCACGCTGGTACAGCACTTCAAGGATGATGCGACCGCCTTCAACGCGCAAAAGCACGACGTGATCGAGGGCAAGGGCGTCCTCAACAACCGCATCTCCGAGCACATCTTCTCGGCGCTCAACCGGATGGGCGTGCCGACCCACTTCGTCAAGCGCATCAACATGCGCGAGCAGTTGATCCGCGAAGTCGAGATCATTCCGGTCGAGATCGTCGTGCGCAACATCGCCGCCGGCTCGCTGGCCGAGCGGCTCGGCATCGAGGAAGGCACGGTGCTGCCCCGCTCGATCATCGAATTCTATTACAAGTCCGATCCGCTCGGAGATCCGCTGGTCTCGGAGGAACATGTCACCGCGTTCGGCTGGGCCAATCCGCAGGAGATCGACGACATGATGGCGCTGGCCATCCGCGTCAACGACTTCCTGTCGGGCCTGTTTCTGGGCATCGGCATCCAGCTTGTCGACTTCAAGATCGAGTGCGGCCGGCTGTTCGAGAACGACATGATGCGGATCGTCGTCGCCGACGAGATCTCGCCCGATTCGTGCCGGCTGTGGGACATCGGCACCAATGAGAAGCTCGACAAGGACCGGTTCCGACGCGACATGGGCGGGCTGGTGGAAGCCTATACGGAAGTGGCGCGGCGCCTGGGCATCATGAACGAGAACGAGCGTCCCCGCCCGTCAGGCCCGGTGCTCGTCGCCTCCAAGGACAAGCTGCACTAGGATCCGGCGATGCACGCACCGGCCTTGCGTTCGATGGGCTTTTTCTGGCTGGCCTCTGTTGCCCTGTCCGGATGCAGCGCCGCCGATACGCCGGTGGCCACGGACACGGTCTCGGGCTGGCGGCCACTCCCCGGTGGCACCTATGTGTGCGCGCCGCCGGTCTGCGCCCTGGTCCAGCGCGCCGGCCATGACGCGATTTCGCTCGGGCCCGACGGCCGGGCGGCCGTCGAACGCAATGATGATGAAACCCGGCGGGCGTTCGAACGGGCGCTGAGAAACGGCTCGGCCCGCGCCGCCGCCGGCGAGGATGTCGCGCTGAGCATCGACGGTGCGGTCACACGGACGATGGTCGGCGCGACCGAGGGCCTGACCTTTGCAATCGCCGGCACGCAGAACGACGGAACCCCCGCCGATCCTGGTCATGCCATCATCGTTCCGAAGGATGGGCGGTTTCACATGGTCTATGCATTTGCCGGCAGCAAGACCGACGCCCGCGCCGCCGCGCGGCACTTCGTCAACGCGATCACTCTCTGACAAGGACGCCTCACCGCTCATGATCACCGCACGTGTCACCGTCACGCTGAAAACCGGCGTTCTCGACCCCCAGGGCAAGGCGATCGAAGGCGCGCTCGCCACGCTCGGCTTTGACGGCGTCGATGGCGTCCGCCAGGGCAAGGTGTTCGACATAGAGCTCGGCCATGACGACCGCAGGCGCGCCCAGACCGATCTTGCCGCCATGTGCGAAAAGCTGCTCGCCAACACGGTGATCGAGGACTATGCCGTGGAGATCGTCTGAAATGAAAACCGCCATCGTCCTTTTGCCCGGGCTGAACCGCGACCGCGACATGATCGCGGCGATCCGGACGATCTCCGGCCAGGAGCCGCTGACCGTTTGGCAGACCGAAACCGAAATCCCCGCCGGCGTCGATCTCGTCATCGTGCCGGGCGGCTTCTCGTTCGGCGATTACCTGCGCTGCGGCGCGATCGGCGCGCGCATGCCGGTGATGCGCGCGGTGGCCGATGCCGCCGGGCGCGGCGTCCGGGTGCTCGGCGTCTGCAACGGGTTCCAGATGCTGCTCGAGGCCGGCCTGCTGCCCGGCGCATTGATGCGCAACGCTTCGCTCAATTTCGTCTGCAGAAGCGTCAAGCTGGAAGTGACCAATGCGGACACGGTGTTCACGCGCCGCTACCGGCAAGGCCAAATGATCGACTGCCCGGTCGCCCATCATGACGGCAACTATTTCGCCGACGCCGAGACGCTGGCGCGCCTCAAAGGCGAGAACCGGGTGGTCTTCCGCTATGCGGATGGCACCAATCCGAACGGCTCGGCCGACGACATTGCCGGCATCGTCAATGCCGAAGGCAATGTGCTGGGCATGATGCCGCATCCCGAAAACCTGATCGAGGACGCCCATGGCGGCACCGACGGGCGGCCGCTGTTCGAAGGCGCGCTCGATCTGGTCGCCGCCTGACGGTCTATCGGGCCGCTGTCACCAGTTCGCCGGGCGTCGTGCGCATGATCGTGATGTCCTCGGTCACCGCATTGCACAGGAACACGAGGTTGGCGGCCGACGAGACCAACTTGACCGAGTAATGCGCGCCTGTGTCCGCAACCTGGCGCACATGGTTTCGGTCGGCGCCCAGCCCGTCCAGCATGGCTTCGACCATCTGCGGACAGGCATCGAACGGCGCGGCCTGACGCATCAGCACCTCTTCGCCGGCCATGGCCGGCGCTGTGCCCAGCGCCACAAACACGGCGATCGCCGCCGCGCGTGCGGATATGATTGACATTGGCATGTCCCCCGATCTTGATGACCGTTGCGGTCTGCATCTCCTTGTTTTTGGCGTGGCGATTCGTCCGTCGCCTTGATCCCGATCGGAACAGCCTATGCGCGAATGGTTAAGCGCCAAATCCCAAAACAGGCAAAAAAGCGTTGCGATTGCTGCACTCGGCGCAACCCTGATGTTGCTGACGGCGTGTCAGAGCTTCGAAGCGCCGGGCGGCTCGCTGACGGCCGAGGTCGACGCGCCGGGGCCCGTCCAAGCCCTCCAAAGGGTCAATGAACGCGGACTGGCGTGCTGGATCCGCTCGGGCGACCGCGCCTTTCGCGGCTATGCGCTGGTGCCTGAACTCGACACGCGCAGCGGCGATCCGCGCATTCTGGTGGTGCGCCAAGGCAATGCGCAGGGCTTGCCCGAATTGGTGATCTCCGCATCGGGCGATCCGGTGCGGATTGTCACCTTCGGGCCGCTGACCGGCGATCGCCTTTCGGCGCGCATCAATGCCGACGTGCTGGCATGGAGCGCCGGGCGGCAGGGCTGCGCCTGACCGCCTTACGAGCGGCGGCGCCGCGCATCGATGAAGGCAAGCGGATCGGCCTCGATCCGGTGACGCTCGTAAAAGGGCAGCGAGCGGCGTATTTCGCGATCCGCCTCCGCCGGCGTTATGCCGATATCCCGAAGTTCGGATTCTGTGAGCTTGCTCAGTTGGATACGCGTGCGGCGTCTGTCCAGTTTCGCCACGATCATCGCCACCAGAACCCGGGCCCATACGCGGAACGGCACCGAATTGGCGGACTTGTAGACGATGCCGGCAATGGTGATCGGCCTGGCCCGGAGCGGGATTGTATCAATTGTACCCATAATTTCGAATCCTCTTGGCTGGACGCCATGGGTCGATGGATACATTGACATATAGAGGGGATCAATATACAGAATTGTCACCATGACAACTTGGATTCCCAACCTGTCCAGCATGCAGGGGCCGCTTTATGTGCGGCTTGCCAATCGCATCCAGCAGGACATTGAATCGGGCACCCTGCCCGCCGGCGCCAAGCTGCCGCCGCAGCGCAATCTCGCATTCGACATCGGCGTCACTGTCGGCACTGTCAGCCGCGCCTACGCGCTGGTGCGCGAGCGCGGACTTGTGACGGGCGAAGTGGGCCGCGGCACCTTCGTGGCCGATACAGAGCACAATGGCAGCCACACGCCGCTCCCCCTGCCGCTGCGTGTTCCCGGCGGGTACGAGGAAAACCGCGCCGATGTGATCCGGCTCGATTCATCGGCCGCCTTCAGCACCGCCGGCGCAAACGAAGTGCGCGCGCTTCTTGCCGAGGCGGCAAATGACCTGCCCTGCGAGATGGCCGACTATGTCCGAAAGATCGAACCGCATTGGCAGACGGCCGGCGCCGACTGGATGAAGGTCGGCAGCGGCTGGGGCCCCGACCCGGATACCGTGCTGCCGGCCCCCGGCGCACAGGGTGCGCTGATGGCCGTTCTGGGCGCAATCACCAATCCGGGAGACCGGGTCGCCTGCGAAGCGCTGACCTATGCGGGCATGCCGCGCGCCGCACATCTGATCGGGCGCGGTTCGGTCAGCGTCGCCATCGACGAGAACGGCATCCTGCCGGAAGCGTTCGAAACGGTCTGCGCCCAGCAGCATCCCAAGGTGCTGTTCCTGATGCCCGGCGTGCACAATCCGCTCACCCGCGCGCTGCCGCCCGAACGCCGAAAGGCGATCATCGACATTGCCCGGCGCCACAATGTCTGGCTGATCGAGGACAATCTCTACGCGACGATCGCCGGCGACCCGCACACGCCGATCGCGGCGATGGCGCCGGACATCACTTTCCATATCACCGGCCTGTCGAAGGCCGTGGCGGCGGGCCTGCGCGCCGGCTGGGTGGCCACGCCGCCGCACCTGACGGCCCGCGTCTGGTCGGCCCAGAAGATGCTGACCGGCGGCGCCAGCTACCTTCTGTGCGAACTGGCCGCCCGCATGGTCGATTCGGGCAAGGCGATGGCCGTGCGCAACCGCGTGCGTGCCGAAATCGGCCGGCGGGTTGCATTGATGCGGACTATCTTCGACGGATGCGACATCAATCTGCGCGACCATACGCCCTTTGCCTGGCTGAAACTGCCCGAACCCTGGCTTTCGGGCACATTCAAGGCCGCCGCATACGAGGAAAAGGTCCGCATCGACGACGAGGACGAGTTCAAGGCCGGACGCGGCGACCACCGGTTCCACGGGGTGCGCATCGCCTTTTCGGCCACCATCAAGGACATCCACCAGTTGGAGACGGGTGCGCGCAGGCTGCGCCGCATACTCGATGCCGGCCCCGGCGCCCATCACAGCTACAACTGAACCTGCCGATGCGCCGGCGATAGCTGTGATCGGGTTCCCGCGCCCCCTGTATTTGCCGTTCTGCATGGGCTATGCGGGCGCCAACAGCCACCAGAACCGACTGTTGCATGACCATTTCCAACACGATCGCCATCACGCCCGAACTGATCGAGGCGCATGGGCTCAAACCCGACGAATATGACCGCATTCTCGAGCTGATCGGCCGGGAGCCGAGCTTCACGGAGCTGGGCATCTTCTCGGCCATGTGGAACGAGCACTGTTCGTACAAGAGCTCCAAGAAATGGCTGCGCACCCTGCCGACCGAAGGGCCGCAGGTGATCCACGGCCCCGGCGAGAACGCCGGCGTCGTCGATATCGGCGACGGCCAGTGCGTCGTCTTCAAGATGGAGAGCCACAACCACCCCTCCTACATCGAGCCCTATCAGGGCGCGGCGACGGGCGTCGGCGGCATATTGCGCGACGTCTTCACCATGGGCGCGCGGCCCGTTGCGGCGATGAACGCGCTGCGGTTCGGCGAACCGGACCATCCCAAGACACGGCATCTGGTCGCGGGCGTCGTCTCGGGTGTCGGCGGCTATGGCAATGCTTTCGGCGTGCCGACCGTCGGCGGCGAGGTGGAGTTCGATGCGCGCTACAACGGCAATTGCCTGGTCAACGCCTTTGCGGCAGGGATCGCCGACACCGACAAGATCTTCCTGTCCAAGGCCGAAGGGGTCGGCCTGCCGATCGTCTATCTGGGCGCCAAGACCGGCCGCGACGGCGTCGGCGGCGCGACGATGGCCTCAGCGGAGTTCGACGACACGATCGAGGAAAAGCGACCCACCGTTCAGGTCGGCGATCCGTTCACGGAAAAATGCCTGCTTGAAGCGTGCCTCGAGTTGATGGCGACCGGCGCGGTGATCGCCATTCAGGACATGGGCGCGGCGGGGCTTACCTGCTCGGCCGTCGAAATGGGCGCCAAGGGCGATCTTGGCGTCGAACTCGATCTCGACCGCGTGCCGGTGCGCGAAGAGCGCATGAGCGCCTATGAGATGATGCTGTCGGAAAGCCAGGAGCGCATGCTGATGGTGCTCGATCCGGCCAGGGAAGCCGAGGCCGAGGCGATCTTCGAAAAATGGGGGCTCGATTTCGCGATCGTCGGCAAGACGACCGACGACCTGCGCTTCCGCGTGCTTCACCAGGGCGAAGAGGTCGCCAATCTGCCGATCAAGGAACTGGGCGACGAGGCGCCGGAATATGACCGGCCCTGGGTGGAACCGGGCATCTATCACGACTGGGACCCGGCCTCCGTGCCCGCTCCGGACGATTTTGCGGACGCGCTCCTCGCCATGCTCGGCTCGCCGAACCTGTCGTCGCGCCGCTGGGTCTGGGAGCAGTATGACACGCTGATCGGCGCCAACACGCTTGCCATTCCCGGCGGCGATGCGGGCGTCGTGCGCGTCGACGGCCATGCGACCAAGGCGCTCGCCTTTTCGTCAGACGTCACGCCGCGCTATGTCGAGGCCGACCCCTATGAGGGCGGAAAGCAGGCCGTCGCCGAGTGCTGGCGCAACATCACCGCAACGGGGGCCGAGCCGCTGGCGGCGACCGACAATCTCAATTTCGGCAATCCCGAGCGTCCCGAGATCATGGGCCAGTTCGTCAAGGCCATCGAGGGGATCGGCGAAGCCTGCTCGGCGCTCGGCTTTCCCATCGTTTCCGGCAACGTGTCGCTTTACAACGAGACCCATGGCGAGGCGATCCTGCCGACGCCGACCATCGCCGGCGTCGGACTGATTCACGACTGGGCGCACATGGCGCGCATCGGCACGATGAATGAGGGCGATGCGGTGTTCGTCCTTGGCGGCGACGGCACGCATCTGGGCCAGTCCGCCTATGGCCGCATTGTCCATGGCCGCGCGGACGGCCCGCCGCCGCCCGTCGATCTCTACCAGGAAAAGCGCAATGGCGATTTCGTCCGTTCGGCGATCCAGAACGGCCAGGTGACCGCCTGTCACGACGTTTCCGACGGCGGTCTTGCGATCGCGCTGGCCGAAATGTGCATGGCGGCGAAGCGGGGCATGACAATCGAGGTCGGCGAGACCCAGGCTGCCCACGCGCTGCTGTTCGGCGAGGATCAGGGCCGCTACGTGGTCACGGTCGGCGCGCCCGACGCCAATTTCCTTTCGCTCAACGCCGAGGGCGCAGGCGTGCCATTCCGGCGCATCGGCACGGTGGCGGGCGACCGGTTTTTGTTGACCGGCGCGATCTCCGCTTCCATATCTTTGGCACAGATGGAGCGCGCGCATGAGGGCTGGCTGCCCGGCTACATGGCCGGCCCGGCCCGCGCGGCCGCCGAACAGGAGATGCCGTAATGCCGATGAACGCCGCCGACATCGAACGCATGATCAAGGACGCCATCCCCGATGCGCAGGTCACGATCCGCGATCTGGCCGGCGATGGCGATCATTATGCGGCCGAGGTGGTCTCGGAGAGCTTTCGCGGCAAGAGCCGCGTGCAGCAGCACCAGATGGTCTATGAGGCGCTGCAGGGCAATATGGGCGGCGTCCTGCACGCGCTCGCCTTGCAAACGTCGGCGCCGGGTTAAGCCGCCGTGCTCGGCGCGCTCATGGTCTTGTGCTTGAGCGCGCTGCTTCTTACTAATGAACGCATTCGCGACAGGCTGGCCAGCCTGTTTTCCAACCGCCGGGCCTTGAACCCGGATGAGAAAGGACGAGACGATGGCAGGGATCGGTGAGTTCATCGACAACGAGGTCAAGACCAACGAAGTCGTGCTCTTCATGAAAGGCACGCCGGGCTTTCCCCAATGCGGCTTTTCGGGTCAGGTGGTGCAGATCCTCGACTATCTGGGCGTCGACTACAAGGGCGTGAACGTGCTCGCCGACGACGATCTGCGCGAGGGCATCAAGACCTATTCGAACTGGCCGACGATCCCGCAGCTCTACGTCAAGGGCGAATTCGTGGGCGGCTGCGACATCGTCCGCGAGATGTTCCAGGCGGGAGAACTGCAGAGCCATTTCGAAGGCAAGGGCGTCGCAGTCAAGCAGGCGAGCTGACCGCCCCCTGCCGTGATCACCCCCGCCTATGCGGCCACCATGGCGCGCTACAACCGCTGGCAGAACGCCAATCTGCTGGCCGCTGCCGACACGCTGACCGACGAGGAGCGCCGCGCCGATCGCGGCGCGTTCTTCGGCTCGATCCACGAAACCTTCTCGCACCTTTTGTGGGGCGACAGCATATGGATGCACCGATTCGCCGGCACGCCCAGGCCGGGAGGCGGCATCGCCGAGTCGACATCCATGGTCGCCGACTGGGGCGCCTTCGGCGCGGAGCGGCGGCGCTTCGACGATATGATCGCCGATTGGGCCGACGGGCTGGACGATGAATGGTTCGCCACCGATCTGACATGGTGGTCCGGCGCGGCCGGCCGCGAGGTCACGCGGCCCAGACCGGCGCTGGTGATGCACTTCTTCAACCATCAGACGCACCATCGCGGGCAGATCCACGCCATGCTGACGGCGGCCGGCGCCAAGCCGTCGGACACCGACCTGTTCATGCTGCCCGGCTGACGCCTTGCCGGCGGCGGCAATTGTCCCAGTGACAAGCCTTTGATTGCCGGCGCGGTTTCGGCATGGCACACCGGCGTGATGACCCTGCACAAGCTCCCTGCCCATGTCGCCGACGCGTTCGCCCATCAGGCCGCGGCGTGCCGCGATCTGGGATCGCCGCTGACGGCGACGGTCTGCGCGCTGGTCGCAGAACACGGGCTGCCGGACAGCGAAACCCGCCGCCGGATCGCCACATGGCCCGGCCTTGAAACGTCCAGGGGCGATGTCGTGCCACTGCGTTTCACCGGCGCGCTGCATCGGCTGGTGCTCGACGGCGCCGAACCGGCGCTTGCCGCCGCCTATCCGCCGCACGCGCTCGACACCGACGCGCTGCATGCTGCGATGATCGGGGCCGTTGGCAGCCATGACGGTTTCATCGCCGACTATCTGGGCTCGGCGCCGCAAACCAACGAAGTGGCGCGCGCCGCGCATTTGCTGCCGGCGCTTTTGGCCGTCGCAGCCCCCATGGCTCTGCCGATCCGGATGATGGAACTGGGCGCTTCGGCCGGCCTTTTGCAGAATTTCGAGAAGTTCCGATACGACTATGGCCGCCATTTCTGGGGCGATCCGGCTTCGCCGGTGACTTTGAGGTGCGAATGGCGGGGCGACGCGCATTTCCCCGCCGGCGACCTGCCGCCGATTGTCGAGCGCGGTGGCTGCGACATCGCGCCCGTGCCGATCACCGCCGAAGACGACCGCAAGCGCCTGCAATCCTATGTCTGGCCCGACCAGCCGCACCGCTTGCAGCGCCTGACGGCCGCCATCGCCATGGCGCTGGAGCATCCGCCAACGATTGATGAAGCGGGCGCCGCCGACTGGCTCGAAGCGCGGTTGGCGCCTCTCCCGGAAGGCAGGCATACGATCGTGCTGCACGCCATCATGTGGCAATATATGCCCGGTGCCGAACGCGCCCGCGCGGAAGCGGCAATTCGCAACGCCGGACGGCAGGCAACGCCCGACGCGCCGCTCTCCTGGGTGCGGTTCGAGGCGGACGGCGACAAGCCCGGCGGCGGCGTGCGCGTCACGCACTGGTCGGGTGCAGCCGATGACGGCATCAGCAGGCTGGTCGCGCGCGGCGATTATCATGGCCGCTGGGTTGAACCGATCGTCTGAAAAACTGTTATGCCATGGACAGGCAGGGCGCCGTGGCCATATGCCAGGGCAACGACCATGGAGGAGAAACGATGAGCTGGACCGTCTATCTTTCCGGAGAAATCCACACCGACTGGCGCGAACAGATCGAGAGCGGCGTTGCCGCCGCGGGACTTCCCGTCACCTTCAGCGCGCCGGTGACGCATCACGAAGCGTCGGACGATTGCGGCGTCGCCATTTTGGGCGCCGAGGCCGACAAGTTCTGGCACGATCACAAGGGCGCGCAGATGAACGCCATCCGCACGCGCACGCTGATGGAAAAGGCCGACATCGTGGTGGTGCGCTTCGGCGAGAAATACAAGCAATGGAACGCCGCCTTCGACGCCGGTTATGCCAGCGCGCTCGGCAAACCGCTGATCGTCATGCATCAGGACGAGCATGCCCATGCGCTCAAGGAAGTGGACGCGGCAGCCCTTGCCGTCACCAGGACGCCGCAACAGGTGGTTGCCATTCTCGACTATGTCATCAACGGCAACCTGTCCGGCTATACGGACCGCGCCGAAGCCGCCGAGTAGTGTCAGGAACAGGTGGCGGGCGCTTTCCAATTCGCCCGCCAGACGATATGACGGAAGGCGCGCCGACGACCGGCGCGTTTTTTCGTTCAGGACCTGCATTCCATGACCGCGTTCAACGGCTTTGGCGACAAGGCCCTGCCCTTTCTCAAGGCGCTCGGCTTTCATCAGGACCGCGACTGGTTCGCCGAAAACAAGGCGCTGTATGAAAGCGAGGTGAAGGGTCCGCTCGGCGATCTGGTCGAAGCCGTGTCCGGCCGGTTCCAAGCCGAGGGCGTGCCCCTGCGCGGCAGCCGCAAGACCTCGCTCTATCGTGTCTATCGCGACGTGCGCTTTTCCAGGAACAAGGACCCCTACAACACCCATGCCAGCGCGCTGATGACGCGGACCGGCACCAAGAAAGACAATGGGTTCGTCTATGTCCACATCTCCAACGAGCGCAGCTTCATCGCTTCGGGCTTTTATGGTCTGGACGGGCCGCAATTGCGCGCCTTTCGCGATCTGATCGTGCGCGAGAGCGATGCGATGCGGCGGCTCGTCAAGGCTATGGAGAAACATGGCTTCACGCTCGACATGTCCGAATCGCTCAAGCGCACGCCACGCGGCTTCGATGACATTGACGACGACGATGTCATTGCCTGGCTGCGGCTCAAGCATTTCACCTTCATCGACGAAATCGACAATGGGATCGTGCCGACCCCCGAACTTGCCGATCGCATGGTGCGGCTTGGCAGCCTCTCGGTGCCCTTCCTCGATTTCGGCTGGCGCGCCATCGATCCGCTGCGCGACGAGCCGGCATCATGAGCGCACCCGCACAGCCCGCACGCCCTGAGCAGCCGGCAAAGGCCGGCATCGGAGGACGCGAATTCATCGTCCTGATCGCTGCGCTCACCTCGATCGTCGCCTTTTCGATCGATTCGATGCTGCCGGCGCTGCCGGTGATCGGCGCCGATTTCGCGCTTGCCGACCAGAACGACCGGCAGTTCGTTCTGATCGCGTTCGTGCTCGCCTTCGGGCCGGCACAGATCGTCTTCGGGCCCCTGTCAGACCGGTTCGGCCGGCGGCCCGTGCTGCTTGGCGGCCTTGTCTTCTTCGTTCTGGCCTCGTTCGGCGCCGCCGTCACCGAAAGCTGGGCCGCGCTTCTGTCGTGCCGGGCTGCACAGGGCGTCGGCGCCGCGGCGGTGCGCATCACGACACTGGCGATCGTGCGCGACTGCTTTGCCGGCCGCGACATGGCGCGGATCATGTCCTACGTCTTCACCATCTTCATGCTGATCCCGATCGTCGCGCCGGCCATGGGACAGGCCATCGTCGCCGTCACCGACTGGCACTGGCTGTTTGCGGTGCTCGGCGCATCGGGTGCCGCGCTGGGGCTGTGGAGCTGGGTCCGGATGCGTGAGACATTGCCGGTTGCCGCACGGCGGCCGCTCGACCCCGGCAGCATCTTCCACGCTTTCCGCGAGATCCTGACCAACCGGATCGCGCTTGGCTACACGCTGGCCGTCACCCTTTTCTTCGGCGGCCTGTTCGCCTTTATCGTCTCGATCCAGCAGATCATCGAGGTGATCTACGGCATGCAGGACTGGTTTGCGGCGGTGTTCGCCACCAGCGCGTCGGCCATGGCGGTCGCGAGCCTGGGCAATGCGTCGCTGGTGCGGCGGCTCGGCATGCGCCGCATCTCGCACGCAGCGCTGGTCAGCTTCACCGTGCTCGGCGGCGTCCTGCTGATCGCCGGTCTTTTGTCGGTGCCGCCGTTTCTGGTGACGATCGGCCTGATCAGCCTGATCATGATGTCGTTCGGCTTCGTCGCCGGCAATTTCAACGCGCTTGCAATGGAGCCGCTGGGCCATGTGGCCGGTTCGGCCTCATCGGTGCTGGGCACGATCTCGTTCACCGGCGGCGCGCTGCTCGGCACGCTGACCGGCCAGGCGTTCAACGGCACGATCGTGCCGCTGGCTACCGCCTATTTCCTGTTCGGGCTCTTGGGTCTGGCGATTGTCCTGATCACCGAGAAGGGCGAACTGTTCGCCGTCCATCACGATCCGGCGGACTGAGCGTCGGACAGCGCGGCGAAATCGAACAGGGCCGGATCGAGCAGATGGCTGGGCCGGACATTGGCGAGCGCCCGGATCATCGTGTCCTTGCGGCCGGGCATCGCCGCTTCCATCTCGGCAAGCATCTTTTTCATCGCGTTGCGCTGCAGCCCGTCCTGGGACCCGCACAGATCGCAGGGAATGATCGGGAACTTCATCGCCTCGGCGAACTTTTGCAGATCGGCCTCCGCGCACCAGACCAGCGGGCGCAGCACCTCGATATCGCCCTCATCGTTGAGCAGCCTCGGCGCCATGGCGGCGAGGCGCCCGCCGTGGAACAGGTTCATGAAGAAGGTTTCGAGCATGTCTTCGCGGTGATGGCCGAGCACCAGCGCCGAACAGCCCTCTTCGCGCGCAACCCGGTAGAGATGGCCACGCCTGAGCCGCGAGCACAAAGCGCAATAGGTCCGGTTTTCCGGCACCTTGTCTGTGACGATCGAATAGGTGTCGCGATATTCGATGCGGTGGGCGATGCCGTTCCGTTCTAGCCACTCGGGCAGGACATGTTTGGGAAAGTCCGGCTGGCCCTGGTCGAGATTGCAGGCCAGAAGCTCGACCGGCAGAAGGCCGCGCCATTGCAAGTCGATCAGACAGGCGAGCAGGCCATAGGAGTCCTTGCCGCCGGAGATCGCCACCAGCCAGCGCCCGCCCGCCCCGACCATGGAAAAATCGCTCAGCGCCTGCCGCACCTGACGCAGCAGCCGCTTTCTGAGACGGTTGAAGCCGACCGAAGACGGCGTGTCCGCAAACAGCGGGTGAGCCGCCCGGGCAAGGCCTTCGTCAACCGGCGCGGTTTCGTTCACTGGTGCTGCTCCGACTGCGCCGCGGACGCTTGAACCGCCCGCCATGGCCGAACCGTATAGTGTTCCGGGCCGCGAGCGCCAGTGACGGCCGGAAAAGACCAAAACAAAAGGCCGCCCGCGGTCCGGACGGCCTTTGAAAGACGCAATGCCGTCCGAACGTCAGCGCGAATAGAATTCGACGACCAGGTTCGGTTCCATCATCACCGGATAGGGCACGTCGGCCAGAGCCGGAACGCGGGTGAACGTGGCTGTCATCTTGTTGTGATCGGCATCGACATAGTCGGGCACGTCTCGCTCGGCGAGCTGCGTGGCTTCGAGAACCAGCGCCATCTGCTTGGACTTCTCACGCACTTCGATCACGTCGCCCGCCTGGCAGCGGTAGGACGGGATGTTGACGCGCTGGCCGTTGACCTTGACGTGGCCATGATTGACGAACTGGCGCGCGGCGAAGATGGTCGGCACGAACTTGGCGCGGTAGACCAGCGCATCGAGCCGGCTTTCCAAAAGGCCGATCAGCGTTTCGGGCGTGTCGCCCTTGCGGCGTGCAGCCTCGTCATAGGTCTTGCGGAACTGCTTTTCCGAGATATCGCCGTAATAGCCCTTGAGCTTCTGCTTTGCGCGAAGCTGGACACCGAAGTCCGACAGCTTGCCCTTGCGGCGCTGGCCATGCTGGCCGGGGCCGTATTCGCGGCTGTTGACCGGCGATTTGGGGCGGCCCCAAATGTTCTCGCCCATACGGCGATCGAGTTTGTGTTTGACTGAACTGCGCTTGCTCATCGCATTTCCTTTCAACGTGTTGTGCCCGGTTTTTAACAAACCGGATCAAGGAAACGCGCCCTCCTCTGCCGGCCTTTTTCGCCGACTGACAGGACCGTCCACGCACGCTTTGCGGTTGGGTCCACGGGACACGTAAAAAACCCGCTCGAGAGCGGGATGGCGGTCGATAGCGCCAAAGCCGTATCTTGTCAATCAGCGTGCGGTACGTTCGCCGGTCGGAGTCCGATCGTAGAGCGATGCGATCTGTTCGAACGGCGCGCGCGATTGCCGTACCCGCGCCATGATCCAGGCGCCCTCGATCATTGTCAGCAACCGCTCGGCCTCGGTCCGCGGATCGCCGGCCGCGCCCAGGCGGATGGCATGTTCCGCGATCTCGTCCGTCCAAAGATCGAAAGACCCGCGAGCCGCATTGGTCAAGCGCGTGTTCGACGGAGCCGTTTCCAGAGCGATTGTCGTGATCGGACATCCTAGCTGCCAACCCGATTGCTCGAACCAGTCCGCCAGTCTTGCAATCAAGGCCTGCGCTCCGGCGTCGAAACTGTCCGCCTCCTCGAATGCCCCTGCCATCTTCCGGCGCATGAAACCGGCAGCATAGGCCATGGCGTGGCAGGCCAGCTCGTCCTTGCCCCCCGGGAAATGGTGATAGAAGGAACCCTTCGGCGCATTCGCCTCCGCGATGATCTCGTTCAGACCGACACCGTGGTAGCCGCCTTGGCGGAAAAGGCTGGCCGCGGTCCTGATAAAGCGTTCCTTGGCATCCGATGATCGTGGCATGACGACCTTATAGACATTGTATGTCGGTTGGTCTAGTTTCCCATTCTATGGCAATTGCCATAGTGAGGATGTCATGAGCGGAAACCGACCCCCTGTTGCACAAGATCATGCGGGCTTCCAATTCGTCGACATCGTCGCCGGCAGGCGAATCCTGACCGGCAAACTTTATCTGTCGACGGACAAACCGGATCTGGCGGTCGTCGTACACGCGGCAACCGGTGTCACCCAAGACTATTATGAGCCTTTTGCACGCTGGCTATCGGCCCAGTTGAATGCGGCGGTCCTGACCTATGACTATCGGGAAACCGGCCTGAGCCGAGGGGCCGAACCGGTCCAGAGACTTCAAGCGCGTCTGTCGGACTGGGGCATTCACGACCAGAACGGCGCCTTGAACCATCTTTGCGAGCGGTTTCCCAACCTGCCGGTCTGGGTCATCGGGCACTCGCTGGGCGGTCTGTTTCTGCGGTGGCACGACAATGCGCACCGTGTGTCCCGATTGCTGACCGTTGCCTCCGGGCCGGCGCATTACCTGTCCCATCCGGTTTCATCATGGCCCAGCGTTTTCTGGTTCTGGTTCGCCGGCGGACCCGCACTGACAGGCACATTCGGATATCTTCCGGGCCGGTCGAGCGGCTTGGGGGCAGACTTGCCGGCTCCGGCGTTTTGGCAATGGCGGCGCTGGTGTACGTCACGCGGGTTTTACGAGATCGATTGGGGCAAGGCTTTCGGCAATCCGGGACCCGTCCCCGAAGGCCTGCAACTGAACATGTTCTCGTTCTCGGACGACTGGATGATTCCGCCGAAAAGCGTCTCGCGGCTGCCGCGCTATTATCCCGGTGTAGAGACGCGACATTCAACCCTGTCGCCCCATGATTTCGGTCTGCGGAAGCTCGGCCATGTCGGACTGTTCGCCCGCAAGAACGCGGTGGCGTGGCCCGCACTGGTCGATCCGGCGACCGGATGAGCCGCTGGCCGCCCGTTTTCAGTCCGGAAACGGCACGGTCGAAAGGCCAAATCCGGAAGCGAGCCGCATCACCTCGGTGCGCGGGTCGTCCGAGGTGAAGACGGCAATGTCCGGCAGCGAGAAGTCGCGCGGGCCGAACTGCATCTGCTCGACCAGCGTCAGCGTCCGGCGGGCGATCGCCTCGGACGTGTCGATCCAGTCGACCGGCCAGGGCGCGGTCTTGCGCATCCGGTTGGCGAGAAACGGGTAATGGGTGCAGGCGAGCACGACGATGTCGGTGCGCCGGCCATTTTCCTCGACAAAACATGGCGCGATCTCACGGCGCACCGCCTCCTCGTCGACAAAGCCGGTGCGCATATAGTCCTCGGCGAGTTCGGCCAGATGCTCGCTGCCGACCAGCCGGACATGGCACTGGCCGGCATATTGGCGGATCAGGTCGCGCGTATATTGCCGCCGCACGGTTCCGGGCGTTGCCAGCACGGAAACCAGGCCCGACCGCGTGCGTTCGGCGGCGGGTTTGATGGCCGGCACCGTGCCGACGAAGACCTGGTCCGGAAACGCCCGCCGCAAATGCCCGATCGCCAGCGTCGACGCCGTATTGCAGGCAATGACGATCAGGCCGGGCCGGAAAGCCTCGATGAGCGTTTCGAACAGGCCCGTCATGCGATCGAGGAGTTCGGCCTCGTCCCATGCGCCATAGGGAAAAGCGGCATCGTCGGCGACGTAGATGTGGCGCAGGCCGGGCAGGATGATGCGCGCTTCCTTGACCACCGACAGGCCGCCAATGCCGCTGTCGAAGAACAGGACCGACGGATCGCGCAGCTCAGCCATCGCCGGCGGCCTTTTTGCCGGAAGGCGGCGCCGGCCGGCGGCGCGGATCGTCCTGCGGCGACCCCTCGCCACGCGGCCGCGCCGGCGAAAACCGGTCGAGCGAGGAGATCACCCCGCGCAGGAGCCGGATCTCCTCGGTGGAGAAACCGGGACGCGACAGGACCGCGCGCAGATTGTCGACCTGCGCCGGCTTCCGTTCGGGCGGGCGGAAATAGCCGCGCACATCGAGCGCGGTCTCAAGCTGGTCGAACATGCCGACCAGTTCGGCGCGCGGCGCCGGCGCAAAATCCGGCCCGGCAAAGGGCAGCGTTTCGGCTTGGCCGTCGCGCGTCTTGAGGAACTCATAGGCCATCAGCAGCACCGCCTGGGCGATGTTCAGCGAAGCGTAAGCGGGATTGACCGGAAAGGTGACGATGTCGTCGGCAAGGCTGATTTCCGCATTGTCGAGGCCGAACCGCTCCCGGCCGAACAGTATGCCGACCGACTGCCCGGCGTCGGTCCGGGCGCGCATGTTGGCCGAGGCTTCGACCGGGCCGAGCACGCGCTTGAAGCCGTCGCGCTGGCGCGCCGTGGTCGCCACCACATAGGTCAGGTCGGACAGCGCTTCGGCGAGCGTTTCGAAGACGCGCACGCGCTCGAGCACGTAGCCGGCGCCGCTTGCGGTCGCCTTGGCCTTTTGGTTCGGCCAGCCGTCGCGCGGCGCCACCAGCCGCAGATCGATCAGCCCGAAATTGGCCATGGCGCGGGCGACCATGCCGATATTCTCGCCAAGCTGCGGCTCGACGAGGATGACGGCCGGGCCTTCCTCGATCCCGTCGAAATTGCGGTTGGTGCCTGCCATTGCCTGCTTTTTCGTGCCGTTGTCGCCTGTGCGCAGCCATATAGGGCAAGCCGCTGACAGCCAAGTGTTTCCGCCCGACAGACTATTGGAGCGTTTGCGCGGGTCAGACCCCTTTGCTATAGCGGCGGAAACCCACCGGGCCATCCGTCACGCGCCCCTTTCCAACCCTGTTTCCGAGGTCAATCATGGCGAAAATCAAGGTCGAAAATCCGGTTGTCGAACTGGACGGCGACGAGATGACCCGCATCATCTGGCAGTTCATCAAGGACAAGCTGATCCATCCCTATCTCGACATCGACCTGAAATATTACGACCTTGGCATCGAGGCGCGCGATGAGACGGACGACCAGATCACCGTCGATGCGGCCAACGCCATCAAGGAATATGGCGTCGGCGTGAAATGCGCGACCATCACGCCGGACGAGCAGCGCGTCGAGGAGTTCGGCCTCAAGAAGATGTGGCGTTCGCCGAACGGCACGATCCGCAACATTCTGGGCGGCGTGATCTTCCGCGAGCCGATCATCTGCAAGAACGTGCCGCGGCTGGTGCCGGGCTGGACCAAGCCGGTGATCGTCGGCCGTCATGCGTTCGGCGACCAGTATCGCGCGACCGACTTCCGCTTCCCCGGCAAGGGCAAGCTCTACATGAAGTTCGTCGGCGAGGACGGCAAGGAGCAGGATTACGAGATTTTCGATGCGCCCGGCGCCGGCATCGCCATGGGCATGTACAATCTGGACGCCTCGATCGTCGATTTCGCCCGCGCCTCGCTCAATTACGGGCTGCAGCGCAAGGTTCCGGTCTACCTGTCGACCAAGAACACGATCATGAAAGTCTATGACGGCCGGTTCAAGGACATCTTCCAGGAGATCTACGAGAGCGAGTTCGAGGCCGCCTTCAAGGAAGCGGGCATCTGGTACGAGCACCGGCTGATCGACGACATGGTGGCCGCGAACTTGAAATGGTCGGGCGGCTATGTCTGGGCCTGCAAGAACTATGATGGTGACGTGCAGTCGGACACGGTGGCGCAGGGCTTCGGCTCGCTCGGCCTGATGACGTCGGTTCTGATGACGCCGGACGGCAAGACCGTGGAAGCCGAAGCCGCGCACGGCACGGTGACGCGCCACTACCGCCAGCACCAGGCGGGCGAGGACACCTCGACAAACTCGATTGCCTCGATCTTCGCCTGGACGCGCGGGCTGGCGCACCGGGCCAAGCTCGACGGCAACGATGCGCTGCGCGACTTCTCGCTGACGCTCGAAAAAGTCTGCGTCGACACGGTGGAAAGCGGCTTCATGACCAAGGATCTGGCGCTTCTGATCGGTCCGGACCAGAAATGGCTGACGACCACGGGCTTTCTCGACAAGATCGACGAGAATTTGCAGAAGGCGATGGGCTGACCCTCCGCCGGACCTACGCAAAAGGGCGCCGCAAGGCGCCCTTTCTTGTTGTGGGCATTCCGGTGTGACCGGTCAGGCTTTTTCCGGCACCTGTTCGAGCGCGCCGGCGACCGCGTCGATCGCCGCTTGTGCGCTGGCGCCATCGGGACCGCCGGCCTGGGCCATGTCCGGCCGGCCACCACCACCCTTGCCACCAAGAGCGGCCGATGCCACGCGCACCAGATCGACCGCGTTGAACCGCGCCACCAGATCGTCCGTCACCGCGACGACGACCGAGCCCTTGCCGTCTTCGGAACTTGCAGCGAGCACCACGACACCGGAGCCGATCCGCGCCTTTGCATCGTCAGCCATCGGCTTGAGATCGCGCGGTGACACACCGGCAACGGTGCGGCCCATGAAGGTGACGCCGGCGATCTGGCGCGTGTCGCCGCCGGCATCGCCGTTTTCCGCGGCAGGGCCGGCCAGCGCCAGCGCCTTTCGCGCCTCTGCCAGTTCGCGTTCGAGCTTGCGCCGCTCGTCGACCAGTTGGCCGATGCGGCCGACCGCCTCGTCGGGCGTTGTCTTCAAAAGCCCGGCAACCGAACGCATGCGCTCGTCCTGGGCTTCCAGATAGCGGCGCGCGCCCTCGCCCGTCAGCGCCTCGATGCGGCGAACGCCGGCCGACACCGCGCTCTCGGCGACGATACGGACGAGACCGATCTCGCCGGTGGCGCCGACATGGGTGCCGCCGCACAGCTCCACCGAATAGGGTTTGCCGGCCTTGTCGCCGCGCGTGGCGGTGCCCATCGAGACGACGCGCACCTCATCGCCATATTTCTCGCCGAACAGCGCCATCGCACCCTCTTCGATCGCCTCGTCGACGGCCATCAGCCGGGTGGTGACCGGCGCGTTCTGCAAGATGATCTCGTTGGCGATGTCGGCGACTTCGGCCAGTTCCTCGGCGCTGACCGGCTTGGGATGGGCAAAATCGAACCGCAGCCGGTCAGGCGCGACGAGCGAGCCCTTCTGCGTGACATGGGTGCCGAGCACCTCGCGCAGCGCCTCATGCACCAGATGGGTTGCCGAATGGTTGGCGCGGATGGCGCCGCGACGGCCATGGTCGACCTCCATTTCGACGACCGCGCCCACCGCAACGGCACCCTCAAGCACCTTGCCATGATGGATGAACAGGCCGTCGGCCTTCTTCTGGGTATCGGCGATGTCGATGACAAAGCGCTCGCCGCGCATCACGCCGCGGTCGCCCTGCTGACCGCCCGATTCGCCGTAGAACGGCGTCTGATTGGTGATCACGACGACGGATTGGCCCGGATCGGCCATCTCCGTGCGCGCGCCGTCATGGACGAGCGCGGTGATGATGCCCTCGGCCTTTTCGGTCTCGTAGCCAAGGAACTCGGTGGCGCCCAGTTCGTCGCGCAGGCCGAACCAAACCGCTTCGTCGGCGGCATCGCCCGAGCCGGACCAATTGGCGCGGGCCTCGGCCTTCTGGCGCTCCATGGCCGCGTTGAAACCGTCCGTGTCGACCGAAATGCCGCGCTGGCGCAGCGCATCCTGCGTCAGATCGAGCGGGAAGCCATAGGTGTCGTACAGCTTGAAGGCCGTCTCGCCGGCCAGCTCATCGCCATCGCCAAGCTGGTCGGTCGCTTCGTTCAATAGCCCCAGGCCGCGCTCCAGCGTCTTGCGGAAGCGGGTTTCCTCGAGCCGTAGCGTTTCGGTGATCAGCGCGCGAGCGCGACCGAGTTCCGGATAGGCTTCGCCCATCTCGCCGATCAGCGCCGGCACCAGCCGGTGCATCAGCGGCTCCTCGGCGCCCAGAAGATGGGCATGGCGCATGGCGCGCCGCATGATCCGGCGCAGCACATAGCCGCGCCCCTCATTGGAGGGCAGCACGCCGTCGGCAATCAGGAACGATGTCGCGCGCAGATGGTCGGCGATGACGCGGTGGCTGGCCTGCCGGTCGCCCTCGGCCCTGGTGTGCGTCAACTGCTCGGACGCGGAAATCAGCGCCTTGAAGAGGTCGATGTCGTAATTGTCGTGCACGCCCTGCAAGACGGCGGCGATGCGCTCGAGCCCCATGCCGGTGTCGATCGACGGACGCGGCAGGTCGACACGCTGATCGGCCGTCGTCTGCTCGAACTGCATGAAGACGAGATTCCAGATCTCGATGAAGCGGTCGCCATCCTCCTCGGGCGAGCCGGGCGGGCCGCCCCAGATATGGTCGCCATGATCGTAGAAAATCTCCGAACACGGGCCGCACGGGCCGGTATCGCCCATCTGCCAGAAATTGTCGTGCGTCGGGATGCGGATGATCCGGTCCTCGTGCAGGCCGGAGATCTTGCGCCACAGATCGAACGCCTGATCGTCGGTGTGATAGACGGTGACCAGAAGCCGCTCGGGATCGAGGCCGAACTCGCCGGTGATCAGCTTCCAGGCGAGCGTAATCGCCTCGTCCTTGAAATAGTCGCCGAACGAGAAATTGCCGAGCATCTCGAAAAAGGTGTGGTGGCGCGCGGTGTAGCCGACATTGTCCAGATCGTTGTGCTTGCCGCCGGCACGGACGCATTTCTGCGAGGTGACGGCCCGCGCATAATCGCGCTTTTCAAGCCCGGTGAATACGTTCTTGAACTGAACCATGCCCGCATTGGTGAACATCAGCGTCGGATCGTTCAGCGGCACCAGCGGGCTCGACGGCACGATGCGGTGGCCATTGGCGGCGAAATAGTCGAGAAAAGCGGTGCGTATCGAATTGACGCCACTCATGAAAACACCCGTGAACAGACTTCCGGTTGCGGAAACGCCGGCGGCGGGCACAAGAGTGCGGCCACCCTTGAACGCCGCGCCGCGCGGCGCCGGTCAGAGGCTCGTGATTACGGCAAAAGCCGGCCCGCTGTCCAGCACGCAGCACCGACGCAGATCGGGGCTGAACCGGAGTCAGGGCGGCAAATAGAAAGGCCGCATGAAAAGGGTGGCCGAACGGAACCATGCCCGTGCCGGCCACCTTCAAATGGGGTCGACGACCCTTGGATACAATCGGAGACGATCCCGCCGGATGCGGGCCGGAGCCGGCACTCCCATGGGGGTGCCCGACCTGTTGCGGATCTCAGCCCTCGGCGGCTGCATCGCCGTCGAAATCGACGTCGCCGGCATCGGCCGCGGACGCGGTTTCATCGTCGTGCAGAAGCTGCTCGGCGATCAGGCCGGCATTCTGGCGCAGGGCCATCTCGATCCGCGCGGCGACATCGACATTGTCGCGCAGGAACTGCTTGGCGTTCTCGCGCCCCTGCCCCAGCCGCTGGCTGTCATAGGAGAACCAGGAGCCGGATTTTTCGACGATGCCCGCCTTGACGCCCAGATCGATCAGCTCGCCGGTCTTGGAGACGCCCTCGCCATACATGATGTCGAACAGCACCTCCTTGAAAGGCGGCGCCAGCTTGTTCTTGACCACCTTGACGCGGGTCTGGTTGCCGACGACCTCGTCGCGATCCTTGACCGCGCCGATGCGGCGAATGTCGAGCCGGACCGAGGCATAGAATTTCAGCGCGTTGCCGCCGGTCGTCGTCTCGGGCGAGCCGAACATCACGCCGATCTTCATGCGGATCTGGTTGATGAAGATGACCATCGTGTTCGAGCGCGAGATCGAGGCGGTCAGCTTGCGCAGCGCCTGGCTCATCAGCCGCGCCTGAAGGCCCGGCAGCGAATCGCCCATCTCGCCCTCGATTTCGGCGCGCGGCGTCAGCGCGGCCACCGAATCGATCACCAAGACATCGCACGCCCCCGACCGCACCAGCGTGTCGGCGATTTCCAGCGCCTGCTCGCCGGTGTCGGGCTGCGAGATCAGAAGGTCTTCGAGATTGACGCCCAGCTTGCGCGCATAGACCGGATCGAGCGCGTGTTCGGCATCGATGAAGGCGCAGATGCCGCCCTCCTTCTGCGCCTCGGCAACCGTGTGCAGCGCCATGGTGGTCTTGCCCGAGCTTTCAGGCCCGTAAATCTCGATGATGCGGCCCTTGGGCAGCCCGCCCACGCCGAGCGCGATGTCGAGGCCGAGCGAACCGGTCGAGACGGTCTCGATCTCGACGACCTGCTCGTTGACGCCCAGCCGCATGATCGAGCCCTTGCCGAAGGATCGTTCGATCTGCGCGAGCGCCGCGTCCAGAGCCTTTGACTTGTCCACCGATTTGCCCTCAACCAACCGCAAATTGTTCTGAGCCATATGTCCACCCTTATGTTAAAGCGCTGGCAGGCGCAAAGGAAACCGTTCTGCAAGTTTGTACCATTTTTGTTCCCACCCTGCAAGCGCGATAACGTATTGAAACCGAAGCGGAAATGATTTTTGTTCTTATTATGTCTTTTTTTGTGCCCTACGGATGTATCCCGACTTCGGCCCGGCCGGGCGGCGCGGGGCCGGCGTTTGCCGGAATCGCGCGGTGATGGCGGCGCGGCTTGCGATCCTCGGCGTCGGCGGCGCCCATGTCGATAGGATCGGCCATCTGTCGGGACCGGCGCATGATGGCGCCTCCAACCCCGGCACCATGGCCGAATGGGTGGGCGGCTGCATGGCCAACACGCTGCGAGTGGCCAGCGCTGTCTGCGGCGTGCGGGTCGGCCTGATTTCAGCGCGCGGCGGCGATACAGGCGGACGCTTGGTCTCCCAGGCCCTGTCGCAAGCGGGGGTCGAGGATTTCAGCGCGGTGTTCCTCGACCGGGCGACGCCCAGCTACACGGCAATCATGGATGCGGATGGCGAGGTGATGGCGGCGCTGGCCGACATGGACCTTTATGAGACAGGACTGGCGCGCCATTTGCGCCGCGCCGAACCCAGAAGGCTCATCGCCGAAGCAGGTCTGCTCGTGGTCGATGCCAATCTGCCGGCGGAGGCGATCGGGGCGCTGTGCGACAATGCTGACGGGCCTGTCGTCGCGCTTGCGGTGTCGCCGGCCAAGGCACCGCGCATCGCGCCGCACGCGGCCCGCTTTGCGCTGACCTTCATGAACCGCCGCGAGATGAACGCACTTATCAGTGCGCCGCTCGGCGAACCGGTCACGCCCGCCACCCTCGCCCGCCTGTCGGCGCTGGGGTTCCGGCGCGCCGTGATCAGCGACGGCGGCGGGCCCGTGACCGTGCTGGACGGCGATGCCGCGTGGCGTCAGCCGGTCGGCGAAGCGGCCAATCCGGTCGACGTCACAGGCGCGGGCGACGCACTGGCCGGCGCGACGCTCGCCCATTGGCCCGGAATGGCGCTGCCGAGTGCCGTGCGGGTCGGGGTGGCAGCCGCGGCCGCGACTATCGGCGTGACGGGGCCATTCCGGGCTGATATCGCCGCCTGCGGCCTGAAAGGCCGTGCAGATGCCCTGCCCGCCCGCGAACCGATTGCCCTAGAAACAGACACGTCGAGCGAGACCCCATGACCAAGCCGCCGATCCGTTTCGACCCCGCCGTCCGCACCGCGCTTGAAACCGGTGCGCCGGTCGTCGCGCTGGAATCGACCATCATCACGCACGGCATGCCCTGGCCGGACAATCTGGCGATGCTCGAGCGCGTCGAAACCGCTGTTCGCGATCATGGCGCGACACCGGCCACCATCGCCGTCATCGACGGGACAATCCGCATCGGCCTGTCCGCGACCGACGCTGAAGCATTGGCAAAGGCGAGCGGAACGCTCAAACTGTCGCGCGCGGACCTCGCCTTTGCCTGTGCCGAGGGGCTGACCGGCGGCACCACCGTCGCCGCAACCATGATGGCGGCCCATGGCGCGGGGATTGCGGTCTTTGCCACCGGCGGCATTGGCGGCGTGCACCAGGGCGCCGAGACGAGCTTCGACATCTCCGCCGATCTGGACGAGTTGGCGCGCACGCCGGTCACCGTCGTTTCGGCCGGCGCCAAGGCGATCCTCGATATCCCAAAGACGCTGGAGGCGCTTGAGACGCGCGGCGTGCCCGTCATCGCCGTTGGCCAGGACGAGATGCCGGCCTTCTGGTCGCGCGGGTCGGGTCTCGCCGCGCCGCTCAGACTCGACGATGCCGATGCGATCGCCCGGTTCGTCGCGATGCGCACCGAACTGGCCGATTATCGCCATGGCGGCATCCTCGTCGCCAATCCCGTGCCGGCCGAGGCGGAAATCCCGCATGCGGAGATGGCGGTTTTTATCGCTCAGGCGCAGGCCGAAGCCGCCGAACAGGGCATCTCCGGCAAGCAGGTCACGCCGTGGCTGCTCGCGCGCATCGTCGAAATCACTGGCGGCCGCAGCCTTTTGACCAACATCGCGCTTGTCGAAAGCAATGCGCGGCTCGGCGCGAAGATCGCCGTGGCGTTGGCGCGGCGCTGACCCGTCCCTGCCGCGCGCCGGCGCCCTGGCTTGTCAGACCATGGCGGGATGCGGCATGGTCGCGGCCAGCCGAAGACCCGACCCGGACCCGCCAGACGCATGCAGCAGCTTTCCGCCTTTGCGCTGTTTTCGGCGCTCGATGCAGACGCCGACAGCCGCTTTGCCGGCCAGTGCTCGATCAGCGATTTCGACGAGAACGAGCTGGTGCTCGATTTCGACGACGACACCCATGACGTGTTCCTGATCGCCAGCGGCCGCGTACGCGTCATCCTGCGCATTGCGACGGGCCGCGAGGTGATCCTTGGGGAACTCGGCGAAGGCGCGTTTTTCGGCGAGCTGGCGGCCATCGACGGCACGCGCCGGTCCGCCAACATCACGGCGATGGTGCGCACGCGGCTTATCCGCGTCCCGCAATCGGTGTTCCGCACGATCCTGCGCGAGGAGCCCGATGTGGCGCTTGCCTTGATGAGCGCCATGTCGGACCGCATTCGCGGGCTCAATACGCGGCTGGCCGAGCATTCGTTCCTTGCCGCCAAATACCGGCTCTATTCGGAGCTGATCCGCCTGTCGAAACCGCGCAAGGGCCATGACGGCCAGCGCACGATCACGCCGCCGCCGGTGCAGCAGGATCTGGCCGAACGGATCGGCTGCCGGCGCGAGGTGGTCAGCCGCGAGATCGCGAAACTCGAACGGGAGGGCGTGATCGAACGCACGCGCGGGGCGATCGTGCTCGCCGACATGGGCGAACTCAACCGCCGTCTCAGTGAAGGCTGGGAGAAGGGCGGCTGACGCGCAGCCCCACCGTCAGTTCAGGTAACGGGTCGGATCGACGGGGCGCGAATCCTTGCGCACCTCGAAATGCAGCTGCGGCTGGCGCGCGTTGCCGCTCATCCCCGAAGCGCCGAGCGTCTGGCCGCGGCTGACATTGTCGCCGCGCGACACCGACATGGAATCGAGATGCCCGTACACGGTGACATAGCCGTCCGAATGGCGCACCAGCACCGTCTCACCGAACTCCTTGAGCCCGTCGCCGGCATAGATGACGACGCCATTCTCGGCGGCCTTGACCGGCGTGCCCTTGGGCACGGAAATGTCGATGCCGTCGTTGGGGCGGCCGCCCGAATTGCTGCCGAAACCCGAGATGATCCGTCCGCGCGCGGGCCAGCGCATGTTGGCAACGCCTGTCGCATCGGGCGCCCGCGCGGTGCTGCTCTCGTCAATGGACTGGACGCTGCCGGAGCTTGACGATGCCGGGCGCTGTGCCGGCGTGACCGAACTGGTGACCATCGGGTCCACATTGGGCGGCAATGCCGCTGTGGCCGTTGCGGAGACATCGCCCGAAAGGCCGGGTATCGTCAGGCGCTGGCCGACGCGGACCATGTCGGACGACAGCCCGTTGGTGCGCTTGATCGCGGCAACGGAGGCCCCGGTGCGGCGGGAGATTGCCGACAGCGTATCGCCGGACTGGACCGTGTAGCGGCCGCCCTGAAGCGACGCGGAGGGCGTTGCCGCCGGAGCGGCGGCCGTTTGGGTCGGCATGGCGGGACGCACGGATGCCTGCGGGCGCGCGGCCGGAACCGGTGCCCGGTCGAGGCTGACATCGGAGCGGCCGCCGACGCTGGCGCGCGCCGAGCGCACGCCGGAATTGGCATCGGGCGCGGACACCGGCACGGTGCGGCCATAAACATAGGTCGGGATCAGGATGCGCTGTCCGGCCTGCACGCCGCGCGCATCGCTGAGATTGTTGACGCTCTTGAGCGCGTCGACCGGCACACCGTAGCGCTTGGAGAGGTTGAACAGCGTTTCGCCCCGGGCGAGCGTCACATAAGTACCGCCCGTGCCGGTCCAGCCGGCGGCACGACCCGCCGCGTTCGTGGCGGCCGAGGCAGCGGCCTGCCGCGCCTGCTGCGGAAGACTGGCGGCGCTGTTGTTGATGACATCGGTCACCGCATTGGACGGGGCCGGCGGCATCGGCTGGCTGGCGACCGAAGGCGCGGCGATCGGCGCGCGGCCGACGGCGGCGGGCACGCTGCGTGCGGCTTGTCCAATGGAGCCGGTGGCCATCGTGTCGACGCCGTTGCCGAACGCCTGGCGCGCGGGCGCGGCGGGTGCCTGCGGCGCGGCCGCCACGATGCGCGGCGCGTTTTCGGGAAATGGCGTCTGGACGGCTGCGGGCGGGCGCACCGGCACGGAATTTGTGTAGAAATCGTCGGTGAAGCGCATCACGTCGCCGGCGCAGCCGGACACGAGCCCGCCCAGCACCAGAACCGACACCGTTTGCAACAATGACGCCGAACGCCGGCGGGCATCAAACATACGCATTACTCGCCCTGCCCCTCTTTCGAACTCGGGGCGATTAAAGCGCGTTAGTGTTACCCGTCAGTTAAGCGTTGGAAAGATCGCCGTGTCGGCGACCGAATCTGCACAGGATCAGAGCGCCCTGGGAAGCCCGGCGGCCATCGGCTGAACCCGGACCGTGCCGATATCCACGCGCTCGAAACGGTTGCCCACCTTGGTCAGCCGGACCAGCACCTGACGGCTGTCGGCCTCGCCGACCGGACAGACGATGACGCCGCCCGAGACGAGCAGATCGGAAAAACCGCGCGGCAAGGCCTCCAGGGCCGGCCAGGCGACGATGCGATCGAACGGGCCTTCGGTGCTGCCGGCCGCGCCGTCGGCCTGGCTGGCGATCACATTGTCGCGCTTGAGGGCGCGGAAACGGGCCTGGGCGGCCTGATGCAGGCGCGCAAAGCGCTCGATGGTGTAAACCCGCTTGACCATCGCGCCCATGACGGCGGCCGTGTAGCCCGAGCCGGTGCCGATTTCGAGCACGCGGTTCTGCGGTTCGAGCCCCAGCGCCGACAGGATCAGCGCCTGCTGGTCGAGGCCCTCGATCGTCTCGCCGCAATCGATCGGGATGGTGCGGCTGCTCCAGGCGGCATCGTGATATTGCGGGTCGACAAAGGCGCGGCGCGGCGTCGCCTCGATCGCTTCCAGAAGCGCCTTGTCGCCGATTCCCGCCGCCCGCATGCGCAGCACGAAGGCGGCAAAGCCCTCGCGGTCGATGGCGGCCAGGCTGGTCGGGATGGCGAGCGCCGGCGTCATGCGATCGCGTCTTCCAGCGACCGTTTGAGCTCATGCGCGGTGAAATCGAGCTTCAGCGGCGTCACCGCGATCCGGCCCTCGCGCAGGACGGCGATGTCCGTGTTGCCCTTGGCCTCGACCGGCGAGCGGCCGAACCGCATCCAGAAATAGGGAAAGCCGCGCCCGTCGCGCCGCTCTTCCATGAACAGGCCATGCAGCAGCTTGCCCTGCTCGGCGACGGCCACGCCCTTGACCTCGTCGGCAGCACAATTGGGGAAATTGACGTTCAGGAACGTGCCCTCCGGCATGTCCATGGCGATCAGCTTCTCAAGCAGTGGCGGCGCATGGGTCTCCGCGACGGACCAAGGCACGAAGCGGCGATTGTCGCTGAAATTGTAGGCCTGGCTGAGCGCGATCGAGCGCACGCCCAGAAGCGTGCCTTCCATCGCGCCGGCGACGGTGCCCGAATAGGTGATGTCGTCGGCGATGTTCTGGCCCGAATTGACGCCCGACAGCACCAGATCGGGCTTTTCGGGCATCACATGCGTCACCGCCATGATCACGCAGTCGGTCGGCGTGCCGCGCAGCGCAAAGCGGCGCTCGTCGATCTCGCGCAGGCGCAGCGGATCGTTCAGCGTCAGCGAATGCGCCAGTCCCGACTGGTCTGTCTCCGGCGCGACCACCCAGATGTCGTCGGACAGCGACCGGGCGATCCGTTCGAGCGAGGCCAGTCCCTCGGCATGGATGCCGTCATCATTGGTCAAAAGAATGCGCATTGGTTGTCCTTGGTCCCGGGTTCAGGCGGTGATCACATCGATGGCGCCCATATAGGGCTTGAGCGCGTCGGGCACGGCGATCGAACCGTCTTCCTGCTGGTAGGTTTCCATCACCGCGATCAGCGCCCGGCCCATGGCGACGCCCGAGCCGTTGAGCGTATGGACGAAGCGCGTCTGCTTTTCGCCCCCGGATCGTTGTCCGGGGCGGGCCTCGACGCGATAGCGGGCATTCATACGGCGCGCCTGGAAGTCGCCGCAGACCGAGCAGGACGAGATCTCGCGATAGGCGCCCTGCCCCGGCAGCCAGACCTCGATGTCATGGGTCTTGCGCGCGCCAAAGCCCATATCGCCGGTCGACAGGACCATGGTCCGGAAATGAAGACCGAGCCGCTCGAGCACCGTCTCGGCGCATTTCGTCATGCGCTCGAGTTCGTCGAGCGACGAGTCCGCATCGGTCACCGAAACCAGTTCGACCTTGTAGAACTGGTGCTGGCGCAGATAGCCGCGCGTGTCGCGGCCGGCAGACCCCGCCTCGGAGCGGAAGCACGGCGTCAGCGCCGTGTAGCGCCGCGGCAGATAGTCGTGATCGATGATCGTTTCGCGGACGATGTTGGTCAGCGGCACCTCTGCGGTGGGGATGAGCCAAAGGCGTTCATGTCTTGGGATCAGAAACTCGTTTTCCAGCAAAGCGTTAATACGATCATGGACCGGAACAACAAAGTCCTTTTCTCCTACTCGGTCCTTTTCGTTCTGCACACTTTCTAGCGCTTCGAAAACTGCCTTGGAAACACGTTCCTTCTCAGTAAGGCTTCGCGCAGTTGGAAACAAATCTTCTTCAAATTTCGGCAACTGCCCCGTGCCGAACATGGCGTCGTCGCGGACCAGAAGCGGTGGGTTCACCTCGATGTAACCATGCTCGGTCGTGTGCAGGTCAAGCATGAACTGGCCGAGCGCCCGTTCGAGCCGCGCGAGCCCGCCATTGAGCAGCGTGAAGCGCGCACCGGACATCTTGGCCGCCGTCTCGAAATCCATCTGGCCGAGCGCCTCGCCCAGCTCGAAATGCTCCTTGGGCTGGAAGTTGAACTGGCGTTTCTCGCCGGTCTGGCGCAGCTCGACATTGGCCTCTTCGTCTTCACCAACCGGCACGTCGTCGAGCGGCACGTTGGGGATGCGCGCCAGCGCGTCGCGCAGCCTGGCATCCAGTTCGCGCTCGACATCCTCGGCGGCGGCGAGAAATGCCTTGAGCTCGCCGACCTCGGCCTTCAGCAGTTCGGCCTTTTCGGTCTCGCCGGCGCCCATCGCCGCGCCGATTTCCTTCGATGCCGCGTTGCGGCGGGCCTGCGCCTCCTGGACGCGCGCGATATGCGCCCGGCGCTCCTCGTCCAGCTTGATCAGCGACGCGGATTCGGGCTCCGCGCCGCGCTTTTTCAGCGCCGCATCGAGTGCTTCGGGATTATCCCTTATCCAGCGAATGTCGAGCATGGGAATTCGTCCTGAAATGAACCGCGTCGGTCCATCGCGCGAACACGGGGCAAGGTCAAGGCGGCGGGCCGCCTTTCGGCGGCGATCAGTCCTCGCGGTCGCCGTCGGCCTCGTCGAGACCGAGCAGGTTCCAGCTTTGCACCATGTGCGGCGGTAGCGGCGCGGTGACATTGATCATGCCGCGATCGGGATGGGGAATGCGCAGGCGGCGGGCGTGCAGATGCAGCTTCTTCTGGATGCCGCCGGGAAAATCCCAGTTGGGATCGTCTTCGAAATATTTCGGATCGCCGATGATCGGACAACCCATGTGCAGGGCATGGACGCGCAACTGGTGGGTACGGCCGGTTTCCGGCTCGAACTCCATCCATGTCAGCCGTTGGCCCGCCGTTTCGATCACCCGGTAGCGCGAGACGGCGTGGTCGGCGTCGGCCTCGCCATGCTTGACGACGCGCATGCGGTCGCCGTCGGGCGTTTGCTCTTTTGCAAGCCAGGTGGAGATCTTGCCTTCGGGCTTTTTCGGCGCTCCCTTGACCAGCGCCCAGTAGATCTTCTCGGTGTCGCGCTTTCGGAACGCGGCGGTCAGCTTCTGTGCGGCGCCGCGCGTGCGCGCCACCACCAGAACGCCGGATGTGTCGCGGTCGAGCCGGTGCACCAGACGCGGCTTTTCGCCCTTCTTGCTGCGCAGCGCGTCGAGCATGCCGTCGACATGGCGGGCGACGCCCGAGCCGCCCTGCACCGCAAGGCCCGCCGGCTTGTTGAAGACGAACACCTTGTCGTCTTCGTAAAGGATCATGCGCCGGAGGGCGTCGGCATCGCCGGTGTTCTTGATCGTGCCCGCCGTCACCGGCCCGGCATCGGTGCCGGTCACCTGCGGCGGCAGGCGGATTGCCTGACCGGCTTCGAGCCGCGTGTCCGCCTTGGCGCGCTTACCGTCGATGCGCACCTGGCCCGTGCGCAACAGCTTTTGCAGCGCGCCGAAGCCAAGACCGGGAAAATGGCTCTTGAACCAGCGGTCGAGCCGCATGCCCGCCTCGTCGCTGTCGACCGTCTTTTGCGAAACCGCTGCCATCGGCTCAGGCACCCGCGCGCATCAGGGCAAGGCCGGCGAACAGGGCGGCAATCGAGGCGGCCATGGAGATCAGCGCGTAGCCGAGCGCGGTGCCCGTGTCGCCGCGCTGCCACAAAAGCGCGAAATCGAGCGAGAAGGCGGAAAAGGTGGTGAAGCCGCCAAGGAGGCCGACGCCGAGAAACAGGCGCAGATGCTCGCCCGTGCCGCCGCGGCGCATCAGCCAGCCGACCAGCAGACCCATCAGAAGCGAGCCGACCACATTGACGGTCAGCGTCGCCCACGGATAGCCGCCGCCAAGCCAGCGGCCCGCACCCAGAAAGGTCAGGTAGCGCAGCACGGCGCCGAGGCCGCCGCCCAGCGCGACATAGACGAGATTGACGATCATGGCCCGTCGTCTACGCGATCATGCGGGCCGGGCAAAGCGCAAATCAGATCTTGCCGGCGACGTCCGGAATGTCCTTGACGAACCCGTCGACGAACAGGTCGAGCGCGCCCCAGTCAGTGAACTCATAGTCATGGGTCGTGTCGGTCGGCGCATCCTTCTTGTCGGCGATGCGCTTGAGCATCCATTTGCGGAAGAAATCATACTCGGTGTATTTCAGCGCGCCGGCGGCATGGTGCACCGAGACCGGCCACCAGCCGGTTTCCTCGCTGAAATGGGCGGTGATTTCATTGAGCTCTTCCCACTCGCCGGCATCGTCGCCAGCCGCCGTCAGCGACACGGAAACGAACACGCCCGGCCGCGCCATCAGTTCGCGCTTGTGGCGTTCGACATAACGGCGCAACGGTGCCGGAAAAGCACCGATATGCACCGGACCGGCGCATATGATGCCGTCGATCTCGTCGATGGACAGCGAGTCGGGCGGATGGGTGGTGTCGACCATGACCGCCTCGTGCTGATTGTCCTTCAGATAGCGCTCGATATGCTCGGCGATTTCCCGTGTCTGCCCTTCAACGGTCGCATAGATGACGAGAATGCGCATGACTGTCTCCCGTTATGGCGTTCTTTTCCTGACCGGCAGAATAGACGTTCCGCGCCGTCCGTGGATTGACCTTCGTCAAGCGGCAAACCCGGCAATGGCCTGCTGCAGCGCGGTGCCGGGCAAAAAGCCTGCCGCGGCCGCCAACCCGTTGGCGCGGGAAATCGTGCCGCGTTCAAGCGTATCGGCAGCCTCCCCTATTCGAGCCGTCATGTGACCGACCGCGCAAGCGGCAATCCCCGCCTCTTCCAACATGGCCAGACCCGCAACGCCCGCTTCATCGCGGCCTATGCCCGCATCGTTGAAGACGTAGAGCGCGGCATCGACCGACAGCGCATAACCCGCTGCCGACGCTCCGCCATGGGAGCCGGTAACGACGATCGCGCCGGCATCGCCGGGGATGATTTGCGTCACCGAATCGATCAGCACCAAGGCGTGCCGGCCCACGGTGACCGTCCGCCGATCAGCCATCGCCGGTTCCGCCGGCGCGTTCCGCCCGCAGTTTGGACCAGTAGTCGAGCCTCTTTCCGATCTCGCGCTCGAAGCCGCGTTCGACCGGCTCGTAGAAGCGCCTGCGGCCCATCTCGGGCGGGAAATAGTCCTGTCCGGAAAAGGCGTCGGGCTGGTCGTGATCGTATTGGTATCCCGCGCCATAGCCCTCGGCACCCATCAGCTTGGTCGGCGCATTGAGGATGTGTTTGGGCGGCAGCAGCGAGCCGTGCTCCTTGGCGGCGCGCATCGCGCCTTTCATCGCCGTATAGAGCGCGTTGGACTTGGGTGCGGTGGCGAGATAGACGCAGGCTTCGGCCAGCGCCAGTTCGCCCTCGGGCGAGCCGAGATAGTCATAGGCGTCCTTGGCGGCGAGCGCGACGGTGAGTGCCTGCGGATCGGCCAAACCGATATCCTCGGACGCCATGCGAACCAGCCTTCGGCCCAGATAGAGCGGGTTTTCGCCAGCATCGAGCATGCGGGCAAGATAGTAGAGCGCGGCGTCCGGATCGGAGCCGCGCACCGATTTGTGCAGGGCGGAGATCAGATTGTAGTGGCCGTCCTGGCCCTTGTCATAGATCGGCGCGCGCCGCTGCAGCACGGCGCGCAGCCCGTCGCCGTCGAACAGATCGCCCTCGCGCGCCACGCGCCAGACTTCCTCGGCCAGCGTCAGAACGGCCCGACCGTCACCGTCGGCCATGCCGACCAGCAGAGCCCGCGCTTCATCGTCGACCGGCAGCGTGCGGCCGGTTTCGCCCTCGGCCCGGTCGAGCAGCGCGGCGAGCGCGTCGTCTTCCAGCCGCTTGAGCGTCAGGACGCGCGCCCGCGACAGGAGCGCCGCGTTGAGTTCGAAGGACGGGTTTTCCGTCGTCGCGCCGATCAGCGTGATCGTGCCGTCTTCCATGACGGGCAGGAAACTGTCCTGCTGGGCGCGGTTGAAGCGGTGGATCTCGTCGACAAAGAGAAGCGTCGGCAGGCCGTCGCGCCGGCGCACGCGCGCCGCCTCGAACACCTTTTTCAGATCGGCGACGCCCGAGAAGATGGCCGAGAGCTGCTCGAAGTGCTGACCGGCCTCGGCGGCGATCAGGCGGGCGAGCGTGGTCTTGCCGGTGCCGGGCGGCCCCCACAGGATCAGGCTACCGAGCGAGCCCGAAGCCAGCATGCGCGTGACGACGCCGTCGGCGCCGGTCAGATGGTCCTGTCCGACGATCTCGCCCAGCGTCTTGGGGCGCAACCGGTCGGCCAGCGGCCGGTTGGCCGCCTCCTCGGCGACGCTGTCGAAGAGCGACGCCATCAGAAACGCAGGAACTGGTTGATCGTGCGGCCCTGCCGGTTCAGCGTGAAACGCCATGAGCGCCCGCCGCTGTCGGCCAGGCGGATCACATCGTCGACGGTCTCGATCGGCAGACCGTTGACGGCGACAATGATGTCGCCGGGCCGGAGGCCTGCGCGCAGGGCCGGCGCGCCGCGCTCGATCTGCGTCACCACCACGCCGTCACCGCGTCCGGGCAGGTTGAGACGCTGGCGCAAGCGCGGAGACAGGTTTGCGACGACCGCGCCGGCAAAGGGCGACGCGCCCTTGATCAGCGTTTCCTGGGCCGGGCGGGTTTCGGGCGGCCGAGCGAGAACGATGTCGACGGCACGTTCACGGCCGCGCGACAGCACGGTCAGCGCCGTCGTGCCGCCGGGACCGATGGTCGCCAGCCGGTAGCCAAGCGCGTCGGGATGTTCGATGGCCGCTCCATCGATGGCGAGCACCACATCGCCGGCGCGCAGGCCCGCCGCGCCCGCCGGCCCGTCCGGATCGACATCGACGATCAGCGCGCCCAGCGGCCTGTCGAGGCCAAGGCTCTCGGCGATCTGGGGCGTGACGGGCTGGAAATCGGCGCCCAGATAGGGCCGCTCGAAGGCGTCCGCCCCGCCCCGCGCCTGTGCGACAACGGCGGCGACCATGTTGGAGGGGATGGCAAAGCCGATGCCGTTCGAGCCGCCCGAGCGCGAGAAGATCGCCGTGTTGATACCGACGAGACGGCCCTGCATGTCGATCAGCGCGCCGCCGGAATTGCCCGGATTGATCGCCGCGTCGGTCTGGATGAAGAAGCCAAAATCGGCGACGCCGACACGCGTGCGGGCAAGCGCGGACACGATGCCCGAGGTGATCGTCTGGCCGACACCGAACGGGTTGCCGATCGCCAGGACGAGATCGCCGGTCAGAAGCTGGTCCGAATTGCCGAACGGCAGCGCCGGGAAGCTTTCGCTCGCGTCCATGCGCAAGACGGCCAGATCGGCGCGCTCGTCGCGCAGCACGACCTCTGAGTCGAACTCGCGCCCGTCGGCCAGCGCGACACGCACCTCGTCCGCACCGGAAATGACATGGTTGTTGGTGACGACAAGCCCGCCCTCGTCGACGATCACGCCCGAACCGAGCGATGACTGGACGCGCGGCGGACCGGAGAACTGGTTGCCGAAGAACTGCTCGAAGAACGGATCGCCGGCAAAGGGCGAACGCTGCTGAACGCGGCGCGCCGCATAGACGTTGACCACAGACGGCGCGGTTTGCTGGACCAGCGGCGCAAACGAAAGCTGCATCTCGGCTTCGCCCAGCGGCACGCGGCGGGCCGTCTGACCTTCGACGGCGGGCGCCTGCGCCTCGCCGCCGAGCCCGCGCAGCAGATCGCGCAACGCGCTGCCGCTGTCCTGGGCAAGTGCGGCAGCGGCCAGCATTGTCAGCCCGGCACATGCCGCAAGAAGGATTGCAATCGGTCTGTTCATCATGGTGCCTTGACTGGTCGCCGGGTCATTGAATCACCGGACCAAGTGCTACCACAAAGGCGGCTGAAATGGGGAGCCGCAAGCCGGGCCGGCCGGGTGTGCCGCCACCCTGCCACGCACTTTCGCCCAAAAAAGAAAGGGAGCCGCGCCATAATGGCGAGCTCCCGAGCCCAGTCGACTGATGTGGCGCTCCCGGCGTGCGGGCCGCGCCATCTTCTTATGGGTGTAAAGGCGGTCTTATGCGGCCGCTTCGGCTTCGGCGGCTTCCTCGGCCTCGATGCGCGCGCGGTCGGCGGCGCCCTTGGCATCGACGTCACGGTCGACGAACTCGATCACGGCCATCGGCGCGGAATCGCCATGGCGGAAGCCGGCTTTCATGATCCGCAAATAGCCGCCATTGCGGTCGGCGTAACGCGGCGCGATGTCGGCGAACAGCTTGCGCGTCTGCGTCTCGTCCTGGATCTGCGAGGCGACCTGGCGGCGCGCATGCAGATCGCCGCGCTTGCCCAGCGTGACGAGCTTTTCGACGATCGGACGCAGTTCCTTGGCCTTGGGCAGGGTCGTGACGATCTGCTCATGCTCGATGAGCGAAGCGGCCATGTTTGCGAACATCGCCTTGCGATGGCTCGATGTACGGTTCAGCTTGCGGCCTGCTTTGCGGTGGCGCATCAGCCTTCTCCTCGGGTTTCCGGCCTTGGGGTGCCGGCGCGTTGGTTAGTAATGGTCTTCGTAGCGTTTGGCGAGATCTTCGATGTTCTCGGGCGGCCATGCGGCCACTTCCATGCCCAGATGCAGGCCCATGGATGCGAGCACTTCCTTGATCTCGTTGAGTGACTTGCGGCCGAAGTTCGGCGTGCGCAGCATTTCGCCTTCGGTCTTCTGGATCAGGTCGCCGATATAGACGATGTTGTCGTTCTTCAGGCAGTTGGCCGAACGCACCGACAGTTCCAGTTCGTCGACCTTCTTGAGCAGTGCCGGGTTGAACGCCAGCTCCTGCACCTGTTCCTCGGCGGCCTCGCGCTCGGGCTCCTCGAAATTGACGAAGACGCCGAGCTGGTCCTGCAGGATGCGCGCGGCATAAGCCACCGCGTCCTCGCCCGACAGCGTGCCGTCCGTCTCGACGTTCATGGTCAGCTTGTCATAGTCCAGAACCTGGCCCTCGCGGGTGTTCTCGACCTTGTAGGAAACCTTGCGCACCGGCGAATAGAGGCTGTCGACCGGGATCAGGCCGATCGGCGCGTCTTCGGCGCGGTTGCGGTCTGCGGGCACATAGCCCTTGCCGGCATCGACGGTGAATTCCATGCGGATTTCGGCGCCCTCGTCCAGCGTGCACAGCACGTGGTCGGGGTTCAGCACCTCGACATCGCCGACCGTCTGGATATCGCCGGCGATCACGGTGCCCGGTCCCTGCTTGCGCACGACCATGCGCTTGGGGCCGTCGCCTTCCATACGGATGGCGATTTCCTTGATGTTCAGGATGATGTCGGTGACGTCTTCGCGTACACCGGCAATCGACGAGAACTCATGCAGGACACCGTCGATCTGCACGGCGGTCACGGCGGCACCGCGCAGCGACGACAGCAGCACGCGGCGCAGCGCGTTGCCGAGCGTCAGGCCAAAGCCGCGCTCGAGCGGCTCGACCACGAGCGAAATCTTGTTGCCCGAGCCCTTGAACTCGACCTTGTTCGGCTTGATCAGTTCCTGCCAATTCTTCTGTATCACGGCGTCTTCCTTCAGCTAGCCTGCCACCATCCATTCGTGGCAACAGCTTCTTCCACGGCCAGCGGAGGATTGGCGCCAGCCGGACGGACAATGGATGCGTTACACGCGGCGGCGTTTGCGCGGCCGGCAGCCATTGTGCGGAATGGGGGTGACATCCCTGATCGAGGTGATGGTGAAGCCGGCAGCCTGCAAGGCACGCAGCGCCGATTCACGGCCCGAACCGGGGCCACACACTTCGACTTCAAGCGACTTCATGCCATGTTCCTGGGCCTTGCGGGCGCAATCCTCGGCGGCGACCTGGGCCGCGAACGGGGTCGATTTGCGCGAGCCCTTGAAGCCCTGCATGCCCGCCGACGACCAGGCAATCGCGTTGCCCTGCGCGTCGGTGATGGTGATCATGGTGTTGTTGAATGTCGAATTCACGTGGGCGATGCCCGACATGATGTTCTTGCGTTCGCGACGGCGAACGCGGGTGGCTTCTTTTGCCATCTTCAGTCCTTCGATCTCTGCACCGCCGTAATGCCAGCGGCTCCACCTGTGGAACCGGCCACGCGGGCCGGCCCAATTACTTCTTCTTGCCGGCGATCGCCTTGGCCGGACCCTTGCGGGTGCGGGCATTGGTGTGCGTGCGCTGACCGCGCACCGGCAGGTTGCGGCGATGGCGCAGGCCACGATAGCAGCCAAGGTCCATCAGACGCTTGATGTTCATCGAGGTCTCGCGGCGCAGATCACCCTCGACGCGATAGTCGCGGTCGATGGTTTCGCGAACCGCCAGAACCTCGGCGTCGGTCAGTTCATTGACGCGGCGCGAGGGGTCGATGTTGTTCTTCTCGACGATTTCCTGCGCGAATTTCGAGCCGATCCCGTGGATGTACTGCAGCGCGATCACAACGCGCTTGCCTGTCGGGATGTTGACGCCAGCGATACGAGCCACGCGGCTTCTCCTTTGTTGCCCGGGCAGCCGGGTCTTTCAGTCCTGTCCGGGGTTCCGGGGTGTTCGGTTCGAGCCAGTCTCAAAACAAAAAGACCGGAGCGGGATGCCGCAGCCGACCTTTGTCAATACGCTGGCTAGATCAGCGTGCATATCGGGGAATCGCAGTGGAATGTCAACTCCCCGAAGCGATGTTTTTGCCGGCCCTATGCGGATGCCGGCGTGTGCCGCTCAAAGGCTGTCGAGCACCTTGGCGATCTGTTCGGTCACGCCCTCGATCGAGTCCATGCCGTCGACCGGGCGCAGCTTGCCCTTGGCGTAATAGTAGCCGAGCAGCGGCGCGGTCTTCTTATAATACTCGCGCAGACGCTCGTCGAACACTTCGGGGTTGTCGTCCTTGCGCACCGGCTGGCCCGCGGCGGCAGCCTCCTCGGCGCGCTTGACGATGCGGCCGACGAGCGCCTTGTCATCCACGGTCAGTTCGATGACGGCATCGAGCGCCATGCCCTTTGCCTCCATCATCGCCTCGACCGCATCGGCCTGGGCGAGCGTGCGCGGATAGCCGTCGAGGATGAAACCGTCGGCGCAATCGGGCTCATCGATCCGGTCGGAGACGATCGCATTGACGATGTCGTCGGAGACCAGTTCGCCCGCTTCCATGATCGCCTTGGCGCGCAGGCCGACCTCTGTGCCCGCGGCGACGGCGGCACGCAGCATGTCGCCGGTCGACAGTTGCGGAATGCCGTGGCGCTCGACGAGCCGTTGTGCCTGGGTCCCCTTGCCCGCTCCCGGCGGGCCCAACAATATCAGTCTCATCGACGCTTCTTTCCCCCGCGCAGCTTGGATTTCTTGATCAAGCCTTCATACTGGTGCGCGATGAGATGTCCTTGCACCTGCGCGACCGTATCGAGCGTCACGCTGACGACGATCAGCAGCGACGTGCCGCCGAGATAGAACGGCACGCCCGTGCCCGCTATTAGAAATTCGGGTAACAGGCACACCAGAACGAGATAGATCGCGCCGACCACGGTGATCCGGGTAAGCACGAAGTCGATATATTCGGCCGTGCGCTGGCCCGGGCGGATGCCCGGAATGAAGCCCGAATGGTTCTTCAGATTGTCGGCGGTGTCCTGCGGATTGAAGACGATCGCGGTGTAGAAGAAGGCGAAAAACGCGATCATCCCCGCGTAAAACAGCATGTAGAGCGGCTGGCCGTGGCCGAGCGCGGCGAGGATGGCGGTGCCCCATTCGGGCAGGTCGCGCGTGTCCGAGAAGCCGGCCAGCGTCGCCGGCAGCAGCAGCAGCGACGAGGCGAAGATCGGCGGGATGACGCCGGCCGTGTTGAGCTTCAGCGGCAGGTGCGACGTGTCGCCCTGGAACATGCGGTTGCCGACCTGGCGCTTGGGATACTGGATCAAAAGCCGCCTTTGCGCGCGTTCGACAAAGACAATCAGGGCGATCACGGCGATGGCGAGAAGGATGATCGTGATGATGAAGACCGTCGACATGGCGCCGGTGCGGCCCAGTTCCAGCGTGCCCGCGACGGCGCCCGGCAGCCCCGCGACGATGCCGGCGAAAATGATCAGCGAGACGCCGTTGCCGATGCCGCGCGCGGTGATCTGCTCGCCGAGCCACAGAAGGAACATGGTGCCGCCGACCAGCGTGATGACGGTCGAAATGCGGAAGAACCAGCCCGGATCGGCGACGATGTTGGCGCCGCTCTCAAGGCCCACGGCGATACCGTAGGATTGCAGTGTCGCCAAAAGGACCGTCAGATAGCGCGTATACTGGTTGATGACCTTGCGGCCCTGCTCGCCCTCCTTCTTGAGCTGTTCGAGCGTCGGGACAACCGAGGTCATCAGCTGGACGGCGATCGAGGCCGAGATGTAGGGCATGATGCCGAGCGCGAACACGGCCATGCGCTCGACGGCGCCGCCGGTGAACATGTTGAACATGCCCAGAATGCCGCCCGCCTGGTTGGCGAAGGCCTGGGCATAGGCTTCCATGTTGAGGCCCGGAATGGGGATGTAGGTGCCCAGCCGGTAGACCAGCAGAACACCGAGGGTAAACCAGATGCGCTTCTTGAGCTCGGTGGCCTTGGCAAATGCGCCGAAGTTGAGGTTTGCAGCCAGCTGTTCAGCAGCAGATGCCATGGACAGTCTCCGTCTTGGGACGCGTTCGCCGAAGGTCGGGCACCGCGCTCGCGGGTCTGGTCGCAGATAGGCGCTGGCCCTTGGGGGCGCAAGTCAATTTTGAGGCCGCACGGATCGCGGCGGCCTCAAGAAGGTGTGTTGTCGTCAGCCGAATTATTCGGCGTCGGCTTCGGCCTTGGGCGCGAGGATCGTCACCGATCCGCCGGCCTTTTCGATCTTGGCGACGGCAGCCTTGGACGCGCCGGCCACTTCCAGCGCGAACTTGGTCTTGGCTTCGCCATCGGCCAGAACCCGGACGCCGTCCTTGGCGCGGCGCAGCACGCCTGCCTCGACCAGTGCCTCGGCCGTCACCGGCTTCTTGGCATCGAGCTTCTTGGCCTCGACGGCCTGTTCGAGCCGGGCGATCGACACGATGTTGTAGTCGGTCGGGAACGGGTTGTTGAAGCCGCGCTTGGGCAGACGCCGGTAGATCGGCATCTGGCCGCCTTCATAGCCGTTGATCGACACGCCCGAACGGGATTTCTGGCCCTTGACGCCCCGGCCGCCGGTCTTGCCCTTGCCCGAGCCGATGCCGCGGCCGACGCGCGAGCGCGACTTGCGCGCGCCCTCATTGTCACGCAGTTCGTTGAGTTTCATCGGTCAGCTCCCCGATCAGCTTTCGTCCACGACGCGCACCAGATGGTGCACTTTGCGGATCATGCCGCGCACGGCGGGAGTGTCTTCCAGCGTGCGGCGGCGGTGCATCTTGTTCAGGCCCAGCCCGATCAGCGTCTGGCGCTGCTCGGCGGGGCGGCGAATGGGGCTGCCGATCTGCTCGACGGTGATCGTTGCGCCCTTCTTGCTCTCAGCCATGATCTTTGTCCTTGCCAGGGCCCCTCGCCTTCCGGCGAGCGGCTCATGCCTTACTCTTCGGCGCCGATCAGCTCGCGGCGGCGCGCCTGGAGCGTCGAGTGCTTGATACCGCGCTGGGCGGCGATGTCCTTGGGATGCATCTGATGCTTGAGCGCATCGAACGTCGCCCGGACCATGTTGTAGGGGTTGGACGACCCGAGCGACTTGGCAACCACGTCCTGCATGCCGACGGTCTCGAAGACAGCGCGCATCGGGCCGCCTGCGATGATGCCCGTACCGGCCGGTGCCGCGCGCAGCAGGACCTTGCCCGCGCCGTGACGGCCTTCGACGTCATGGTGCAGCGTGCGGCCCGAGCGCAGCGGCACGAAGATCATGTCGCGCTTGGCGCTTTCGGTGGCCTTGCGGATCGCCTCGGGCACTTCGCGCGCCTTGCCATGGCCGAAGCCGACGCGGCCCTTCTGGTCGCCGACGACGACGAGCGCGGCAAAACCGAAGCGCCGGCCGCCCTTGACGACCTTGGCGACGCGGTTGATGTGAACCAGCTTGTCGACGAATTCGCTGTCGGCTTCTTCGCGATCACGCCGGCGGTCACGCCCGCGGCCACCGCGATCCTGAGGTTGTTGTGCCATGTCCTTGTCCTTTGTTCTTTTCCGGTTCCAGGCAGTGGTTGATGGTGTGGTCGCAAATCCGAACGACAAGCGCTGCACGCTTCCGCCGGCCCTGCTCCGGCTTAGAAGTTCAGGCCGCCCTCGCGGGCAGCGTCGGCCAGGGCCTTCACGCGGCCATGGAAGATATAGGCGCCGCGGTCGAAGACAACGTCCTTGACGCCGGCCTTGGTGGCGCGCTCGGCGACGAGCTTGCCGACGGCGGCGGCGGCATCGGTGTCGGCGCCCGTCTTCAGCGCCTTCTTCAGATCGGCGTCGAGCGTCGATGCGGCGGCAAGCGTCTTGCCGGCGCTGTCATCGATGACCTGCGCATAGATGTTCTTCGAAGACCGGTAGACGGACAGGCGCGGCCGGCCGTCCGAGACCTTCTTGAGCTGGCGGCGGACGCGCTGCGCACGCTTGACCAGCGCCTGTTTGGAAGCTGCCATCGTTCCCGTTCCTTACTTCTTCTTGCCTTCTTTGCGGACGATCGTCTCTTCCGCATATTTGACGCCCTTGCCCTTGTAAGGCTCCGGCGGACGGAACTTGCGGATCTCCGCGGCGACCTGGCCGAGCTGCTGCTTGTCGATGCCGTTGAGCACGATTTCGGTCGGCTTGGGCGTTGCCGCCGACACGCCTTGCGGCAGCTCATAGATCACGTCGTGGCTGAAGCCCAGAGCGAGCTGCAGCTTGGAGCCCTGCATGGCGGCGCGATACCCCACGCCATTGATTTCCAGCTTGCGCTCGAACCCGGTTTTGACGCCGGTCATGATGTTTTCGATCATCGTGCGCGACATGCCCCATTTGGAGCGCGCATCCTTGGAATCGTCGCGCGGGGTGATGTTGATCGCGCCCTCTTCCATCGCCACCAGCACCTCATCATTGACCGCATAGGACAATTCGCCCTTGGGGCCCTTGGCGGTGACGGTGTTGCCGTCCACCGAGGCGGTGACGCCTTCGGGAATGGCAACGGGCTTTTTTCCGATACGAGACATTGTTCAATCCGTCCGTGTTCGTTCCGTCGACTGGGTTGGTCCGGCGCGCGTCAGAAGACGCGGCACAGATACTCCCCGCCGACATTCTTCTCGCGGGCCTCGTGATCGGCCATCACGCCCTGCGGCGTCGACAGGATCGCGATTCCAAGGCCGTTGGCGACGTGTTCGATCGACTTGGCGCCGACATAGACCCGGCGGCCCGGCTTGGAGACGCGCTCGATCTTGCGGATCACCGGGTCGCCTTCATGATATTTCAGCTCGATCTCGAACTCGGACTTGCCCGAGCCGTACTCGACCTGGGAATAGCCGCGGATATAGCCTTCGGACTGCAGCACATCGAGGACGCGCGCGCGCAGCTTGGAGGCCGGGGTGGAGATCGAATTCTTGTGGCGATGCAAACCGTTGCGGATGCGGGTCAGCATATCGCCGACGGGATCGGAAACCGACATGACAGCCTCTCCTTACCAGCTCGACTTGACGACACCGGGCACCTTGCCCAGCGAGCCCAGCTCGCGCAGTGCGATGCGCGACATCTTCAGTTTGCGGTAGTAACCGCGCGGACGGCCCGACACTTCGCACCGGTTGCGGATGCGTACCTTGGCCGAATTGCGCGGCAGCTCGCTCAGCTTGAGGGTCGCGCGGAAGCGCTCCTCGATCGGCAGCGAACGATCCATGACGATCGCCTTGAGACCGGCGCGCTTTTCGGCGTAGCGGTCGACCAGCTTGCGCCGGTGCTTGTTCTTTTCGACTGCGCTTACTTTTGCCATCAGGCTTTCCTTTCTACGCTCGCCGTTAGTGCTGCTGCTGGAACGGGAAGTTGAAGGCACGCAACAGTTCACGCGCTTCATCATCCGTGCTCGCACTCGTGCAAACGATGATGTCCATGCCCCGGACCTGATCGACCTTGTCGTAGTTGATCTCCGGGAAGACGATGTGTTCTTTCAGGCCCATGGCGAAGTTGCCACGGCCGTCAAAGCTCTTGGGGTTCAGGCCGCGGAAGTCGCGCACGCGCGGCAGCGCGATGTTGATCAGCCGGTCCATGAATTCGTACATGATGTTGCCGCGCAGCGTCACCTTGGCGCCCAGCGGCATCTCTTCACGCACCTTGAAGCCGGCAATCGAGTTGCGGGCGCGGGTCACCACGGCCTTCTGGCCGGTGATCAGCGACAGGTCCTCGGCGGCCGTGGCGGGGCGCTTTGAATCGGTGGTCGCATCGCCCACGCCCATGTTCACCACGATCTTGGTGACCTTGGGGATTTCCATCAGGTTGGCGTACTCGAAACGCTCGCGCATTTCGCCGCGAATGGCGTCGCGATACTGGGCCTTGAGCCGCGGCTCGTAGGATGTGTCAGCCATCGATCAAATCTCCGGAACGCTTGGCAAAGCGCACTTTCTTGCCGTCTTCGACGCGGAAGCCCACGCGGGTGGGCTTGCCGTCCTTGGGGTCGGCGATCGCCAGGTTGGACAGGTCGATCGGCGCCTCCTTGTTGATGATGCCGGCCTCCTGGGCAGCGGTCTGCTTCTGGTGGCGCTTGACCATGTTGATGCCCGACACCAGCGCCTTGCCGTCCTTGGGCATGACGCGGACGACATTGCCCTTGCGGCCCTTGTCCTTGCCGGTGAGCACGACGACTTGGTCGCCCTTCTTGATCTTCTGCATAAGACCCGCTCCTTACAGCACTTCGGGGGCCAGCGAGATGATCTTCATGTGCTGCTTGCCGCGCAGTTCACGCGGGACAGGGCCGAAGATACGGGTGCCGACCGGCTCTTTGTTGTTGTTGACCAGAACGGCGGCATTGCCGTCGAACCGGATGACGCTGCCGTCGGGACGGCGAATGTCCTTGGCGGTGCGCACGACGACCGCCTTCATGACGTCGCCCTTCTTGACGCGGCCGCGCGGGATCGCCTCCTTGACGGAGACGACGATGATGTCACCGACGGACGCATATTTGCGCTTCGATCCGCCCAGCACCTTGATGCACTGAACCCGGCGCGCGCCGGAATTGTCGGCGACATCGAGATTTGTTTGCATCTGAATCATGACGCGATGCCCTTGTTCTTATCGTGCCAGCGCTTCACGCCGGCCCTGATTGTTTCGCTCGTCGTTCAGTCCGCCGCCTGGTCGGCCACCACCGCCCAGCGCTTGTTCCTGGAAATCGGCGCGCATTCCTGGATGCGCACCGTGTCGCCGACCTTGACCTGGTTGCTCTCGTCATGCGCCTGGTAGCGCTTGGTGCGACGCACGGTTTTCTTCATCAGCGGGTGCGCGAAGCGGCGTTCGACGCGCACGACGACGGTCTTGTCGTTCTTGTCGCTGACCACGACACCCTGCAAAATTCGTTTCGGCATGATCGTTATCCCTGCGCCTTGGCGGCGTTTGCTTTCTCGGCGGCGACGGTCTTGACGCGCGCAATGTCGCGGCGCACCTGGCGCACGCGCGCCGAATTCTCGAGCTGTCCCGTCGCGGCCTGAAAGCGCAGCGAGAACTGTTCCTTCTTCAGTTCGGCCAGCTTGTCGGCCTGTTCGTCGGCGGTCATCGCCCGGACATCTACGGCTTTCATCTCGCTCAACTCCTACTCGCCAATGCGCTGGATGAAGCGCGTCTTGACCGACAGTTTGGCAGCGCCAAGGCGCAGCGCTTCACGCGCGACGTCTTCGGGCACACCATCGATTTCAAACATCACCCGGCCCGGCTTGACGCGCGCGGCCCAGTAATCGACCGAACCCTTGCCCTTGCCCATGCGCACTTCGGTCGGCTTGGAGGTGACCGGCACGTCGGGGAAGATGCGGATCCACACGCGGCCGGCACGCTTCATGTGACGGGTGATCGCGCGGCGGGCCGCCTCGATCTCGCGGGCGTTGACGCGGTTGGGCTCAAGCGCCTTCAGGCCGTAGGCACCGAAGTTCAGATCGGTGCCGCCCTTGGCGACGCCGCGGATCTTACCCTTGAACTGCTTGCGGAACTTGGTCCGTTTGGGTTGCAACATCTACTTCACTCCTGCCGGCGATCAGGCGTTGTCGCGGCGGCGGCCACCGCCACCCTGGTTGTCCTGGTCGGTCGCGCGGCGTTCGGACGCCATCGGATCGTGCTCGAGGATCTCGCCCTTGAAGATCCAGACCTTGATGCCGATGATGCCATAGGCGGTCTCGGCTTCGGCGGTGCCGTAATCGACGTCGGCGCGCAGCGTGTGCAGCGGCACCCGGCCTTCACGGTACCATTCGGTGCGGGCGATCTCGGCGCCGCCAAGGCGACCGGCCGAGTTGATGCGGATGCCCTGGGCGCCAAGGCGCATGGCCGACTGAACGGCGCGCTTCATGGCGCGGCGGAACGCCACGCGGCGCTCGAGCTGCTGGGCGATCGACTGGGCGACCAGCGTCGCATCGATCTCGGGCTTGCGCACCTCGACGATGTTCAGAACGGTCTCGGCATCGGTGAACTGGCTGAGCTTGCGGCGCAGCTTTTCGATGTCGGCGCCCTTCTTGCCGATGATGATGCCCGGACGCGCCGAATGGATGGTCACGCGGCACTTCTTGTGCGGACGCTCGATCACGATCTTGGAAACGGCAGCCTGCTTGAGCTCCTTTTCCAGATATTCGCGGATCTTCAGGTCCTCGTGCAGCAGCTGGCCATATTCGCCGGTGTTGGCATACCAGCGCGAATCCCAGGTGCGGTTGATGCCCAGACGGAAGCCGACCGGATTGATCTTCTGGCCCATTACGCGGCCTCCTCTTCGACTTCGCGCACGACGATCGTCAGATGCGAGAACGGTTTGGTGATGCGGCTGGCGCGGCCGCGGCCACGGGCATGGAAGCGCTTCATGACGATCGACTTGCCGACATAGGCTTCCGACACGATCAGCGCGTCGACATCGAGATCATGATTGTTCTCGGCGTTGGCGATCGCCGACTCCAGCGTCTTCTTGACCGTGCCGGCGATGCGCTTGCGCGAGAATTCGAGATCGGCCAGCGCCGATTCGACCTTCTTGCCGCGGATCATCTGGGCGACCAGATTGAGTTTCTGCGGGCTGACGCGGACCATCCGCGCCACCGCGCGGGCCTCGTTGTCCGCGAGCCGCCGTTCTGCCTTGGGCTTGCCCATGGTTACTTCCTTCTCGCCTTCTTGTCCGCGCCGTGACCGAAATAGGTGCGCGTGGGTGCGAATTCGCCGAACTTGTGGCCGACCATGTCCTCGGACACGGAGACCGGAATGTGCTTCTGGCCGTTATAGACGCCGAAGGTCAGGCCGACGAATTGCGGCATGATCGTCGAGCGGCGGCTCCAGATCTTGATGACGTCATTGCGGCCGCCTTCACGGGCTTTTTCCGCCTTCTTGAGCAGATAGCCGTCAACGAACGGGCCTTTCCAAACTGAACGAGCCATGAGGCGTATCCCTGTTTCTTACTTCTTGCGCTGGTGACGCGAGCGCATGATGAATTTGTCGGTCTGCTTGTTCGAGCGCGTCCGCTTGCCCTTGGTCGGCTTGCCCCACGGGGTGACCGGGTGGCGGCCGCCCGAGGTGCGGCCTTCACCGCCGCCATGGGGGTGGTCGACTGGGTTCATGACGACGCCGCGCACATGCGGGCGACGGCCAAGCCAGCGCTTGCGGCCGGCCTTGCCCAGATTGATGTTGCCGTGGTCGGGGTTCGACACGGCACCGACGGTGGCAAAGCAGGACTGCTGCACCAGGCGCTGTTCGCCCGAATTGAGGCGCAGGATCGCCATGCCCTGGTCGCGGCCGACAAGCTGCGCATAGGCGCCGGCGGAGCGGGCCACCTGGGCGCCCTTGCCCGGCTTGAGTTCGACATTGTGGACGATCGTGCCGACCGGCATCGCGCCCAGCGGCATCGCATTGCCCGGCTTCACATCGGCCTTGGCGCCGGCGATCACCTTGTCGCCCGCCTGCAGGCGCTGCGGCGCGAGGATATAGCTCAGTTCGCCATCGTCATATTTGATCAGCGCGATGAAGGCGGTGCGGTTGGGATCATACTCGATCCGCTCGACCGTCGCCGAAACATCGTGCTTGCGCCGCTTGAAATCGATCTTGCGGTAGGTCCGCTTGTGCCCGCCGCCGATGTGGCGCGAGGTCATGCGGCCGGCATTGTTGCGTCCGCCGGACTTTGTCAGCCCCTCGGTCAGCGCCTTGACGGGCGCGCCCTTGTGCAGGCCCGACCGGTCGACAATGACCAGCTGGCGCTGGCCGGGCGTCGAGGGTTTGAACTTCTTCAGTGCCATGACTTCTACTCCCGGACCGGCTTAAAGGCCCGTTGCGACGTCGATCGACTGGCCTTCGGCCAGCGTCACAATCGCCTTTTTCACATCGGACTGACGCCCCTTGATGCCGCGGAACCGCTTTTGCTTGCCCTTGCGGACCAGCGTGTTGACGGCCTTGACCTTGACCGAGAACAGCGCCTCGATGGCGGCCTTTATCTCGGGCTTGGAGGCATCGCGCGCCACGTTGAAGACAACCTGGTTGTTGTCGGAGACGAGCGTCGATTTTTCCGTGATCACCGGCGAGACGATCACGTCGTAATGGCGGAGATCGGTCATTGGAAACGCTCCTCGAGGGCCGCAACGGCATCCTTGGAAAGGACCAGCGTGTTGCGGCGCAAAATGTCATAGACGTTGATGCCCACGACCGGCAGCACATCGACATTGGCGATGTTGGCTGCGGCCTTCCTGAAGCCGTCTTCCAGTTCAGCGCCGCCGATGACCAGAGCGTTGGACAGGCCCAGATCGGCCAGCTGCTTGGCCAGAACCTTGGTCTTGCCGTCCTTGGCCGCCAGTTCGTCGACGATGATCAGACCGCCATCCCTGGCCTTGGTCGACAGTGCGTGGCGCAGAGCCAGCGCACGGACCTTCTTGGGCAGGCCGATGGCATGATCGCGGCTGACCGGACCATGCGCCTTGCCGCCGCCGCGGAACTGCGGCGCGGACGCGGCATGGTGCCGGGCGCGGCCGGTGCCCTTCTGGCGGTACATCTTGGCGCCGGTGCGGGCAATGTCCGAGCGGCCCTTCGTCTGGTGTGTGCCGGCGCGCTTCTTGGCGAGCTGGTACTGCACCATGCGCTGCAGGATGTCGGCGCGCGGCTCGAGGCCGAACACATCGTCCTTGAGCGTGATCTTGCCGGCGGATTTGCCGGCCAGCGTGGTGACTGCGAGTTCCATTATTCGGCTCCCTCTTGTGCGGGGGCTTCGGCAGCGGCGGCTGCGGCGCGCAGGGCGGCCGGCATCGGCGCTTCGGACGGAACGGGCTGCTTGACGGCGTCGCGGACGAGGATCCATGCGCCCTTGGAGCCGGGGATCGCGCCCTTGACCAGGATCAGGCCGCGCTCATCGTCGGTGGAGACGATTTCGAGGTTCTGCGTGGTCACGCGGGTCGCGCCCATGTGGCCGGCCATCTTCTTGCCCTTGAACACCTTGCCGGGGTCCTGGCACTGGCCGGTCGAGCCGTGCGAACGGTGCGAGATCGAGTTGCCGTGCGTGGCGCGGCCGCCACCGAAATTGTGGCGCTTCATGACACCGGCAAAGCCCTTGCCCTGGCTGGTGCCCGTCACGTCGACCTTCTGGCCCGGCACGAAATGGCTGGCGACCAGTTCGGCACCCACATCGAGCATGTTGTCGGCGCTGACGCGGAATTCGGCCAGCTTGCGCTTGGGCTCGACGGAGGCCTTGGCGAAATGGCCGCGCATCGCCTTGGACACGTTTTTCGGCTTGGCGAAACCGACGCCAAGCTGCACGGCATCATAGCCGTGCTGATCGTTCGTGCGCTGGGCCACCACCTGGCAGTTCTCCAGCCGCAGCACCGTCACCGGCAGGTTGACGCCCTCGTCCGTGTAGACGCGCGTCATGCCCAGCTTCTGTGCAATCACTCCTGAACGCATGGGTTCATTCCTTCTTACGTTCGCCTGCCGCGCCTTACAGCTTGATCTCGACGTCGACACCGGCGGCCAGATCGAGCTTCATCAGCGCATCGACCGTCTGCGGGGTCGGATCGACAATGTCGAGCAGACGCTTGTGCGTGCGCATCTCGAACTGCTCGCGGCTCTTCTTGTCGATGTGCGGCGACCGGTTGACGGTGAATTTCTCGATCCGGGTCGGCAGCGGCACGGGTCCGCGGACGCCGGCACCGGTGCGCTTGGCGGTCGACACGATCTCGCGGGTCGACGCATCGAGCACGCGGTGGTCAAACGCCTTGAGGCGGATGCGAATGTTCTGGCCGTTCATGGGACGGGTTCCTCATTCAAATCAAAGAGCGCGGCATGTCGCTGCCGCGCCCCGAAGGTCGTTGGCCGGCGTTACTCGATGATCTTTGCGACGATGCCGGCGCCGACGGTGCGGCCGCCTTCGCGGATGGCAAAGCGCAGCCGCTCTTCCATCGCGATCGGCGTGATCAGCTCGACATTCATCTCCGCATTGTCGCCCGGCATCACCATCTCGGTGCCGTCGGGAAGCGTCACTTCGCCGGTCACGTCGGTGGTCCGGAAATAGAACTGCGGACGGTACTTGTTGAAGAACGGCGTGTGGCGGCCGCCCTCTTCCTTGGTCAGGATGTAGGCCTCGGCCAAAAACTTCTTGTGCGGCTTGACCGAACCGGGCTTGCACAGAACCTGGCCGCGCTCGACGCCCTCGCGATCCACACCGCGCAAAAGCGCGCCGATATTGTCGCCCGCCTCGCCGCGGTCGAGCAGCTTGCGGAACATCTCGACGCCCGTGCAGGTCGTCTTGGTGGTGTCGCGGATGCCGACGATCTCGATCTCGTCGCCCACATTGATCACGCCACGCTCGACACGGCCGGTCACAACCGTGCCGCGGCCCGAGATCGAGAACACGTCCTCGATCGGCATCAGGAAGGGCTGGTCGATCGGACGGTCCGGCGTCGGAATGGCTTCATCGACGGCGGCCATCAGTTCGCGGATCGCATCCTCGCCCTTGGCCTTGTCGCCATCCTCGAGCGCCACGAGCGCAGAGCCCTTGACCACCGGAATGTCGTCGCCGGGGAAGTCGTAGGACGACAGAAGCTCGCGCACTTCCATCTCGACCAGCTCCAAGAGCTCCTCGTCGTCGACCTGGTCGACCTTGTTGAGGAACACCACGATCGCCGGCACGCCGACCTGGCGGGCCAGCAGAATGTGCTCGCGGGTCTGCGGCATCGGGCCGTCGGCGGCCGAAACCACCAGGATCGCGCCGTCCATCTGCGCAGCGCCGGTGATCATGTTCTTCACATAGTCGGCATGGCCCGGGCAGTCGACATGGGCATAGTGGCGCGCATCGGTCTCATATTCGACATGCGCCGTCGAAATGGTGATGCCGCGCGCCTTTTCCTCGGGCGCAGCGTCGATCTGGTCATAGGCCTTGAAGTCGCCAAAATACTTCGTGATCGCCGCCGTCAGCGACGTCTTGCCATGGTCAACGTGACCAATCGTGCCAATGTTCACGTGCGGCTTGTTGCGCTCAAACTTTTCCTTGGCCATTTTCTACTCCATCTGCGCCCCGAAGGGCCTGTAGCTGTCTTTGTTCACGCCGGCATGCCGGCCGATTGCGATCAGGCGAATTTCGCCTGGATTTCCTGGGCCACGGCCTGGGGCACGGGCTCGTAATGGTCGAAATGCATGGTGTACTGCGCCCGTCCCTGGCTCATCGAGCGCAGCGAGTTGACGTAGCCGAACATGTTGGCGAGCGGCACCATGGCGCTGATCACCGTATCGACGCCGCGCGTCTCGGTGCCGGCGATCTGGCCGCGCCGCGAGTTCAGGTCGCCGATCACGTCGCCCATATAATCCTCGGGGGTGACGACCTCGACCTTCATGATCGGCTCGAGCAGCTGGGCGCCGGCCTTCTGGGCGCCTTCGCGGAATGCCGCGCGGGCGGCGATCTCGAAGGCCAGGACCGAAGAGTCGACGTCGTGATAGGCGCCGTCCATCAGCGTTGCCTTGACGCCGAGCATCGGGAAGCCGGCGACCGGACCGGAGTCCATGACCGACTGGATGCCCTTTTCGACGCCCGGAATGTATTCCTTGGGCACGTTGCCGCCGACGATCTTGCTTTCGAACGCGAAATCCTCGCCCTCTTCGTTCGGCTCGAAGACGATCTTGACGCGCGCGAACTGGCCTGAGCCGCCCGACTGCTTCTTGTGGGTGTAGTCGATCTCGGCCTGGCGGGTGATGGTCTCACGATAGGCCACCTGCGGCGCGCCGATATTGGCCTCGACCTTGAACTCGCGCTTCATGCGGTCGACGATGATGTCCAGGTGCAACTCGCCCATGCCCGAAATGATGGTCTGGCCGCTTTCCTCGTCGGACTTGACGCGGAAGGAGGGATCCTCGGCGGCGAGACGGTTCAGCGCCAGGCCCATCTTCTCCTGGTCGCCCTTGGTCTTGGGCTCGACGGCGATCGAGATCACCGGTTCGGGGAATTCCATGCGCTCCAGGATCACCGGCTTGAGCGGATCGCAGAGCGTGTCGCCGGTGGTGGTTTCCTTCAGGCCCGCAATCGCGACGATATCGCCGGCGAACGCTTCCTTGATGTCCTCGCGGCTGTTGGAATGCATCTGCAGCATGCGGCCGATGCGCTCGCGCTTGCCCTTGACCGTGTTCATCAGCGACACGCCGGTTTCCAACTTGCCCGAATAGATGCGGCAGAAGGTGAGCGAGCCGACGAACGGGTCGTTCATGATCTTGAATGCCAGCATGGAGAGCGGCTCGTCGTCGGACGATTTGCGCACGGTCTCCTCTTCGGTCTTGGCATCGATGCCCTTGATGGCCGGCACTTCGAGCGGGCTCGGCAGGAAATCGACCACCGCATCAAGAAGCGGCTGTACGCCCTTGTTCTTGAAGGCCGAGCCGCAGAAGACCGGGAAAAACTGTACGGCACACGTGCCCTTGCGGATCAGGCTGCGGATCGTGTCATTGTCCGGCTCGTTGCCTTCCAGATACGCTTCCATCGCATCGTCGTCCATCTCGACGACGGTCTCGATCAGCTTCTCGCGGAACTCCTGCGCGCGGTCGGCAAGGTCGGCGGGGATATCGACGATATCCCATTCTGCACCCAGGTTCTCGGACTTCCAGACCAGCGCCTTCATTTCGATCAGGTCGACGACGCCGGCAAAGTCGTTCTCGGCGCCGATCGGCAGCTGCATGACGACCGGCTGGGCGCCCAGGCGCTCCCTGATCATCTCGACCGAGCGATAGAAGTCGGCGCCGATCTTGTCCATCTTGTTGACGAAGACCATGCGCGGGACGTTGTACTTGTTGGCCTGGCGCCAGACGGTCTCGGTCTGCGGCTCCACACCGGCATTGGCGTCCAGCAGCGCGATGGCACCGTCCAGCACGCGCAGCGAACGCTCGACCTCGATCGTGAAATCGACGTGTCCGGGCGTGTCGATGATGTTGAAGCGGCGCTTCTTGCCGTCGCGGCCTTCCCAGAAAGTGGTCGTCGCAGCCGACGTGATCGTGATGCCGCGCTCCTGCTCCTGCTCCATCCAGTCCATGGTCGCGGCGCCGTCATGCACTTCACCGATCTTGTGCGACTTGCCCGTGTAGAACAGGATGCGCTCGGTGGTCGTGGTCTTGCCGGCGTCGATATGCGCCATGATACCGAAGTTGCGGTAGTCTTTGAGTTCGTATTCGCGGGCCATGGGAGGGAGCCTTGTTCCGTAGAGCGGGGTGTTACCAGCGATAGTGCGAGAAGGCGCGGTTGGCTTCGGCCATCTTGTGCGTGTCTTCACGCTTCTTGACGGCCGTTCCGCGGTTGTTGGCGGCGTCCATGAGTTCGCCCGACAGGCGATCGACCATGGTGGTTTCGTTGCGCTTGCGGGCCGCCGCGATCATCCAGCGGATCGCCAGCGCCTGACGGCGCTCGGGGCGCACATCGACCGGCACCTGATAGGTGGCGCCGCCGACACGGCGCGAGCGCACTTCGACGGCAGGCGCGACATTCTCAAGCGCGGCGTGGAAAACCTCGACCGGCTCCTGGCTGGTCTTTTCGGCAATGTTGTCGAACGCGCCGTAGACGATCCGCTCGGCGACGGACTTCTTGCCGTCGAACATGATGGCGTTCATGAACTTGGAAACCACCAGATCGCCGAATTTGGGATCGGGGTTGATTTCACGTTTTTCTGCTCTGTGGCGACGGGACATTTCGGTGTCTCAATCTTGTCGGTACAATTCGGTCTGTTGACTGGACCCCGGATCGTCGCTGCCGCTTCGTCCGGGGTAACCTTCGTTCAGATCACTTCGGACGCTTGGCGCCGTATTTCGAGCGGCGCTGCTTGCGGTTCTTGACGCCTTGCGTGTCGAGCACGCCGCGCAGGATGTGATAGCGCACGCCCGGCAAATCCTTGACGCGGCCGCCGCGGATCATGACCACCGAGTGCTCCTGCAAATTGTGGCCTTCACCCGGAATGTAGCCGATGACCTCAAAGCCATTGGTCAGGCGAACCTTGGCGACCTTGCGCAGCGCCGAGTTCGGCTTTTTGGGCGTCGTCGTATAGACGCGCGTGCACACGCCGCGCTTTTGCGGGTTGGCCTGCAGGGCCGGAACCTTGTTGCGCTTGACCGGAGCCGTGCGGGGCTTTCGGATCAACTGGTTGACTGTGGGCATCAAGCCGTCCTTCTTCGTCCATCGCGCTTGCGCGCTCGCATTTCGATCATCCGTGCAAACAGAGAAGGGCAATCCCGCTCTTTGCGGATTGCCCGTGCGATACAGAGGAAGCGGAACGCTTCGTGTGTTCGGTTCGGTTTGCGCCGTATGATGAGCCGTGTTTGGAGCGTTATGTCTGGCGCAAGCAAGCGCCGACGCCGATGCTCCACATCGACTCGTTGGCCGCTATGTACTGTCGGTCCCGCCCCGCGTCAACAGGCCCGGCCCCGGTTTTTGGCGATTTTTGCCTCTGTTGGCGCCATTGGGTGCGCATGGGCTTTACCGCGCGGCGGCAGCCATGCGAGGACGAAGGCGATCGCCCTGCCCCAATCCAGCATGAAGGCCGTCCGATGGCAGACACACCGACCGACATGGAGGCCGAGGCCGCCGTCTACATTCTCATCGGCCGCGTCTGGCTCGACAAGAACGAGCCGGAGATACAGGTGCACATCCTGCTGACGGCGCCCGACGACGACACGGCCATCCGCGAGGCGCTCAATGCGCTGGCCGAGGACGGCTATGAAGAGGCCGAGTTCGACCAGATCGGAACGCTGACCGGCATGCCGGACGAAGAGCCGCACGCTTCGGCCTATCAGGGCGCAACCGAAGGGGAAGTGGCGATCGTCACCTTCGTCGACGAGAACGCGCCCTGGACCGACGCGCCCGACGATGACGGCGAGGATGCGGACAATGTCCACCCGTTCGAAGCGCTCAAGGGGTGGAAGGGGGACGCCTAGACAAGCAAACTCAATCGGATAGCATTCATACGGGTTTGGCGGGGGTCATCATGTCAGGCGAGAAGACGGGCGTTATCGAATATTCGAAGCTGAAGTCGATCAAGTTGAAATCCGGCTTCATATTCAAACGGCGCCGCGATCCGTCCGAAGATCTCGATGCCGAGATCAGACATTTCTGTTCGGAACAGCGCCCGCGCTTCAACTCGATCGTCGCGTCCACCTTCGATCTCCCCGACGACGGTTTCACCAAGTTCGAGTTCATCTGGACGCCCAAGCGGGCGCGCATCGTCTCCGGCGGATCGGACTATATCGACACGACGAAGGTGGCCTTCCGCTCGGAGGCCGACATCACGCTTTTGTATCTGAAGGAACGCTCGCTGATCCTGTTCAACACCAAATACCGTTTTGCCGTCACCGAACCGGGCTGCGGCGGCAACGGTACGATCTTCCATACCGGCGGAACCAATTTCACGCTCGAGGAAATCTACTTCAACAAGATCACGACGGTCGGCGCCTATCACAATGAGGAAATCTTCAAGGTCGTCAGTCCGGGCTGCGGCGGCGGAACCGAGACCAATTACACGGTGATGAAGGATGGCTTTGTGATCCGCGCGGGCGAATCTTTCCGCATCGTGGCATCGGAAGATGCCACCGACGAGTTGCGGGACGCCCGGCAGCTGATCAACCAGAAGATATCGACGTCGAACTGACGATGATGGCGCTCGGCGCCGTGGCGGCGTGCTACGCGCTCGTCGTCCTGGCCACGATTTCCTATCGGGCGTGGGTGCTGACATCGTCCGGCAACCGCGCGATGGCCTATAGCCGACTGAGCGTGCGCTGGGCTTGGGACTCCGATCTTGTCGAGTTCCACGACGTTCAACTGACGGCCGCAGATCGCTATTGGATCGCCAAACCACACAAGCTCGTGCCGATCTTCGGGATCGTCACTTATCAGTGCGCCACGCGTCTGGTTCCGGGCCGCTTTCGCTGCCCACAGGAGCCGAACTGCTCCAACTACGCCATCGGCTTGATCCGCCGACATCCGATCTTCACGGCCCTTCGCCGCGCCAGCCGACGCGTGCGCGCATGCGGTGCGCATTCCGGCGGTCCGCACTTTGCCGACGACGACTGATCGCCGCGCCGACCCATCCCGCTCTTGCGGTCGGGACGCGTCTTGCCGGTTCGACGAACGCTCTGATCGAAGTCAATGCAGCCAAACCGATCTTGGTTTCTGATTGCAGAGCCGGCGCCAACTGCGCCCGCCATGTTCGTTTTCAGGGGAGGAGCCAATGAGCAGCATGATGAAGGCGGCCATATTCATTGAACCGGGGCGGATCGAACTGGACGAAAAGCCTGTTCCCGATGTTGGGCCGAACGATGCGCTGATCAGGACGACCACGACGACGATTTGCGGCACCGACGTGCATATCCTGAAGGGCGAATACCCGGTCGCCAAGGGGCTGACGATCGGCCATGAACCGGTCGGCATCATCGAGAAGCTGGGCTCCAATGTGGAGGGTTACACCGAGGGCCAGCGCGTCATCGCCGGCGCGATCTGCCCGTCGGGTCATTCCTATGCCTGTCTTGACGGGCTGCATTCGCAGGACGGCCAGTGCGGCAAGCATGGCCTGAAGCCGCTCGGCGGCTGGCGGTTCGGCAACACGATCGACGGGACCCAGGCCGAATATGTGCTGGTGCCCGATGCGATGGCCAACCTGTCTCCGGTGCCGGATCTTCTGACCGACGAACAGGTGCTGATGTGTCCGGATATCATGTCGACCGGTTTTGCCGGCGCCGAAAGCGGCCAGATCCGGATCGGCGATACGGTCGCGGTCTTCGCGCAAGGTCCGATCGGGCTGTGCGCGACCGCCGGCGCCAAGCTGAAGGGCGCAACGAACATCATCGTCGTCGACCAGGTCCCCGCGCGGCTGGAGATCGCCAGGAAGATGGGCGCCGACCATGTCATCGATTTCAGCAAGGTCGATCCTGTCGCCGAGATCATGCGGATCACCGACGATCGCGGCGTGGACGTATCGATCGAGGCGCTCGGTCTTCAGGAAACCTTCGAGGCCTGCCTGCGCGTGCTCAAGCCGGGCGGTACGCTGTCGAGCCTGGGCGTCTACTCGACCGATCTGACGCTGCCGCTGGATGCATTCGGCGCGGGGCTCGGCGACAACAAGATCGTCACCTCGCTTTGCCCCGGCGGCAAGGAGCGCATGCGCCGGCTGATGAACGTCATCGAAAGCGGCCGCGTCGATCTGGAGCCCCTGGTGACGCACCGCTACAAGCTCGATGACATCGTGGAAGCCTATGATCTGTTCGCCAACCAGCGCGACGGCGTGCTGAAGATCGCCATTACGCCATAGCCCCCCGCACGACGGGACAAGCGGCCATGAAAAAAGCCGGGGCATCGCTGCCCCGGCTCTGTCATTCGATGATGGACCACGCCCTGCCCTACTCGGCGGCCGGCGCTTCCTCGCCTTCGCGCATGTCGGCGAGCATCGCATCGGCAGCTTCCGCGTCGGCCTGCTTGCGGCGCTCTTCGATGATCAGATCGTCGCGCGCGGTGGCGATGCGGCGGATCTCGTTCATCGCGCCACCGGTGCCCGCCGGAATCAGGCGGCCGACGATGACGTTTTCCTTCAGGCCCTGCAGCGTGTCGATCTTGCCGGCGATCGAGGCCTCGGTCAGCACCTTGGTGGTCTCCTGGAAGGAAGCCGCCGAGATGAAGGACGGTGTCTGCAGCGAAGCCTTGGTGATGCCGAGCAGAACGGGATCGCCGCTGGCGGGCTGCTTGCCTTCCTCGACCAGCCGTTCATTGACGTCTTCGAGCTCGATCCGGTCGACGCTGTCGCCGGCGATATAGCCCGAATCGCCAGGCTCGGTGATCTCGACCTTCTGCAGCATCTGGCGGACGATCACCTCGATGTGCTTGTCGTTGATCACCACGCCCTGCAGCCGGTAGACCTCCTGGATTTCGTTGACGAGGTAGGAGGCGAGCGCCTCCACCCCGCGCACGGCCAGGATGTCGTGCGGTGCCGGGTTGCCGTCGAGGATGTAGTCGCCCTTCTCGATCGGGTCGCCATCCTGCAGGTGGAAGGGCCGCGACTTCGGAATAAGATATTCCGCGGGCTCGACGCCTTCCTCGGCCGGCTCGATCGAGATGCGGCGCTTGTTCTTGTAATCGCGCCCGAAGCGGATCGTGCCGTCGATCTCGGCGATGACCGCGTGATCCTTGGGACGGCGCGCCTCGAACAGTTCGGCCACCCGCGGCAGACCGCCGGTGATGTCCTTGGTCTTGGCGCTTTCCATCGGAATACGCGCGATCACGTCGCCCGGCTTGACCTTGGCGCCCGGCTCGACCGACAGGACCGCATCGACCGAGAGCAGGAACTTGGCGTCGCCGCCGCGCGCCAGCTTGGCGACTTCGCCGTCCTTGCCCAGGATCGCCAGCGCCGGCTTGAGGTCGGCGCCGCGCGGGTTGGACCGCCAGTCGATCACCTCGCGCTTGGTGATGCCGGTGTTCTCGTCGGCAGACTCCTGCATCGAAATGCCGTCGACCAGGTCCTCGAACGAAACGGTGCCCTCGACCTCGGTCATGATGGGACGGGTATAGGGGTCCCATTCGGCGAGGCGCTGTCCGCGCTTGATCCGGTCGCCGTCATCGACCATCAGCTTGGAGCCGTAGGTCAGCTTGTGCGTCGCCCGCTCCTCGCCCTTCTCGTCCTTGATGATGACGGCCATGTTGCGTCCCATGGCGATCAGATTGCCGTTGGAATCGCGCACGATGTTGCGGTTCTTGATCTCGACCACGCCATCGTAGGACGCCTCGACGAACGAAGTGTCGACCACCTGCGCCGTGCCGCCCATGTGGAAGGTCCGCATGGTGAGCTGGGTGCCCGGCTCGCCGATCGACTGGGCCGCGATCACGCCGACCGCCTCGCCATGGTTGACGGGCGTTCCGCGCGCCAGATCGCGGCCATAACAGACCGCGCACACGCCGGACTGCATCTCGCAGGTCAGCGCCGAGCGGATCTTGATCGCCTGGATACCGGCTGCCTCGATGGCGTCGACATCGGGCTCGGAGACCATCGAACCGGCCTTCACCAGCACCTCGTCGGTCTTCAGGTTGACGACATCCTCCAGCACCGTACGGCCCAGCACACGCTGTCCGAGCGTTGCCACCACCTGACCGGCGTCGACGATGGGCGTCATGGTCAGGCCCTTGTCGGTGCCGCAATCGTCGGCGGTGATGATGCAGTCCTGCGCGACATCGACCAGACGACGCGTCAGATAGCCCGAGTTCGCAGTCTTCAGGGCGGTGTCGGCCAGACCCTTGCGGGCACCGTGGGTCGAGTTGAAGTACTCGTTCACGGTCAGGCCTTCCTTGAAGTTGGAGATGATCGGCGTCTCGATGATCTCGCCCGACGGTTTCGCCATCAGGCCGCGCATGCCGGCGAGCTGCTTCATCTGGCGGGTGGAGCCGCGCGCGCCGGACCGGGCCATCATGTAGATGGAGTTCATCTGCTTCTGGCGGCCGCTCTCCTCGAACTGCACCGCCTGAATGCCGGCCATCGTCTCTTCGGTGAGACGATCGTCGCAGCGCGCCCAGGCGTCGACCACCTTGTTGTACTTCTCGCCGAAGGTGATCAGGCCGTCATTGTACTGCTGCTCGTACTCCTTGACGATCTTGTCGGTCTCCTCGACGATCTTGGCCTTGCTCTCGGGGATGACCATGTCGTCCTTGCCGAACGAGATGCCGGCGGTGCAGGCGTGCTTGAAGCCGAGCGCCATGATGCGGTCGGCGAAGATCACCGTCTCCTTCTGGCCGCAGTGGCGATAGACCACGTCGATCATCTTGGAGATGTTCTTCTTGGTCATCTCGGTGTTGCAGATGTCGAACGGCACCTTGACGTTCTTGGGCAGCAATTCGCCGATGATCATCCGGCCCGGCGTGGTCTCGTGCAGTTCCCACACATCGTTGCCGTCCGCATCGACCGTCTTGAAGCGGCCCTTGATCTTGGTGTGCAGCGTCACGACCTTGTTTTCGAGGGCATGGTGCAACTCGCCCATGTCGGCGAACACCATCCCCTCGCCCGGCTCTTTCTCGGCGACGATCGAAAGGTAGTAAAGACCCAGCACCATGTCCTGCGAGGGCACGATGATCGGCTGGCCGTTGGCCGGGTGCAGGATGTTGTTGGTCGACATCATCAGGACGCGCGCTTCCAGCTGCGCTTCCAGCGACAGCGGGACGTGAACGGCCATCTGGTCGCCGTCGAAGTCGGCGTTGAAGGCGGTGCAGACCAGCGGGTGAAGCTGGATCGCCTTGCCCTCGATGAGGACCGGCTCGAACGCCTGGATGCCAAGCCGGTGCAGCGTCGGCGCGCGGTTGAGCAGCACGGGATGCTCGCGGATCACTTCATCCAGGATGTCCCAGACTTCCGGCTTTTCCTTCTCGACCAGCTTCTTGGCCTGCTTGACGGTGGACGAATAGCCCTTGGCGTCGAGGCGCGCATAGATGAACGGCTTGAACAGTTCGAGCGCCATCTTCTTGGGCAGGCCGCACTGGTGCAGCTTGAGTTCCGGACCGGTCACGATGACCGAACGGCCGGAATAATCGACGCGCTTGCCCAGAAGGTTCTGGCGGAACCGGCCCTGCTTGCCCTTGAGCATGTCGCTGAGCGACTTCAGCGGACGCTTGTTGGCGCCGGTGATGACGCGGCCGCGGCGGCCATTGTCGAACAGCGCATCGACCGATTCCTGCAGCATACGCTTTTCGTTGCGGATGATGATGCCCGGCGCGCGCAGTTCCATCAGCCGCTTGAGACGGTTGTTGCGGTTGATCACGCGGCGATAGAGATCGTTGAGGTCCGACGTCGCGAAGCGGCCGCCATCGAGCGGCACCAGCGGACGCAGGTCCGGCGGGATCACCGGAATGGTCTTCATGATCATCCATTCGGGACGGTTGCCCGAATCGATGAAGTTCTCGACCACCTTGAGCCGTTTCATCAGCTTCTTGGTCTTGAGTTCGGACGAGGTGGCATCGAGTTCCTCGCGCAGATCGACCGCGGTCTTGGGCAGGTCGATCGAGGCCAAAAGCTCCTGGATCGCCTCGGCGCCGATCATGGCGGTGAACTGGTCCTCGCCAAATTCCTCGGCGGCCATCATATACTCTTCCTCGCTCAGGAGCTGCTGCTCCTGGAGCGTGGTCAGGCCGGGCTCGGTGACGATGTAGTTCTCGAAGTAAAGAACCCGCTCAATGTCCTTGAGCGTCATGTCGAGCAGCGTCGCGATGCGGCTCGGCAGCGACTTGAGGAACCAGATATGGGCGACGGGCGCGGCCAGTTCGATATGGCCCATGCGCTCGCGGCGCACGCGCGACAGCGTGACCTCGACACCGCATTTCTCGCAGATGATGCCCTTGTACTTCATCCGCTTGTACTTGCCGCACAGGCACTCATAGTCCTTGATCGGACCGAAGATGCGCGCGCAGAACAGGCCGTCACGCTCGGGCTTGAACGTGCGGTAGTTGATCGTTTCGGGCTTTTTGATCTCGCCGAACGACCAGGACAGGATCTTTTCCGGGCTCGCGATCGAGATCCGGATGGAGTCGAAATTCTGTGAAGTGGCCTGAGGATTGAAGAGATTGGCGATCTCTTGGTTCATGCCGGTCTCCTTTGCGGGCTGACGCCCTTTCAGTGTGGTGGCAGGTCAGCCACCGGAATGTCGCGAAAGGCGGCGGCCGGCGCTGGCGCCGGCCACGCATGTTTCGGGTCTATTCGGCCGCGTCGGGCAGCGCTTCCTGGGTGTCGTCGGCCACGGGACGGGTCGAGGACAGCTCCACGTTCAGGCCCAGCGAGCGCATTTCCTTGACGAGCACGTTGAAGCTCTCGGGAATGCCCGCCTCGAACGTGTCGTCGCCGCGCACGATGGCCTCGTAGACCTTGGTGCGGCCGGCCACGTCGTCCGACTTGACGGTCAGCATCTCCTGCAGCGTGTAGGCGGCGCCATAGGCTTCCAGCGCCCAGACCTCCATCTCGCCGAAGCGCTGGCCGCCGAACTGCGCCTTGCCGCCCAGCGGCTGCTGGGTGACGAGCGAGTACGGGCCGATCGAGCGGGCGTGGATCTTGTCGTCGACAAGGTGATGGAGTTTGAGCATGTAGATGTAGCCCACCGTCACCTGCCGGTCGAACGCTTCGCCCGTGCGGCCGTCATAAAGGGTCGACTGACCGCTGTCCTCAAGCCCCGCCTTTTCCAGCATGGCGTTGATTTCGGGCTCGATCGCCCCGTCGAAGACCGGGGTCGCGATCGTCACGCCGTTGGCGAACTGCTCGCCGACCTTGAGCACGCTTTCATCGTCCATCTTGCGCACCGGCTCGTTCCGGTTGTTGTCCGGAATGATGTCTTCGAGCGTCGCGCGCAGCGGCTTGATGTCGCCCGCCTCGCGGTAGGCTTCCAGCATCTCGCCGATCTTGCGACCCATGCCGGCGCAGGCCCAGCCCAAATGGGTTTCCAGGATCTGGCCGACATTCATGCGCGACGGCACGCCGAGCGGGTTCAGCACGATATCGACATGCTGGCCGTCTTCGAGGAACGGCATGTCCTCGTTGGGCAGGATGCGCGAGACGACACCCTTGTTGCCGTGGCGGCCGGCCATCTTGTCGCCGGGCTGGATCTTGCGCTTGACGGCGACGAAGACCTTGACGGTCTTCATCACGCCCGGAGGCATCTCGTCGCCGCGCTGGACCTTTTCGACCTTGTCCATGAAGCGCTGCTCGAGCTGCTTCTTGGTCTCGTCATACTGGTTGCGCAGCTGCTCCAGACCGTCCTGGCGCTTCTCGTCGGCAACCGCGAACTGCCACCAGTTGGACCGCGGATAGCTGTCCAGAACCTGCTGGTCGATCTTGGTGCCTTTCTTGAAGCCCTTGGGCCCGGCGATCGCCTCATTGCCCGTGAGCATGTCGGCGAGGCGGCCATAGGTGTTGCGGTCGAGGATCGACTGCTCGTCGTCGCGGTCTTTTGCGAGACGTTCGATCTCCTCGCGCTCGATCGCCATGGCGCGCTCGTCCTTTTCGACGCCGTGGCGGTTGAAGACGCGCACCTCGACGACCGTGCCGAAGCCGCCGGGCGGCATCCGCATGGAGGTGTCGCGCACGTCGGACGCCTTTTCGCCGAAGATGGCGCGCAGCAGCTTTTCTTCCGGCGTCATCGGGCTTTCGCCCTTCGGCGTGATCTTGCCGACGAGGATGTCGCCGGGGCCGACTTCGGCGCCGATATAGACGATGCCGGCTTCGTCGAGGTTCTTGAGCGCCTCTTCCGACACGTTCGGAATGTCGCGCGTGATCTCCTCCGGGCCGAGCTTGGTGTCGCGGGCGTTGACCTCATACTCCTCGAGGTGGATCGAGGTGAAGACGTCATCGCGCACGACGCGCTCGGACAGAAGGATCGAATCCTCGTAGTTGTAGCCGTTCCAGGGCATGAACGCGACGAGCACGTTGCGGCCCAGCGCCAGATCGCCCAGGTCCGTCGAGGGACCGTCGGCGATGATATCGCCCTTTTCGATCCGGTCGCCGACCTTCACCAGCGGGCGCTGGTTGATACAGGTCGACTGGTTGGAGCGCTGGAACTTCTGCAGCCTGTAGATGTCGACGCCCGGCTCGCCCGGATCGAGCTCTTCCGTTGCGCGGATGACGATGCGCATCGCATCGACCTGGTCGACGATGCCTGAACGGCGCGCGGCAATGGCGGCACCCGAATCGCGGGCGACGATCGCCTCCATGCCGGTGCCGACATAGGGCGCTTCGGCGCGCACCAGCGGCACGGCCTGACGCTGCATGTTCGAGCCCATCAGGGCGCGGTTGGCATCGTCGTTCTCGAGGAACGGGATCAGCGCGGCGGCGACCGACACGAGCTGCTTGGGCGAAACGTCCATCAGATCGACCGTTTCGCGCGGCGTCATCATCACGTCGCCGGCATGGCGGACGATGACGAATTCGCTCGTCAGTTCGCCATTGTCGCCGATCTCGGCATTGGCCTGGGCAACGTGGTGCTTGGCCTCTTCCATGGCCGACAGATAGACGACCTCGTCGGTCACCTTGCCTTCGACAACCTTGCGGTACGGGCTTTCGATGAAGCCGTACTTGTTGACGCGGGCGAAGGTGGCCAGCGAATTGATCAGGCCGATGTTCGGGCCTTCGGGCGTCTCGATCGGGCAGATCCGGCCATAGTGGGTCGGGTGCACGTCGCGCACTTCAAAGCCCGCGCGCTCGCGGGTCAGACCGCCCGGCCCCAGCGCCGACAGGCGGCGCTTGTGGGTGATCTCGGAAAGCGGGTTGGTCTGGTCCATGAACTGCGAAAGCTGCGAGGAACCGAAGAACTCGCGGACGGCGGCGGCCGCCGGCTTGGCGTTGATCAGGTCCTGCGGCATCACGGTGTCGATGTCGATCGAGGACATGCGTTCCTTGATCGCCCGCTCCATGCGCAAAAGGCCGACGCGATACTGGTTTTCCATCAGTTCGCCGACCGAGCGCACGCGCCGGTTGCCCAGATTGTCGATGTCGTCGACTTCGCCATTGCCGTCGCGAAGCTGCAGCAGCGTGCGCACGACCTCGACGATGTCTTCCTTGCGCACGGTGCGCACGGTGTCCTCGGCATCGAGGCCGAGACGCATGTTCATCTTGACGCGGCCGACTGCCGACAGATCGTAGCGTTCGGAATCGAAGAACAGCGACTGGAACATGGCTTCCGCCGTTTCCATGGTCGGCGGCTCGCCCGGACGCATGACGCGGTAGATGTCGAACAGCGCGTCCTGGCGCGTCTCGTTCTTGTCGACGGCCAGCGTTGAGCGGATGTAGGGGCCGACATTGACGTGGTCGATGTCGAGCACCGGGAAGCTGGTCTGGCCGCTCTCGATGAGCACGGCAAGCGTCTTCTCGTCGATCTCGTCGCCGGCTTCGAGGTAGATCTCGCCGGTTTCGGGATTGACGATGTCCTCGGCCAGATAGGAGCCGTACAGCTCCTCATCGGTCGCCTTGAGCGCCTTGATGCCCTTTTCGGCGAGCTGCTTGACGGTGCGCGCTGTCACCTTCTTGCCGGCTTCGACGACGACCTCGCCCGAATCCGCATCGATCAGGTCGACGGCGGGCTTGGTGCCTTTCAGGCTGTCGGCGTTGAACGGAATGCGCCAGGCTTCGCCGTCGCGCTCATAGGTGACGAAGTCGTAGTAGGTCGACAGGATTTCCTCGGCATCCATGCCGAGCGCCATCAGCAGCGAGGTGACCGGGATCTTGCGGCGCCGGTCGATGCGCGCATGCACGACATCCTTGGCATCGAACTCGATATCGAGCCACGATCCGCGATAGGGGATGACGCGGGCGGCGAACAGAAGCTTGCCCGACGAGTGGGTCTTGCCCTTGTCGTGATCGAAGAAGACGCCAGGCGAGCGGTGCATCTGCGAGACGATCACGCGCTCGGTGCCGTTGACGATGAAGGTGCCGTTGGACGTCATCAGCGGCATTTCGCCCATATAGACGTCCTGCTCCTTGATGTCCTTGACCGACTTGGCGCCGGTGTCCTCGTCGATATCGAAGACGATCAGGCGCAGCGTCACCTTGAGCGGCGCCGAATAGGTCAGGTCGCGCTGGCGGCATTCCTCGACGTCGAACTTGGGCGCCTCATAGTCGTAGCGCACGAAATCGAGCTGTGCGGTACCGGCAAAATCCTTGATCGGGAAAACCGACTTGAAGGCGGCCTGCAGGCCTTCGTCCGGACGCCCGCCCTCGGGCTCGTCCATCATCAGGAACTGATCGTAGGAGGCCTTCTGCACCTCGATCAGGTTGGGCATCTCGGCGACGTCGGGAATGTCACCGAAGAACTTGCGTACGCGTCTACGACCGTTGAAAGTCATGGTCTGAGCCATTGCCGCTCCTCGTCTTCTCGCCCGGGCCGGGCGGTCAGGGTCCATGCCGGGCAGTCACCACACCGCGCCCGGCCAATCGGTTGGCAGAAGACCCATGCGCCCGGTCCTCCAGCCTGAAGCCGCCTTGCTGATCCGGGGATCGATCAAAGCAGCTCGATTTCCTTATCTTCGCGCTCTCGAACCGCGAAACCGGTTCCCGGTTTCGCCGAGAGCGCTCTGAAACGGTTAAAACCCGTTTCCGGAAACCTGTCCGACAGGCTTCGGGAAAAGGGTTCACGCACTCCAGACAAGGCAAGGTGCGGGCGCGCCGAAACGCGCCCGCGCAAGCCTTGAACGCTTACTTCATCGCCGCCTTGGCGCCGGCTTCTTCAAGCTTCTTGACGATTTCCTCGGCTTCGCCCTTGGAAATGCCTTCCTTGACCGGCTTGGGAGCGCCCTCGACCAGGTCCTTGGCTTCTTTCAGGCCCAGACCGGTAATCGTGCGGACTTCCTTGATGACGTTGATCTTCTTGTCGCCGGCGGCTTCCAGGATGACGTCGAATTCATCCTTTTCCTCGACCGGAGCGGCTTCGGCGGCACCGGCGCCGCCAGCGGCTGCAACGGCAACCGGAGCGGCGGCGGAAACGCCCCACTTCTCTTCGAGCATCTTGGAAAGCTCGGCGGCTTCCATGACGGTCAGCGACGACAGGTCTTCTGCGATTTTGGCGAGATCAGCCATTTTTCATCTTCCTTCGGATTTTGGTTCGAACAATCGGTGTTGACGGTTTGAAAGACAGCCTCACGCTGCCTCGTCCTTCCGGGCATAGGCCCCGAACACGCGGGCGAGCTGTGCCGCCGGCGCGCTGGTGACCTGGGCGATGCGCGATGCCGGCGTCTGGATCATGCCGACCAGCTTCGCACGCAGCTCGTCGAGCGAGGGCAGTTCGGCCAGAGCCTTCACGCCATTCGCATCGAGAACCGTGGCGCCAAGCGAACCGCCCAGGACGACGAGCTTGTCGTTGCCCTTGGCAAAAGCGCTTGCCACCTTGGGAGCCGTTACCGGATCTTCGGCATAGGCAATCAGCGTCTGACCCGAAAAAAGGTCCGACATGCCTTCGGCTTCCGTGCCCTGAAGAGCGATTTTTGCAAGGCGGTTCTTCGCAACCTTCACGGTTCCGCCCGCATTGCGCATCTGGGTGCGAAAATCACCCATCTCCGCGACGGTCAGACCCGTGTAGTGGGCCACCACCACCGAACCGGACTGTTTGAAGACCGAGTTCAGCTGGGTGACGAATTCGCGTTTTTCCGCTCTTTCCACTTCGTCTCTCCGTTTAGCGATGAACGGCGCTTGCGCCCTCACCGCGGTTTGCCTTTGCCGCCTCCGGAACGGATCCCGAAAGCGACGCTCGAGGATCCTGTCCCCTTACGCCGACGCGAACAGGCCGCGCGCGGCACAAGGCAATACGGTTCGAACCTTCATCCGCCCACTCGGGGCCTTTGAACGCTCTTACCCGTCTCATGCAGGCCCATATCGAATTAAGGCGAGCCGCCTGCAATCTCGGACAGGGACCGGTTTCCCGGCCATCCACGCCCCTGTCGGGGCATGGAATTCTTCTGGTGAGCCGGCGTGTTAGCCGCGCTGGCTCACAATTGGATTCACTCGGCGGCCGAAAGGCTCGCCGGATCGACCTTGACGCCCGCGCCCATGGTCGAGGAAATCGCCACGCGCTTGACATAGGTGCCCTTGGCGCCGGACGGCTTGGCCTTCTGCACCGCATCGGCAAACGCACGCACATTTTCGGCGATCGCCTTTTCGTCGAACGAGGCCTTGCCGACTCCGGCATGGACGATGCCGGCCTTTTCGACGCGAAACTCGACGGCACCGCCCTTGGAGGCCTTCACCGCTGCGGCAACATCCGGGGTCACGGTGCCGACCTTGGGGTTCGGCATCAGGCCGCGCGGGCCGAGTACCTTGCCGAGGCGGCCGACCAGCGGCATCATGTCGGGCGTTGCGATGCAGCGGTCGAACTCGATCTGACCGCCCTGCACGGCTTCCACCAGTTCCTCGGCGCCGACAATGTCGGCACCGGCGGCCTTGGCTTCCTCGGCCTTGTCGCCGCGTGCGAACACGGCCACCTTGACCGAACGGCCGGTGCCGTTGGGCAGGTTGACGACCCCGCGAACCATCTGGTCGGCGTGGCGCGGATCGACACCGAGGTTCATGGCGACTTCGATGGTCTCGTCGAACTTGGCCGTGGCGCGCTCCTTGACCTTGCCCACGGCTTCTTCGAGCGGCAGGATCGCGTTGGCGTCGAGGCCCTCACGCAGGGCCTTGGTGCGTTTTCCGAGCTTTGCCATGATCAGCCCTCCACCTTCAGGCCCATCGCGCGGGCGGAGCCCTCGATCTGGCGCATGGCCGCTTCGATATCGGCGGCGTTGAGATCCTTCATCTTGGTCTCGGCGATTTCCTTGACCTTGTCGCGGCTGATCGTTCCGGCGCTGACCTTACCCGGCTCCTTGGAGCCCGACTTGAGGTTGGCGGCCTTTTTGAGAAGGTACGATGCCGGCGGGGTCTTGGTTTTGAACGTGAACGACTTGTCCTGATAGTAGGTGATGGTCGTCGGGATCGGCGCGTTCTTTTCCATCTCCTGCGTGGCGGCATTGAACGCCTTGCAGAATTCCATGATGTTGATGCCACGCTGACCGAGCGCCGGCCCGATGGGCGGCGACGGGTTGGCGGCACCGGCGGGGACCTGCAACTTGAGCAGACCTGCAACTTTCTTGGCCATTGATGTCGTCTTTCATTTCCAGGCCGGCGTCACCCGGCGGTTGAGACGTTGGCGGTCCGACCGATGACACCCGGCTCAGGTGCCCCGCATCTCCCGCCTTTTCGGCCAGCCCCCGGGAACCCGATGGTCCCGCAAACCAGCTATCCGGATCAGCCCTTTTCGACCATTCCGAATTCCAGATCGACCGGGGTGGCCCGGCCGAAAATCGAAACCTCCACCTTCAGGCGCGAGCGTTCCTCGTCGACTTCCTGAACGATGCCGTTGAACGAGGCGAAAGAGCCTTCGGTCACGCGCACGCTCTCGCCGACCTCGAACGACACGGACGGCTTGGGGTGATCGACACCCTCCTGGATCTGGCCCAGGATCTGCTCGGCTTCCTTGTCGGAGATCGGCACGGGCTTCTGATCCGAGCCCAGAAAGCCGGTTACTTTCGGCGTGTTCTTGATCAGGTGGTAGACATCGTCGGTGAGCTGCGCGCGCACCATCACATAGCCGGGGAAGAACTTGCGTTCGGCATCGACCTTGCGGCCCTTGCGGATCTCGATGACCTTTTCGACGGGCACCAGGATCTGCTCGAACTTGTCCCAAAGGCCCTTGGCCTTGGCGTTCTCCTCGATCGCTTCGGCCACCTTCTTTTCGAAGTTGGAGTAGGCGTGAACAATGTACCAGCGCGCCGTCATCAGCGTCGGAACCACCCGTGTTCGTGTGTCGTTGTTATCGTGCCGGACCGAAGATCAGATCGAACACCCAGGAGTAGATCTGATCGACGGTGAAGAAGAACAGGGCGGCGATCACCACCATGATCAACACCATGATCGTCGAGATCAGGGTTTCGCGCCGCGACGGCCAAGTCACCTTGGCTGTTTCCGCGCGCACCTGCTGGATAAAGGTGAACGGATTGGTCCGTGCCATGCCTTAAGTCCGGTCCGATGCGGCGATTGCGCCCGCGCCGCATTCCCTTGCTCTGTCACGGGCGCCTTGTCCGACGAACGCAAGAAACACGCGCTGCCGATGTGAGGACCCGTATTGTTTGTGAAAGCGCATCCCGCCCGCAAGGGCAATACCAGCGCGAGGCTGCATCTAGCGGCGATTCGAGGCGAGATCAAGGGCTGCGGGCAAAAAAGTCAGCCGCGACGAAGGCCGCCGGGCGGATTGCCGCCCGCGGTGACGATGGCAGGGGCACACGGGCTCGAACCGTGGACCTTCGGTTTTGGAGACCGACGCTCTACCAACTGAGCTATACCCCTGAACGTGACCGGTCTGATAATCGCGGTTCGGCCGCAGCGCAAGTGGCATGTGGGCCGAAGATCATGCGTTTGTCGAAGCGCCCGGCTCACATGGCATAGATTTCCACCCGGTAGCCGTCGGGATCGAACACCTGCATGCGGGTCGGCCCGCTCTCCTGCCATTCGGCCTCGGCGATGCCGGCCTCGGCAAATTGCCGGCGGGCATCCTTGACCGCCTCGACCGTATCGGCCTGAAAGCCGAAATGGGTGGTGCGCGGAAGCTGGGGCGGCACATCGCCCTTGCTCAGCGCCAGCAGACTGCCCGCATCGTCGGCCAGGATCAGAAGATGCGCGTCATCATGGACGCGGTGCGTCATGCCGAAAAACCGGCCATAGAACGCCGCCGAGGCATCGCGGTCCGAAACCGTCAGCGCGACATGGTTGAGACGCATGGCAGCCCCTTTCGATCCGGACATGGCACGTGCGGGCATGGCGGAGGGCAACGACGCCGCCATGCTGACCAGCCTACTGCGCGCCCGCGCTTCGGATCAACGGCGTGATGCGGCGCACCGCCGCGCGCCGGTTTTCCGGCACGTTGCCTTCCCTTGCCACCTTGAGATGGCGTTCGCCATAGCCCTGGGTGATCATGTTTTCGGGCGGCACGTCGAAATATTCGGTCAGCGCAAGCGCCACGCTTTCGGCTCTCCGGTCCGAAAGCGCCAGGTTATAGGCCGCGCCGCCGACCGTGTCGGTGTGCCCCTCGATCAGGAAGATCTCGTCGGGATCGTCGGCGATCAGATCGGCCATCGCGCGTCCGAGCGCCGTCAGTTCGCGCGCTTCCGACGGCGGGATAGCGGCCGACCCGGTTTCGAAATTGATCGCGTCGAGATCGATGCGCGGCATCAATTGCCGCAACTCCCGGACATCACGCACCTGCTGCAGCGAAAATGTCCGCTCGATGACCGGCGCGTCTTCGACAAACACGTCGCGCACCGCGTCCGGGCCGACCGAATCCCGGTACTCGATCACCACCGGTCGCCGGGATGGTAGCGGGATCGTTGCCAGATCGACGGGCTGCACGTCGCGCTCGTCGATCAGAACGATGCGCTCGCCATCGGGAAAGACCCGCGCGCGATAGAGGATCACCCCGTCTGCAGCGCGGATCGTGACAATTCGCTCGCCATTGTCGCGCACGACCACCGTGCGCGTGCTGCCGTCATCGAAGGTGCGGGTGCGCACCTGCGTGCCCGGCCGACGCAGCAACTGGTTCTCGTCGCGCAACACGACCAGTTCTCCGTCGCGTTCGACGACGACCCGGTCGCCGCGCCGCTCGACGACCCGGTCGGCATCGTTGATCAGCATGCCGATGGCAACGCCTGCACCGACACCCAGAATGGTGCGCAGCAGTTCGTCCGTGCTCTGGTCGACGGTCGCCGGCGCGGCGTCCTGATCGCTGGTCCGCGCCGTATCCTCGGTCACCGTCCGGGTCTCGACCTCGGCGTCGGTTTCCGCCGCACCGGACGTGTCCGCTTCGACCTCGGTCGCCTCCAGTGCCTGCGAAGACATTTGCGACTGGCGGCGTTCGACGCGCCGTTCCTCCCGCGCGGCCCTGTCGGCCTCATTGAGTTCCGTATCCGTCTCGGTCGCTACCGCCCCATCGGTCCCGGCGCCCGTTTCCACCGTCGGGTTTTCGATCGGCGTCGCCTCGGCGGCATCAGAGCCGGATTCGGTCTCCGCCGGTGCCTGCGCGGCCGCATCATCGACGGGCGCCTCACCGGCGGCTTCTTCCATCGCCGCGTCCAGTTCGTCCGAGGGGGCCTCGGTCTGCGGCATCGTCTCGGCGGCTGTGTCAGCCGGCACTTCCGCGTCTGCATCCGGGTCGGCCTGCGCTTCGGCTTGGCTCTCGGCGATCGGTTCGGAGGCGGGCGCAGCCTGCTCGGTGGCCTCCTGTATCGGGGTTTCAGCGTCTTCCACCGCTTCAACTGCCTGATCGAGCTCTTCGGTTGGTGTCTCCGCACCCGCTTCTGCACTGGTCTCGGTCTCGATCGGCGCCTCGCCCCCCGACTCGGCGGGCGTTTCCTCAACGGCCTGTTCACCGTCGGTCATCGCGGCATCCGCCTGATCGTCAACCGGAGGAACCGCCTCCTCGATCACCGCTTCAACCTGCGCCGCCGTGTCGCTGACGGCCTCGTCAATCGAGTCGTCGGTCGTTTCCGCGACAGGCTCCTGCCCTGCCTGCATCTGCTCGCCGAGCGCGGCGCGCACGCGCTGCTCGGCCTCGGCCAGATCGATGGCCGAAACTTCGGAAACGATCTGTGCCGCGGAGCCGATTTCGGCTTCCGTGGCGGGCGGACAATTGTCCCGTTCCTCGATGACGCAGTCCGCCAGCGATGTGGCGGCGTCCTGCTGCGCCTGCGCGCTGCCGGCCATCGCGCCTCCGATCATCGTGCACAAGCCGATCGCGGTCGTCGCCTTCAACCATCTTCTCGTCATTGGTTTGGTCTCCGTTGGTCGCCCTTCGAGGAGACCAACGTCTGTTGGGCGCCGACGTTCCGGCGCCAACGCGCGGCGGCGATCACGAATGACAAAGCCCGGTTACGACTGACGACCACACCAGCCGGCGCTAGACAAAAAAATGGCCGCTTGCGCGGCCATTTTGCAATCGTTTGTTGCCGCCGATCTCGACGGCGATAGACGAGGATCACTCGATGATCTTCGCGACAATCCCGGCGCCGCATGCAGAAATGGCCGCTTGCGCGGCCATTTTGCAGTCTTTTTGTTGCCGTCGGCGCTTACGGCATCGCGTCAAAGATCATTCGATGATCTTTGCCACAATCCCGGCGCCGACGGTGCGGCCGCCTTCGCGGATGGCAAAGCGCAGGCGCTCTTCCATGGCGATCGGCGTGATCAGCTCGACATTCATCTCCGCATTGTCGCCCGGCATCACCATCTCGGTGCCGTCGGGAAGCGTCACTTCGCCGGTCACGTCGGTGGTCCGGAAGTAGAACTGCGGACGGTACTTGTTGAAGAACGGCGTATGGCGGCCACCCTCTTCCTTGGTCAGGATGTAGGCCTCGGCCAAAAACTTCTTGTGCGGCGTTACCGAGCCGGGCTTGGCCAGAACCTGGCCGCGCTCGACGCCTTCACGGTCCACACCGCGCAGCAGCGCGCCGATATTGTCGCCCGCTTCGCCGCGGTCCAGGAGCTTGCGGAACATCTCAACGCCCGTGCAGGTCGTCTTGGTGGTGTCGCGGATGCCGACGATCTCGATCTCGTCGCCCACATTGATCACGCCACGCTCCACACGGCCGGTCACGACGGTGCCGCGACCCGAGATCGAGAACACGTCCTCGATCGGCATCAGGAAGGGCTGGTCGATCGGACGGTCGGGCGTCGGAATGGCTTCGTCGACGGCGGCCATCAGTTCGCGGATCGCATCCTCGCCCTTGGCCTTGTCGCCATCTTCGAGCGCCACGAGCGCCGACCCCTTCACAACCGGAATGTCGTCGCCGGGGAAGTCGTAGGACGACAGAAGCTCGCGCACTTCCATCTCGACCAGCTCGAGCAGCTCCTCATCGTCGACCTGGTCGACCTTGTTGAGGAACACCACGATCGCCGGAACGCCGACCTGACGGGCCAGAAGGATGTGCTCGCGGGTCTGCGGCATCGGGCCGTCGGCGGCCGAGACAACCAGGATCGCGCCGTCCATCTGCGCAGCACCGGTGATCATGTTCTTCACATAGTCGGCATGGCCGGGGCAGTCGACATGGGCGTAGTGGCGCGCATCGGTCTCATATTCCACATGGGCGGTCGAAATGGTGATGCCGCGTGCCTTCTCTTCGGGCGCAGCGTCGATCTGGTCATAGGCCTTGAAGTCGCCGAAATATTTGGTGATCGCCGCCGTCAGAGACGTCTTGCCATGGTCAACGTGACCAATCGTGCCAATGTTCACGTGCGGCTTGTTGCGCTCAAACTTTTCCTTGGCCATTTTCGGTGTCCTGTCCGTCCAATATTGCGGGCCTTGCCCCTGTACGAGCGCGGCACATAAGCTTTTGGTGAGAGGGACGCAAGTGCCAGCATCGCGCGGGCGCGCTCAGGCTTTCACCAGTGCGGCTTAGCCGGCTCCAACTGTGACACCTATCGGATCACGTTCATCAAAGCATGAGTTGCTCCAAGCGATTGAGCTCGCGCGGATCGTTTTATCTTGGCGAATGTAAGCGGGTTGATATGCGGGCTTGGCGAATGCCAAACAGCCACGCAAACAGGTATCTCGAACTTTCAATCCAGAAAATTCAATGTTTTTATGTCAATAGATCGCTTTCTTTAATCAATCTATTATGAAACCTCCGCTGGGTTTGTTTCGGCAAATGGTGCTCTCCGCTGAGCCTTTATCATTGTGCGTCTTGACTTGAGCTGAGGTAAGCGGCGAAGGCCCTGCGCCTTTGGCCGCGCGCTTCACGCGCATAGCGTTCCAACAAGCGCCCTTGACGGCGCTTGCCGCGCTCCAGCAGCCGTCGGAATCTTGGCCCCAAATCTGCCTTTGCAAAGCCGTTCGTTCGCGAGGTTCTTGGAGCACGCGTCAAACGCGTCATGCTTGCAATCGCCTCTTCATCGTCTTCGCTCAACCCCTCAACTGCCCGGTGCTCACTGAGGGCTGCTTCACAAACGGCAAGGCGAGCCTCAGCTTCTGCCAACGCGACAGCGTAGCGCACATTGTCTGAATCAGTGAGAACAGCGTCATAATGAATGTCAGGCGTTCCCCATATCACGCGAAGCCATACTGCCACTGCCTCCGGATCTGGGCGAGCCGTAGCGCCGTGTCGTCTGGCGTTTTGTGCGACCACAGCCTTGCCGGCGGCCGTCTTGGGACCGGTGCTCTTTTTGGCGTTGGCCTGATTGCGCGACCGAATGTGATCGGACGTCATTGCGCGATCACCTCGCCCTCAATCGGGCGGGCTTTCTGCAAGGCATCAAAATCGCTTCTTACCTCGCGCCTGCGCCGTTCAAGTTCCCGAACTTTGTTGTCGTGGATAGCCTTGTGCTGTTCTGCCCAGGCAAAAGCGTCGCTCATCAAAGAGGTGGGCTCTCCGTAAAGGGCTTGGATCTGACCGCGAGCGCCTTGCCGGACCCTTGGCTCAGAGGCTGTTGCCCTATCGATGAGATCTGTCGCAGCGGCGTAATAGTCGAAGATGCTTGAACCGTTGTCCGCGGTCCTGCTGTCGTCATCGACGATTTCCAAAAAACGATCAGGATCGTCCGCGATCTCATTGTAAAGCGTGCGGATGAAGCCCTCCCGAACTGCCTGATCGCACATGCGGCGGTGCTGGATCAGCTCCCATTCGATGGAGATCAGGTTTTCGGCGATGTCGCATTCATAAGGCGTGAACGGTGTCAGCGATCGGATCATCGCGTCACGGAAGGCGTCAAAGGATCCAGCTTCCTCAAAGGGAACAGGCGCCCTCTTGGGCAAAAGATCGGCAAAACTCGACAACCCAAAATCCTAGGGAGCGAGCATCTGTTTTTCTTTCGGCATGAAACACTCCTCTGGAACCTCCCTCCTTCCAAGGCGAGTATATCATCTCGCGAAGCTGTGCGCTGGACTGGGAACCGGCATTTGCGACATATCCCCACGAAACACGCGCGCAGGCTCCGTGGCGACGACCGTTTTGCTTGGATTGATCGTATCGGAGAGCTGCTTAAGGCAATGCGAGCCAAATGAGTCCTCTTGCGCGATGTTTCCTACGATGCCCTCAAGGCGCCGTACCCGTTGTCGGTCGCGTCAAGCGCACGCCCGGCCCTCCGTCTGCGTCAGCGTCGATGAATGTGATGCCTGCGCGTTCTAGCGCAGTGCGTAAAGCATGCGCGGTTTTGGCGCTCGTTCTCAAAAATCCTGGTTTCGACTCAATTCTCTTAAGTGTCGAAATTCCAACCCCCGCCTTGCTAGCCAAATGCCCTTGATTCCACTCCAAAAGCATCCTTGCCGCCTTGATTTGTTCAGTTGTGACCAATTCGTGCCCTGCAGATTTTGTGTCCTGTAGATATTGACGCCTGCCCTGCGAAATGATACCAAAAGTACCACTTTCGAACCGAGGGTACCATTATGAGTAGACCAAGCATCACGCCAGAGCTCTCGCGCTTCACCCAGCTGCGCCGGGTTCTTTTGGAAACCAACCCAGAGATCGACGACCAAACGCTGGCAGATACGCTCGAAGGCGCAACGACTCTGCACGAGGCGATTTCATCCTTAGTACGTTCCGCACTTGAAGACGAAGCGTTGATCGCCGCGCTGAAGACCCGACTGACCGATCTGAAACTGCGGCTGGCCCGTTTTTCAAGCCGAATGGAGGCCAAGCGGTCGGCGGCGCAACGCGCCATGGCGGAAGCCGACATAACGAAAATCATCGAGCCAGATTTTACGGTGAGTCTGCGGACAACGCCAGCCAAGCTGATCGTCACCGATGAAACCGTGATCCCCGAATGGTGCTTCATTCCCCAACCTGCCAAACTTGATCGCGCCCGGCTTCGTGACGCGCTCGAGGCTGGTACCGCGATTTCCGGTGCCGAACTATCCAACCGAGAGCGCGGTTTGTCGGTGAGGGTGAAGTAATGGGATTCACAGACAAGCAAAGACGCCAACTCAGGGCAAAGCCAAACCTCAAGCGTATTCGGACACGCTCTGAAGAAGGCACGACATGGCGTTATCTTGAAGGCTGGCATGTGATTTCCGAAGCAAACCGCATCTTTGGTTTCGACGCCTGGACACGGGAGACGGTCGCATGCTGCTGCGTATACACCAAACGCAGCGGTAACCGATACGAAGCCGTTTACACCACGAGGGTGCGCATTCTCGTCCGTGCGGGCGATATCGAGGTTGTGCGCGAGGGATCGGGGGTTGGCCAAGCGAATGGCGCAAACCCTGGGCAAGCCCACGAGTTTGCGCTGAAGGCGGCTGAAACCGACGCTACCAAAAGGGCATTGGCAACTTTCGGCAACGCGTTCGGATTGATGCTCCATGCAACCGTTTCGGCAAGCGGCAAGCGGCCGCAACAGGCTGTCGCGAGTGACGAGTCCTCGGAGAAAGCTGCGGCTGCCGCCACCGACCGAGTTTCAACGCCTCAGCATCTGCTTGACCATGTCCATCTGCAATCGGCCAGCCCGAGCAACGCTAAGGCGAGTGAAAATACCTAACCGTTGAACCAAGTGTTCACACCCTTAACCTCCGCACCATACGAACCCTTTGACAAACCGTCGGCCGAAGCCGTCGGGGGTGCAGGGCGCAACGCTGGGCAAGTATGCGGCCGCGGATGGCTCCGCCGTGAAATGAGGCACTCTTGTTGAAGGCGCGGCGACCGACACATCCAGTCGACAAGTTGGCGCCGACGCTTTCGAGACCACCCGCATTGGCGGTCTGGATCATTCAAAGGATACAAGCGAGTTGGCGCTTCTACACGATTTAGCGGGCACCGTGCCCAAAAAAAACAATACGAATTGTCTTTATTGCAATCACTAGGTCAAGCCAAGCTGACACGTTCTTTACATAAAAAAAATCGTATTTTAGCTTCTCCTTCACTTCGTTATCCTCAATTGTATGACCTTGATTTACTTGCGCCCACCCACTTATTCCAGGACGCACTGCGTGTCTATAGCGATAAAAGGGAAAAAGGCGCTCATAGCGTTCGCTCAGCAATACCGCTTCCGGCCGTGGTCCAATCCAGCTCATACTGCCAAGAGCAATGTTTATTACCTGCGGCAATTCATCGATCCGCGTCCTTCGAAGAAATCTACCAAGTTTCGTGATCCGTTCTTCATCGTGTAGAACACCATCTGAATGCTGAGTATCATTTTGCAATTGAATTTCATTCATTGTTCTAAATTTATATATAGTGAATATGTTTCCCTTGTGACCAACGCGTTTCTGTAAGAATAGCGAAGGCCTCCCATCTACTATCGCTATTAGAAACCAAATAAATAGCATGAATGGAAAAATAATTGGTGCGAAAATTATTACAGAAATAACATCTATCAATCGTTTTACGCTTAAGTAAGACAAACTAGGGAGAACAGAACCAAAACTATTTTCTGAAAGACTATCTATGGAAACCTGCCCTGTCAAATGCTCGCTGACCTGCTTGTAGTGATAGACGGGAATGCCCTCAAGTGTTCTATCCGCAACAAACGCCTCCCAAGACGGAACATGGTGGTGCCGAAGGTCAATGACATAGGCATCGACTTCGTACGAAAGTTCTAAAGACTTGATCTCGATCCACTCTATATTTTCTGATTGGGGCAGTTCATTAACCCGCCCGCCAGGAATTATGCCAATTGCCATTCGTTCCAATCGGGTCGAGGCCCATGCTAGAAACATGAGCCAGCTTACGATCAGAAGTGGGCTGCCGATCAGAATCGATCGCGAATAGTCAAGCCTCATGGCCAGCGTTGCCAACCAAACAAGTCCGAATGCCAAAGCGACTGACCAAACTGCAGAGGCAGCCAGTTTGACACCAGGGAATTGATGCAGGCGTCGCCAGCCGAAATAGGCAGCGACCACCGCAACCGAGCACATCACGACCGAATTGATAGTGCCCGATGTGAAATAGAAATGAGGAGCGGGCACGCCGCGAACCAGATACGGCACGCCGACGGCAAACAGCAAACCCAGAGGTAATTGAAAACGGATGCGATGGATCATTCGCTTTCGCGAAAAACCTGTCCGCCCGGCCAACGTGTAAGAATTTTCGCCCCGCATAATGCCGTTCACGCGACAGTGCGGAAGACCGCCAAGCGGTTCAATTCCATCATATCTTACCTTTCGGCATATCTGCGACGCCGATTTGCAGCCGCCTCAACCCAATAACAACTGGTCTCCAACCATTCAACACATAGACAACGGTCAGGCGGCCTGGCATTTTGAGTCGCTGGATCTGAATGTCAGTGGCGCGCAGCCGGTTTCGCGGACACCGGGTTAGGTCCGCATATCTCGGTCCTCGA